ATTGCCAATTATTGTTACCTCCAGATGTTGTTAACTGCCTTCATAAATAATTAGGAAATAAAGAAGTAGGCAAACAATGGTGTCGATTCTGGCGTGATTCTCTAAACTTCTTCTTTTTCTTTTTTTTATGGCATGCTTCTCTAAACTTAATCCTAAATTTAACATCAGTCTCTCTTTTTCATTCTGTATAGAGAATGACAAGGAAACACTGTTTTCAAGTTTAAGTTTAGATTTAGAGAATCGTGCCAGAATCGACACCAGTTTATATTAACGATGGATGAGTTGATTCATGTTTTCATCAATGATTTAGTGATTGCTGCTGCTGTGCTAAGGCGCCGCCGTTGTGAGAGCAAGAGGGCCCATTTGAAATGAGGGGCGCCGACTTCATAAAAAAATTACGTTTAAACAAAAATTTGGTTATAAATCTATAAAGTTATGAATGACATTGGTATCGATTCTGACATGATTCTCTAAACTTAAAACTAAATTTAACATCAGTCTCTCCTTTTCATTCTGTATGGAGAATGACAAGGATACACTGTTGTCAAATTTACGTTTAGGTTTAGAGAATCATGCCAGAATCGACACCATTTTCTTATTGACGATACGGAGTTTTTGGCGGGATTTCTGCGAGTGCGGTTGGCGTCTTATTTTAATTATTCTAAAATTCGTTCATAGTGGCTATTGTGAAATAAAATTGGTGTGATTTGGTGTTACAACCGTCTGCGCAACTGAAGAATTAGTGGAATCTTTAATATATACGCTATTCCGGTCAAGTGGACGCGAGAATTTTATTGTAGTGTTGACTACCTCACAGAAGCTTAGAGAAAAAGCCAACTCCATAAATTTCGTGCCAAACACTCCAAGAAACATTAGAATGCGTCACACCGACATTCTAATGTAAAAAAAGAAGATTAATATAACTAAAGACTAGGCTGTATGGGCATTGTTCCCTTTGCCTTCCCTAAAAAGGGAGAATCTTAAATAATATTGACGTTTCATTATACATAACGTTGAAATTATACACGCATACAATTTAGGTAAAGTTGAGATTTCTTATACTCAAAAAATGTATACTCATATTTAATATGAATGGAATTCATAAAATATCATTTTGTTGCTTGTAAAATTCTGCTCTAATTTATTATTATTTTATATAGACTATGATGTTAACTTAATCGAGAAAAACGGAACGCATTCGGCAGTGACAGAATATCTACGATAGATATAATATCATTGGAATATCGAAAATCCACGAGAATAGCATTTTTTACCATCAGTAGATATTTTCAATAGATATCCCTCCTTTCGATATTATCTAGATGCCGATATAATATCTACGCCGCGAGAATTGGGCCCCAGGTCGCTGATGCATGTGTAATGCAGGTAGGCTCAAAGAAGGTATGCTCCAAGTTATATGATTTAAATAAGTTTAGAAACCTACTCACTAATGGACACTTAACTAAAATGTTTATATTAAAATCACCACACACAACAACCACTTTATTACATCTACATACTATATTGAAAGCATCTTCCATAGCAGACTCAAATTGAGTGTAATTCCCAGATGGGGGCATTGCGAACCTCTTTCTTTTCGAAGTCGGTTAAAAATTTTAATCAACCTTTTGAGGTAATGCATACGTAATAACACGCCGGAGTCCTCCTTTAGTTGTATATAAGTCTTGAACTTCAAAATGAAGACTAAAAATGTGTGTGATATATGTATGGCAACATTTGATGACACTTATGTGAATACTCAGTAATCTGTGACAGTGACTTTTCAATTAATAAATTCAGAGGCGGCCTTACCCATTGCGAGGCTCCGGGCGGCAGGTCTTTGCGAGGCCCTTTGTCCTTCGTGAAAAGTATGTGATGCGAAAGTAGGTCTGGTTGTTTGGTTTAGGTATTTGTCATGTTTAAGGAAAAATGCTTAAATTATACAAATAAATCAAATTTGAATTTTAAAATATTTTACATTGAAAGATTCACAAAATTAACAAATACAGAGATGATAAATTTTAAAATTGATGTTTGCGGCTTTTCCTAAGAGTAAAATCTTTAAGTAAAGCACAATAATCTAACGAATAAGCTACGTCATTTTCGATTGAAAGAATAGCGAGGGCTGAAAGCCGATCTTGTGTCATTGAAAAAATAGTATTTTTTTTTATATTTTTAAAATTTGCTTGGGTTGTTGCGCGAGGCCCCTGTAGGAGCGAGGCCCCGGGCGATTGCCCTGTTCGCCACCCCCTAAGACCGCCACTGAATAAATTCAACATGGAATAGAAGTCTTTTATTTAAATCATAATTAAACCAGTGTTAACTAATATAGTACAAAATGACACTACTACATATTTGTTTGGAAATCATTAATTTTCCAGTAATTTCTCCATACTACATTTTCTTAAGGAAATCTGATAAAAAAGAATAATAAATAATAGATTGAAGTTAATGTCAACCCAATTTCCCATATTTTAGGTAATATGGTTACATGAACATTGGCAACACTGGACTTTAGACTAATCATTTTGTCCTTAGAATTAAAATTGATTTCGATTTCTAAAAACTAGAAAAAAGTGATTCAATTATTCATTTACCTATGAAACGTGATTCCTGGATTTTTTTCTTTCGGTCACTACGGTTTTTATACCTTTTTACAAGCAAGATAGCTTATTTTTTATCTCCACGAAACGTGTCGGCTGCTTTGACGTTTGCACGCGTAGTGGCTGACTATTGTGTGAATGTGTGCGTGCCGGCTTGTACGTACAGCGACCTGGCCGACTCTGAGCGACACAGTTTATTGTTTACCGGGACTCTGTCCGCCTTTTTTTATAAGTCCATGAGCAAACACTTGAAAAATAGTAGCATAAGAAATGTTTCTTCATTAGGAAACATTGTTTCCACGTCAATGATTTCGATAAGAATGAGGCTTGCGCGTACTTAACTGTGCCGTGTGGTAACGCACACAGTGTACAGTTTTTTCGTGCGAGATGCTTGCGCAGGCCAAACTGTGGTGAAGCTTGTGCGTGTGGTAAGCGCAAAAGACATCAACGTGTCGTGGCGCGTTGTGACGCATCGGTTTCATACATTTACTATGGGGTCTATGGGCAAGAGAGAGAGGTTAGAGCGTCTCGATACGACACGACACATAAATGTCTCTAACCATAGTAAATGTATGAAACATCGGATGAGGAGAGCTGAAGAATGGATGAAAGAGACCTGTGTCCATCAGTGAACTAATGCGAGGATTTTATCTGGTGTACACTAGTGTGGCGGATACCTACGCATTTGTAGCTTACATAATCCTACTTTTTGGCTTACCTTAATGAAAAAATGTAGTCATGACGAGGCTGTATTGCTTAATCTTTGCATACCAAAGGAAAGGTGACCATACTTAAGAAAATTTAAGTCAGCACCCAAAAACGTCAACGTCAAATTGAAATTGTCAAGTCGTCACCGTTTTCCGCCTCCGAGTACTTAAACCTATGGAGATGCCATAGTGTTCTATATGAACAATCTGTTATACAAATATGATTAATATCGACGGTGTCGATTCTGACATGATTCTCTAAACCTAAACTTAAATTTGACAACAGTCTATCCTTGTCCTTCTTTATACAGAATGAAAAGGAGAACCCGATGTTAAATTTAGTTTTAAGTTTAGAGAATCATGCCAGAATCGACATAATTGTACTCATAAACTTGTAGCCATCTCATTTTAACTAACCTAAAATACTCCACGCGAAAAGAGACAACATTATATTTGCCTAAACTGATAATGTTGTCGATTCTAGCATGATTCTCTAAACCTAAACTTAAATTTGACAACAGTATATCCTTGTCATTCTCTATACAGAATGAAAAGGAGAGACTGATGTTAAATTTAGTTTTAAGTTTAGAGAATCACGCCAGAATCGACATCATTGGCACCATTATAAAATTAATGTCCTCGTTGAAATGCCTATTTGCGGTCGGTCGCCATTTTGAGTTCCTACTGTGACCAGGTACATACTCATAGGTTGTCAACGTCTGTTATATTTACAGTGTTTTGCACCAAAAGTGTTGTAATTTGTGACTTTATAGTTTTTAATATTACCAAATAAAGTAGAAGAAATTACAAAGAACATGTGTAATTGCAGTGTTGTAGGTTGCGGCATTAAAAAGGCAAAATTCGACGAAATATATCGTTGCACCGGTACGTACTATTATTATGCGAATATACCAAACAATACAATGGTGTCGATTCCGGCGTGACTCTCTAAACTTAAAACTAAATTTAACATCAATCTCTCCCTTTCATTACGTATAGAGAATGAAAAGTATATGCTGTTGTCAAATTTAAGTTTAGGTTTAGAGAATCGTGTCAGAATTGATACCAATAAAAGTTTGCCTTTCTTACACATAGTTTGTGAATAATTCATGCAGAATTTACCATTTACTACGTATTTCTGTGGGTTTTGATAGTGTATTTTATCCATGGTTAAAACAGTTCTTTGCCGATAGAGTCGCCCTTCAAGGATTTTTTCATATCGATGTTTTCATGTCGAGACAGTGTAAATTGTAGGGAAGTATGAATTATACAATTTAAAATGCTGAAATATTATGTACCTATTGTTGTAATATTTTTTTATTTAAAGCCATTAAATACTGGACTTTTCATTTTTCTAGTATTTTTTTTAGATTTATATACTAATTTATTAACTGTGTTAAAAAATTATACCAAATCAAATCAGAAATCAATATATCTTTATTCAAATTGGACGTATAGTACAACTCTTTTGAATCGTCCAAAAATTTCTTTTCTCGACCACTCGTTATTGGATATATTTTTCACAAAAACCTCAAAGCCAAAAATCACTTTTATAAAATATCGAAATATCGTCACAGAATTACTTGTGCTCATAAAAATATCGATATACAATGGGGCAGCCTTAGGGCCAGGCCAACACTATATATAGGCGCCAGTTCCTGGTAACTTAAGGTACAAACCATAGAGTAACTTTAAATATTAACTACGTTTATTTTCGTAAGTATGCCATCTCCATAGGTTTTTTTTAGTACTCAGAGTTTTCCGCTCCTCACGTCACATCGTCTTCACGGGGTTTGTTGACTTTGTTGTGCACGATCAAATCCTTTTATTAGTCTTAAAATGAGGTGACGTGGAGTAAGTGAAAAATCGTTGTATATTTATGCATTCCACATCACAACTGATAATTTTTCTGTGATTAAATTATGGCCGGAGTCCCAGTTAAATTTGGTACTATTTTATCTTTCTGTGTGTTATTTTACGCTATTTATTTTCGAAAAAACGATGTAGGTGATGTTAGATTGTCGCCGGTAAAAGATCATTTATTACATTTAGAGAGTGAGAACAAAGTATCTATTGGTAATTTACAACCACGAGTGGCTCTTGGTTATGGGGCCTGTCACGATCTATTCGTGAATGCAACAAAATTATTAGACTTCAATGAACTGAAGGGTAGCCCAGAACACTTTAACGAAATATCGAACAAAGATGAATTTCTGAAAAGCTTTGCATACTTCTTCAAACATGGTGCTGCGGCAGAGTAAGTATTTGAGTGCTGCAATTACCAAATTATCAGGAAAAGTAGTTAAGTAAGTTTAGGAAACTTTTCTCAATATGAATTTGTTGTTTTTTTGCAGGAGATTCATGTCAAATTCTAAACTTTATGATGAAGTAATAGAAAAAGCACTCGGTCTAGATGATACAAGATGGGCTATTGGTGGGAATGCTCCACTCATGGCAAAGAGATTCTTTATGGAAGGCTGGAAAGTGTTATTTGCTGCAAAGATGAGCCAAAAGCTTAAATCATACATTCCAAATGATATTCAAATAGTGGGTGATGAAATCAATGAAGAGGTGAAGGATGATATTCATATGATATTGGAATACAAAGCAGATGAATTGTTTGGTATATATAAAGCCCCTAGAGCAAATAGATATATTGTGCATAATGATGAGAATAATCCACTCTTGAGTTCTTTAGAGAAGTTTGGAGAAAGTTTACCAAAATTTGGTCCAAATTTACTTGTTATAAGTGGTTTACAGATGATGGATAATTATCCATTCAAAAAAGATGATCACCATGGTGAGTGCTTTTGAAAAATGCCTCTTGTAAGACAGTTAATTATATGTACAACATTATTAATACTTGTTTATGTTTCAGATTTAAGAGCTGAGAGACTTGATTTGGTTAAACAGCAAATTTTGTCTCAGTCTAAAACCACTTTAACACACTTTGAGATGGCGAGCTACGTTGATCTAGAACTGCTCTTACATCTCACAACAAAGGTTTTACCTTATGTAGACTCGGTTGGTATGAATGAACAAGAACTGTCCAATTTGTGCAGTGTTCTTGAATACGGCAAAGTAAGTATAGTGGCTGACTCTAATCCCAGGGTTGCCACAGCTCTGGACCAAATGCGTAAAATATTTCATTTAATAAGGGAGAAAAATAAAATACACAATAGCAATAGGATATTGACACGCATTCATGTGCACACATTGGCTTACCAGGCCATATTGACTGTGAAGAGCTCTAATTGGAAGAGAACAGAAGCTGCTGTTGCAAAAGCATCTCTTACTGCACACAGATATGTATGCAACAATCAGAACATAGCCTTGGACAAATCTAAGTTACTGCTTGATGACAGTTTCTCTACCACTACAGATAATGATAACAATAGTAGAGTGTTCTTTGAACCCTCCAAGCCTGTAGCTTGTTGGGATGAGGTGGTGCATGGTGCATCAGTAGAGATATGCGTAGCACCAGTCCTTATCTGCACTGAAGCTCAGCTCACTGCTGGAGCAGGTGATAACATATCAGCGGCAGGATTAGTTTTACAAGTTGAAAAATAATTTTATATTTAAACAGAACATAATTATGAGAACAATTAGCATTTTATATTTACATTTTGTGATGATAACTTGATCTTACTGTTTACTACTTTAATCATTCCATTCTCTTGACTGTTATTATGTGCGATTATGAATATTTAGTTTTGTGCCATTCAAATGAATAATGTTTATCTTAGTTGACTTGCCACTTAAGTACAAGTAATAAAGTAATATTTTTATCATCAAATGTATGTGAATTGTATAAGACTACTTAATTTTATTTATTTATTAGGAATTGTGTACATGGAAATTTGGTTAAGGCTTTTTGATATTCCTTAAATTATTGTTGATCACTTAGTCATTGTTGTTCAAATATAGAAACATTATTAGAAAACAATGAATTTTATTTCACATCATTGTTAAATTCAATTTGCATGTGTATAAAACATAATTTTGTCAAACTTGGTCAAATTAATTGTAAAAGCTTACATACATAGTTTGATTTATTATCACTTCAGTGACAGGTATATTCTTACTTTTGCAATGTATTTTAAGCTTTATTTATGAAAAACATATAATGTAAGTTAAATTAGAATCTTCTGTACAAATTCTACTACATAAAAGTAATATACATAATGTAATCTTAAATAAGACAATACTAGAACTATGAAAAACAGCAAACTTAATCTTAATTACATAATTAACATATAAAGGAAAACACCGTATTGAACAACTTCCATGTCCTTCATAAATCTACAAAACAGATTCAAGGGTAGACTAATAAATTCAGTCTTCAATTATGACCAGCTTCAATAATCAACATCCTGTAAATGGTAAACATAAGAGTGGTTTCAGACCAGCGTACAAGAGACGTTCAGGCCAATGCAATTTTAATTATTTAAACTGGCCATTAAACATTAGCTTGCATATATACCCAATAAAAAGTAAAACTATCAAGCATCATCCTTGTCATTGTCAAACCTGATTTTCTTATTCTGAGGTTTTGCAAGTGCTTTATATGGGTCGTATAAACCACTTCTAACAAATCTTTTTGCAGCATCAATATTTACAGTTGGTCTTTTTTCTTTATCTTTGACTTCTTGCCATTTTAACATCACAGCTTTTATTCTTTGTAGCTCATCTTTTATAGGGTGTTTCGTAGGATCTATGCCTTGAATGCGCAAATGTATCCAATTTAGTGAATTTAATGTAAAAGCTAAAAAGAGATCGAGTTCAATCTGTGCTGGCAGCGTTAATTTATCGTATTGCTCCTTCAATGGTAACAATTGCTCCAAAACTGTCTGTACTTCCATCAAGTTTTCCTTCAGATTCTCACAGTTGTCAACAAAATCTTTGTCCTTACTAAGTTCACCATAGCTGAGTTGCCAATCCATTATTATTCAATTAAGATATTTCAACAAGCTAACCAGGTACTTGATATTTTTTCACAAAAAATATTTTAAAAATGTACGTAAATCTAAACATAACCTACAAAATTTCACATGACATGACAGATAGAAGCACAGATTACTAAGATTGTTTATTGAAAAAAAAAATAGTTTTTGGCGGGATTTCATCAAGTGCGGTTGGCGTCATATTTTAAATATTCTTTAAATTTGTTCATAGTGGGTATTGTGAAATAAAATTGGTGTCACTTTGAAATATTCGCTATATCGGTCAAGTGGATGTGAGAACTTTATTGTAGTGTTGACTTCCTCACAGAAGCTAGTCGAGAAAACTGTCTCGATACATTTTGTACCAAACACTCCAAGAAACATTAGCATGCGTCACACCCACATTCTGATGTAAAAAAAATAAGACGATGGCTGCATGGCTTTGCCTTTACCAATAGGAAAGAATAAAATAAAAAAAGTAATATTAGGGCTGTATGGACTCCGAATCCTTTGCCCGTCCCAACAGGGACAAATTAGCATAAAAAAAGTAATTTATTCCCCTCCTTTATGGGAAGGCAAATGATGCTAAATTCATACAGTCTCATCTGTTACACAAAACAGAATACATAGAAGAATATAAGAATACTCGGCAAAGTGGAGTTGGACTGTACTCAAATTTTGTCAATGCTACTTTGTCTAAGTTGACTTTGAGCATTTCAAGTCCGAATCCGATACGCGCTGCTTAGTTTTCATCATGGACCAATTATACTATATATAATTTAATTAAGTATTGTATAAAAATTGCGTTTAACGTCGGGCGGAGTGCAACGAAGCAACGACGTAGCGAGCTGTGCGAGCTTTAAGAACGCAATTTTGTGAGTTAGAATGCCCAATTCATTTACTACTAAGTATATTAGCTACCTTGTCAAACCAAACTTTAGCATGTCAACGCGTCTTTAAACAGGGATTTTTCTAGGTAAGAAAACTTAATTTCGGAAACCGGGTAACCTTACTCCTATCCTGTGAACTGTCGTTTTATTTGTACTAAAACAATAACCCAATATAAAAATTTAAATAATTTTGTTAGTTTTGGTTGATATTTGCAGTCTTCTTGGTCTTCCTGTTTAATTGTCAACAATAAACCAAATAGGTTGTGTGAGCTATCACGATAGATTAAGTGAGTCAAAGTTGACGATACTAGATAGCGTGGACGAGGCGAGGGTAAGTATGAAATGTGAAGTACAAAGAGTTGGAATTTTTTAATATCTATTTCGTACGTATATCCCGGTGCCCCTTGAAGAAAAAGAACACAATTTGCTATTAAATCTTTGTAGTGATGCATTTAAGTAGCCATAATATATTAAATCAAAAAGGAAAATGTTTAAATGATCACCTATTAGGTCAATTGTATTACTATTTTTTGATGATTATTTACCATTTTAAAACAAATGAGCATATTTATTTCTTTATTAGACAAAGAATCATAATATTAATTTTCAGTTAGTAGTTGAGTGTACTTCTATATTGTTACTTGAATATCTATAGCTTGTTCAATACATTTTACAATCAAAATTAATAATAGTTTTCAATCAAAGAGATTATATCAATCATCTAAGTACTCAAAAGGTTCTGGGGGTTCTGGTTCTTTTTCCTCTTCAGTTTTTGGGCCAAAAGCAGCAACAGGTTCTACAAGCACTTGCTCTCCATCTCCAGAATGATTGAGCATTACAATGCCTCCAATAGAGATGTCTTTCAAAGGAGAAAAACCAGATCCATCTACAATAGTGATACATTTCAATTGTTGCCTCATGACCCTGGCTGGATTATTGAGAATTTCAAATGTTGGTTCAGGCTCTTTCTTTTCTTTAGTTTCTTTTTCTTCGCCTTCTTTAACTTCCTTTTCCTCTTTTTTTCCATCTTTAGATGAACCAGCATCTTTATCAGTTTTTCCATGTACTGTTATATTCGGATTTGGAGATTTGGATGGTTTCTTCTCCTCTTCATCTACATCCATTTTGGATGTGGTGGATGATGTTATACTACTGGTACCTGATCCCTCAGCCCCGTGCGCCCTCCTGCGAGCTCTAGCCGCCGCAATACTCAATACTGCAGTAGTGACTCTTTCCCTCTCCTCACGTTTCTTTTCTTCCAAGGGAGCAGGATAGGCATACAGAGACGGCTTCGCATTAGATTTTATGTCCATCTGAGGCATCTTCAAATCAGAATTTAGAGCAATGAGGCAAGTTGGTGTGAATGCCAGTGACAAACAATGAGCCAGTGGGAACCAATACCAATATTGTGTAAAAACTAACATGCCTACTACAGCAAGCATGTTCATGTGACCAGTTCTGTTTTGAAGTGACACTGTAACGTTGCGTCCTCCTGCATCGATGATACCTTGTGCAAGGATAGCGCCAAATTTCGCCATGACGTCTTCGTGCTTGTTGGATATTACTTGGGCGTAAAGTTGTCGGAAGTATGTTACTTTAGGACAAAGAGCTTCTGTTTGTTGAATAAGTATCATGGCAGAAGCAATCAAAGCGCCTTGCCTTACAAAATTGACAGGGTCGAATTTGACCATAGGTTCTAGAAGGCCAATTGCTTCACGGTTTCCTGTTCCAGCACAGGCAATGCCTAGAGCCATAGCAGCTCCATAACGTACATGAGGATTGTAAGATTCAGCTAATAATGACACAACAGATGGGCATTGTTCTGGAGTTCTAAACAGCAAAAAGCCGAGAGCTGTAACAGCAGCACGACGAACGTCATCATTGACATCAGACACCGCAACATGAAGCAAAGTACGAATGGAGTCATTGTTTCCAGTACCACAATACGCAGTTGCGATAGTGTAACAACCGGCGCGTCGCAGTAATGGATCCTTATCTCTCAATAGTTGCTGAACAAGTGCATCTGCCTCCTCAAGCCTTCCATACATTGTAAAAGCGATGCCGACAGCCAAACCACGTAGAATCTTTTCATGTTGAGTTTCTTGTGCATATGCTACCATATCTTCAATTGCAGCTGCATGCCTTGAGCCCAACATAACCATTCCCATGGCTATACCTGCGGCTTCACCTGTCACAGCATCATCTTGGTATAGATTAAACTTAAGTTGTTCGTATACATCTTGTCTGTGAGTTCCCATTGCAGCTAAACCTAAGCCAAGACAGCCCCCATGTCGGACCATTTCATTTTGAGCATCTTTAAGTTGTGTTAAAAGATAATCTATGATATTAGCACCGTGGTTGGCATGAATCAAACCAAGGGCATAGAGGCCACCTCCTTCAGAATACCCTGATGATGGACCAGCCTCTTTAGGTAAATAAGATTGCATGAGAGCTAAGGATTCATTTTCGTGACCTCTATGTATGACACCAAGAGATGCAGTTACTGTTAGTTTAGCCCAGTTTGTGGCTCTTGCTAACCACTCAAGGTTGTCTCTCAAAAACTGATCACTGGTGGTGCCAGCATGCATGAAGGCATTGGCTATAACAGTTGCTGTATGGCAGATGGAGACTCTAATGGCATCTTTAGTATTTTTCAGAATTAGCATATCAGCATGATTTGATCTAATCAAAAATTGTAATTGAAGTCCAATAGAAACCTCACCACCAAGAATAGATATAAGCTTTTCAACTCTTTTTTGGTGCTCTTTTTCTTCATCATTCAAGCTTTCAATGTCTCTTTCTGGTTTTTTAGCTTCTTCAGGCTGCTGTTGATCAACTTCCATTGAAGCCTCTGGAAAAGGTCCACCTTGGGGTTGGGGTTTTCCACCTAATGCACTTGGAATAGGAGCCGTACTCCTCAAAGCCTGTAAAACTCTGCCAAGGAACTGTTGTGTTGCAGAATCATACAAATCAAAAGCTATTTGGTAAGCCATGAGAACTGATTCTTGGGGGCCATGTGTGAGTTTATCCAGAATTTCAGCTACTGAAAGTGGATCTTCCAAGAAGATAAGACATTGACACATGTTGACATAATCTGGTATATTGAGCCCTCTGTAAAGTCCCACTAGAGAGCGCAATACTGTGCTACGGAAGCCCCTGTTCTGCAGAAGGCTCATTGCAACAGTGAAGGCATACTGAAGCATTCCTGCAAATAAATAAATGAGAAGATTAACAAACATATTTGTTTCTTAGGTTTTCACACACATCACTCATTAAATAAAACTAGTTTTAAAGGGTTAATGCACGAAACTTTATTTCTTGACGTTTTGCAGCTTTTCAGGTAAAAAAAGCCTGAAAAGGCTGCGAAATGTCAATAAATAAATAAAGTTTTGTGCATTAACCCGTTAAAACTAGTTTTATTTAACTAACAAACATGTTCAAAATTGCATTTAAATGTTTTGAGACACCTTAAATTTTGAAAAAATATGTTTCTGTAAGGTTTTTAACTATATAACTTTTAGTTTTTTTCTATAGTCCAAATTGTCAGTCTTTTAAATAAAACTCACAGGAGGGTTCATGTAACATTCCTGATGATATAAAAAAATTATCTGCCTGTTTTCATGCATGTCCGACCGATGATGGGGATGACAGTCGGAAGGAGCAGAATATAGAAATAAAAATTTGATGGTCTGAGACATTGAGAAGGCATGTTATGTGAACCCTACAGTAGCTCCTATTCAATAGACTGACTAACCAAAATACACGGCAGATTGTTGAAAATATTTTTTGGCTGCCCTAGACTTTCAGTTTTCACTTCTTAGTGAAACTTTTTCACTCACAAAGTGCAAGGTTGCCCCCCTTGCTCTGTCACACTCGTTAATCTAAAATCGCAGCTTAGACTTCCCCGCCATATGTAAACAGCAGAATAAATTAAAGTAATTGTTACATTAAAGCAGCTAGTTTCTATTGCACAATAAATAATATTTATAATAATATATTGACAAACAGCAGTCACAGTAATAAGCTCTTTAAAATCATAAACAAAAGGCATTTAGCTATCCAATCTACCCTGTTTCATTTCTGTACCATGTGTTTTTGGTGAGGATAACCTTGTCTGTATTAATGTAAAATTAACCATATCGCACCCCCGGTGCGACACTGTCACTTATGCAAAAACATTTTCAAAATTATTTTCAGGAGGAGAGTTTAAAACTTTTACATCCCAAAACATTCAAATATTTAAAGATTTTTACATGATGAAAAGCTTATACTGCTTAGCTATTCATGTAAAAAAAAAAACTTTAAATAATGTCTGTTTTGGGATGTTTAAGTTTTAAACGCTTCTCCTGAAAAAATGTTTTTTTTGCATAAGTGACAATGTCGCACTGGGGGTACGATATTATCAACTGGTATTTCACAAGTCACAAACACTGGCCAACCAAAATATACTAAAATTTACATGTTGATGGTAGAACTAATTTCCTTGAACCAAACCACAGATTTCCTCAGTAGTAGACATTTTAAGTTAAGCAATCTCACTGCTGAGCATAGACCTTTAGTGGGAATAAAATTTATGAAAATAACACCTTGTTCTTTAACTAAGTACATACTTTCTATTAATTATTTAGTATACAAGGTCTGCTTCATTAGAGATTGTTCTTTTTGAAGTTAATGCACTCCTATTTATACAGGTTATATATTAATTAAGTTAGGTACCTCAAATTAGTAACTTGATTTATCAGTAAGACTGCATTATGTAAATAGTTGTGACAAAAATTTCAGCTCGCAACTCAACCACAGCTAATGGAAAGCTGAGCCTAAAACATTTAATATTGACTAACCTGCTATATCATCAGACTTCATGATGGATTCCTCGAATATGTCCATGCGGCGAGTTTCTAAAGCCAAACCAAGTGCCTGCCTATACTGTCCATCGTCCAAGCATCTTTGGAACATACGGTTAACAATGGCCTCCAAACGTGGGTCAATGGGCTCTCCAGTGTTATCCACGAACAACAATTTTCTTTTTTGAGTATAAAAATCAATTGCTTTTGCAATAGTCGTATCAACATATTCGTTTCGTGCATTGACGTCAAACAAATCACCAGCTCCTAAGGCGTACGTCAGAGAATCTTCGAATGCACCCAAATGATAATACACTTTGCTGGCAACTAAGGCAGCCAGCTGATGCTGAGAGAATATCTTGTCTTCATGAAGAATTTCAATCTTTTCGATAGATTCTGATATCTCTGGCCAAAATTCATCAACGATGTTGTCCAACCTCTTCAATGCAAATTCTTTTACCTCTGACATAGGCTCGTCCAACAGGGAAATAATCCCCGCGGCAGAAGTGATATTCATTTTGCTGAATTTTACTTGCTTCACTTATTCAATATAATATTTTTAGTTATTTCATGAACACACTTAAAAAAATAGAATGACTGTGATGATTTGACAAAACTGAAGTATCATCATACACAAGACAAACTAAATTGGCAAGAGCAAAGAGCAAGCATCATATCAATCCTGCTAAAGCCCGCTCCACAACATGCTACAGTTATAGCATAGACATTTATATCTATGGTTCAAACGCTGTAATCCGGTTCAGTCATTGCCACTTACTGCGCACATAGGTATTTTGCGAAGCCTTCGAGAAGTTTTCACTACATTTGTGCTTTTCCAAGCTGTGTGGATTTCAAAGGGCGCGAACCTTCGCATAATCTCCCACACATTTGCACAACTGTCAATCTTTTTTAAAAACAGTTCTTAAGATTATACCTAAAATTGATATTAGTTTAAAAAAAAACACTGGTTTTGTAAATCAAAACTAAGAATCCTCTTGTAAAAACTTCAAAGAAAAAGAAATCTCTGTATCCCTAATCACCCCCATATATGTTCAGCGATGTCTTGTAGTTTAAGAGCTAGAATTATGGTTTGACTCATTCAATCATATCTCGGTCAATTATATCAGAACTAAAAATAATAGGAACAGAATCACTTATTACCCTCCCTCACTTATTTTTTAAGCCCTATACATTTGTGACTACAGCACTACAAAATTACCGTTAATTTTGAACTTCAGATAAAATTTTACATAAGTTCTGCAATGCCTAACCAAACCGCTTTATTTTAGGTGTTAGCTATCATCATTAATAATTAATTACACAAATGAACACGTCTGGAAACGTTAGTAAAAAAAGGAAAAACAATGTCAAGTGAAAACTACAGAAAAAAAAACTTAAAATAATTCTAGCTCCTAAACTACAAAAAATCGCTGAACAAACATGGGGGTGATTCGGGTACCCCCTAGCAAAAAGCATCTATTTTTTTTTGGATGCCTATGAACGAGCCACTCTGTATAATGTGAACTAATCTATTAGTATACAGAGTAGCATTCAGTATGAAAATGTTATGGTGAACTTAAAAAGCTTTTTATTTAATCGACTTCAAAATGGCGAAGGTTTTTGAATAATGAAAACTTAATATTTTTTTGAAAATCTCCAAAAACATTGATTAAATTAAAAAGGAACGAAGGATTTATCGCATCACTTATCTCGGAGAAATGAACGGTAAGAAAAGAAATGTACTTACTAATTGAGTATTACCTTTTTGGTATTGTGTACGTTTTCACTGTCATGTTTAATGTCTTGTATGTCCTGTAAGGTGTACGTCAATAAAGAATATTATTATTATTATTTTTTGGTTCCGTTCACCAAACGGAAAAGTCAAAGACGAAGATTAGCACCACCTTCTTTTTGAAATCGGTTAAATAAAAAAGGCAAGCCTTACAGGCTATTTTTTTTTTACTGAATATCGGATGAAGTTCGGAGTATTCATAGTCGTTTATACAAGGTGGGAGTATCCTAGATACTAGTAAAATCCCATAAGTGTTGCAAGAATTTCAGTTCGTGTTTGGAGCTGAATCCTATTAAAACCAGGTGGAGTATTTACGCAACATCCCTTTAACAGTGAGTTGTCAATTTGTTGTCAGTCTTTCGACTGTCAAAGTCAAACACCATACGACACGCACGACACTTTCTAGCTTGTAATGAGACAATTGTAGTGTATTTTGCGTAATAAAATAAAAATGTTGGATTTATTCAGTATCTTTAGTAAAGGCGGTATAGTTCTATGGTGTTTTCAAAGTACCAGCGAAATTTTTTCGCCATCTGTGAACGCTCTTATTCGTAGTGTTATCCTACAGGTAAGTTTACTAAGCCCTTCTTACTGGCCTTGATTTAATTTAATTATATTTATCATATGCAACGTGTCCTTTCCTTACGTCTACGATGTCGTTTTATTAATTAGAATATCAGACTCAATCCTGTTATGCTTTTAAAAATTTACTCTATTTATGTAAAATATATATTTTATTTAAATTTCAGGAGCGAACAGGGAATAACACATTCAATCATAATGCTTTAACTCTTCAATATAAGCTCGATAATGAATTTGAGCTAGTTTTTGTTGTTGCTTATCAAAAAATTCTGCAGTTGTCCTATGTGGACAAATTCCTAAATGATGTTCAGTTGGAGTTTAGAGATAAATACAAAAATGATTTGCAAAGCAGCAGCCACATCATGGACTTTGATTTCCGATCAACATTTGAAAAAGTTCTTAAGGATTGTGAAGTATGGGGTAGGTTATAATCTTTTTATTAAAACTATGATCAATAAACTGTTAATATATTCAAGAGAGTTCTTAATTTTTACAGCTAAGTCTCAAGCAAAGCTACCCAAGCAAATGAGATCTTTTGAAGATTCTCAAAAGTCCAAAAAGACTGTTGCTTCTATGATTGAACGTAGAGGTGAAGAAAAGAGTAAAAAATCTGGTAATTCGCTTTGACATTCTCAATTTACTTGTTTATGTAATTAACATATTTATTTTGGTTAATTAAATAAATAATTATTAATTTACTATATTTAATTATCATATTTATTTTTGTTTATATTTTATTCCTATTTTTCAATCATCTTTTGGTGGTCTTTTTGTCGATTATGTTCCAGGGCTTGAGGTTTTTCTTAAATAAGCATTAATAATGATCACCAGAAAAGCAATATAATTTTATATACTTATTTGTTTTATAATAAAATAATCTTATACTGACATGATTTTTCTTGATAAAAGACAATTAAAATTTGTATTCATAATTCAGGTTTCTAATTCTAATAATAATTTCAGTTAAAATAGCAGAGAATAAAAATATAACTAATGGTAAAGTGGAGGAAGTACCTGAAATTGAAGACACTGTGATTGCTGCAAGTAGAGCTAAACTGGCACAAAAGCTGGCAGCCAAGACCAAGAAGGATGTTAAGTAAGTTATTGTGTACATACCTTCATTCCGTAATCCCTTGCGGGTTAAGATTACTTGCTTAATGAGCTACACTTTCAAAGTCACCATGTTTTAGCACCAACCTAAGATGTTATTGATAATGATGACCCCCTTGGCTGAGGGTTTGTATGCCGGATTTCATGGTGTTGAGAGAGGTCCTGGGTTCATACCCAGTGGGGGACAGATGTTTGTGCGATGAATACGAGCATTTGTACTCTAGTCATGGATGTTTAATATATATTTCTATATAAATATACTTATATATGTATTCTACCCGTTTCCCTAGTATCCCATAACACAAGCCTTTCAGTGCTTACTTTGGGGCTAGGCTAAATGGTGTTGGACATATTTATTTATTTATTATTCCTGGCATAGCCACACTTCCAAAGTCGTTGTTTGAACAACGTTGTTTTGGCACAAACCTAAGATATTATTGGTTAACAACAGTATCGCCATACAACATGTTTATGTTACTACATTATTATTAAACTTAGTAGTCCAAAAGATTCTTTGTAAGTCATGGTTAAAGTCTCATCACAATACAGTTTTGTGAGTGTGTATGTTTGTTACTTCTTCACCTCTAAACGGCTGGAGCGATTTTGATAAAATTTGGTATGGAGTTAGGTGACACCCTGGATTATCACATAGGCTACGTTTTACAGCGGAAAAATATTCCTAATAAACCGTGGGGCACAGTTAGTTTAAAATATGCTTAAAAACCAAATAACTATGTTCATGACCGTTAAGCCCAATTAGTGATATAAAATGAAAAAATTATGTAAAATAATGAAAAATTAAATTGTAATTCATAAAATTTACTTTCATATTCTTATCTTACCTTACTCTTAATTCAATATCATTATTCATTTAAAGCTCAAAGGCCATATTTGTAGTAACAATATAGTAAACAAAATTATTCATAGTTTTTCTTTACATATTTTAAATAATAGATTTTCTGTGTTATTGTCTTTTAAAATCGTTATAATTTGAGGAGTTCGATAGCGCAGGTGGTAGCGCGTTCGGCTGCGATCGTTGAAGTTAAGCAACTTTCGCATCGGTCGGTCATTGGATGGGTGACCAAAAATCTTCTATTTATTTATTTATTCAGTTCTCTATCTCGAGTTCCTCCGTGCTTCGGTAGGCACGTTAATCCGTTGGTCCTGGCTGCATCTGCAGTCGTTAGCACCCGCCAATCCGCACTGGGCCCGCGTGGAGGGTCATGGCCAAATTTCCCTATTCCATCCATAGGAATAGTCTGTGCCCCAGCAGTGGGGATATTAATAGGGTGATGATGATGATTTGACTATAGGAAGTCCCCTAAGAGTCCTAAGAATGAAGAACGCGTGAAGCAGCCTCGCGTGTGGGCGCTAGGAGGGGGCTCACGAGACCTTCCCTCCCTCGACTTCAGCACCGACAAGCCTGAGGATGCCGAGGAAAACATTAACGCTGACACACAGGTATTCATCATAAATCATTCGAGCTTAGATAGAAAGATTAACACTTTATTACACCAAATACATAATTTCATATAACATTAACAAACAATAAACTAAACATAAGTATAATTACTTTCTTCATCATGTGATATTAACTTAAGTTTCTGAAGAATCCCTAACGGGAAGAACGAACCTAACAATTTTCTGTTGGGAATATTTTAATGATATATGAAGCAATATTAGTAATTAAGATAATTTTAGTTGACATATGGCAACATTCTGCCTTCTTACGTACACTGAGAAATGTAAATACAAGATTTTCTGTGTCTTCTGAGTTTTAATTCATCCATACGCAAAGCCAGCCTTATCGATTTAACGGAGATTCAAACAGCCATTACTCCCACATTTTCCAGGATATAAAGTATCTTATGACTCAATGCAGGTGTTGATCTAGATAATGCTTAAATGATAAATTGTTCTAAAGCCGTTTAGAAATTTTTGCGTAATTGAGTGACGAAACTTACAAACTTTCTACAACAAATATTCTAATAGGTGCAGCATATCATAGTACATTCTGTAAAAATCAATGTTCTTTTAGAACAACATTTTTGATAACTAAAAAGTTTACTACACACAATACTTGTCCCACTGTGTAAGTGCTGTTATGCATTTTAAATTTTAAAATCTCTTTCAGTTGATTGGTAAAATGACCGGGGCCATCCGTGATCTGGAAGTGGAGTCCGATGAGAGCAGCAGTGAGGATGAGGAGGATTCTCCCTCCCAGCCCAGCCCCAAGAAGTCCGGTGGAATGTTCAGCATTTTCAAGGGTATGTTTTATTAAAAAATAGCTTCTTTATCAAAACGTTTTTCGTAAAAGTTAATATGTTTCCAGTTTGGAAAACAGAAACTCTAGAACTGATTACAGATAATAAAGAAAAAAAAATTTGATGTTTGGTGGCATATCATACGTGTGTACTACATATATTATTTTATTTTGCCTCTATTGTCCCCTAGGCCACAATGTAATTAACATGAAAGCTGCTCGTTCGACATCCTTTTCAAACTGGCCTCAGATCAAAGTATGAATTCCACAGCTTAAAGGAGTTATCTGAGCCCTATTTCACGAAGTCGACAAATGTCACTGACATATGTAACATTTTGTTACAATTGTCTGTATCTTACTTGAACGACAATTATGTTGTGAAACAATGGTAATTTTTTCAAGTCGACACATTTAAAAATATTGCGGGTAGAAATGTTCCATTTGTGCGCTTCGATTGCGTGCGCTGTGTGAACGGTTAAAGTTGCCCAAAAAATCATTTATGACGGAATTGTTTCCCTTTAAAAGTTCTATAAAAAATTCTGATTGTCCATCTTTTTAGTTTGACTCACTAATATCATTTTCCTCAAATTAAAGCGGGTGAAACCGCATGGAACCCCTAGTTGTATAACTGTAATAGTTAGAAATATGGTATTACGGAATTTTTGTGCAGATATTTATGTCCTCTATAAAACTTTAGTTCACTTCGCTTTGTTCTATTGTCAGCAGCGTACGCGATAAAAGGTTATTTTGTGGTATTTTTTTTCACACGTCGGGTCACACTATCGAATGCGGAACCCTAACTTTTTTGAAAATACTCTATAGCCTATGTACATCAGGGATAACGTAGGATCGCAAATATGAAAGAATTTTTCAAATCGTTCTAGTAGTTTCCAACCCTATAAAATACAAACAAACAATCAAATCTTCCGTGCTTTGGAAGGCACGTCAAGCCGTTGGTCCCGGCTGCATCTGCAGTCGTTACGACCTGTTAGTATATTTCATAACTACGTAACTGTTACTTTAGTATTTCATCATTTTTTGCACATCAAGATCACATGATGTTTTTCTAAGTAAACATGAGACCCTGTGACTCATCATATTTGCGTATTACATGACCAACCAACTGGACACCATGAATACTTAGAAGCAATCGTTAAAGCTTATTATCACTACCCATTTAAGATATTAGAAACCATAGAAACCATTAGACAACACGTGTAGACAATCCTTTGTTTGCACCTTATTATAAAAGCCCGAATCCCTCGGGACCAGTGACATTCTACATCTGATCATCGCCTCAGGTGTTCATCAAGAATCGTCTACCGATTCGCGACGCTATTGTATTCATATAACACCTTCTCTCCAAATAGTCTAAGTGTAAGCCGGATTGGCATAGTGGTAAATATATAAAACTACTTAAGAAGCATCAACTGGTTTTACTTCACGAAGACTCCAGGCCAAACGGGTACATAACAGACCCGCCAAACCGCACTGGGCCCGCGTGGTGGGTCATGGCCCAATCTCCCTAATCCATCCATTGGGAAGGCCTGTGCCCCAGCAGTGGGGACATTAATTGGCTGATGATGATGATGATGAATAAAATCTTTCCTCTTTATAATATTAGTATACATGAAAACTGTCCACAATAGGTCTGGTCGGATCGAAGGCCCTCTCTGAAGAGAGCATGCGCCCCGTACTGGACAAGATGCGCGACCATCTTATCGGCAAGAATGTGGCCGCCGATATCGCCAACAAACTGTGCGATTCCGTCGCTGCCAAGCTTGAGGGGAAGGTAAGCTGCCATAATTAAAGGTTCATTTTCAGGTTTCAGGACGGTAAAGTGACCCTGGCGCGATATAAACAGTTGTAATGTATCAGTTATTATGTAATACGTCACACAGTGCCGTCGCTCCCGGCGTGTTGAATGAACCTTAAACAGTACCTTTTAGTGGATAATATAATTCAATCGAAAGATTTGTAGATTTTTCAGAGGAACATAAATTATTTTTCAAAATTGTAGAAGCTTGTTTGCTACATACCATAAGGACTACCTACATAAGGATAATCCCATCGGAAGATATGTAGGTTTTTATCTCAGGAAGAAGCAGAAAAACTAATACCCGAAAAGTTTGTTACCCAACTACATTCCAGGCTTTACTATAACACTAAAAATTATGCCATTTCATAGGTCTTGGGAAAATGATCAAAGAAATCCTATACGATTTTAAAAATATAGTGGTGTCAATTCTGGCATAATTCTATAAACCTAAACTTAAATTTGACAACAGTGTATCCTTTGCATTCTCTACACAGAATGAAAAGGAGAGACTGATGTTAAATTTAGTTTTAAGTAGAGATAATCATGCCAGAATTGACACCATTGTTACGTGTAGGGATGGGATTCAAAATTAGATGCCAGTTTACGCTTGACAGTTTTTTATTCACCACACAGTGACCACACAATGTTGATCCTAATACACTCACTAAACACTGTACTTCACCATACAAGTCTTTAAACAATCGCACTTGAATACTTGCATTTTGATCGCCTTTGTATTCGTTACGAAATCGCTGTTGAAACTAAACTGACTGCTGCGCGGCGCCGATTGCGCTTATATACGCCAATCGACGCATTCTAGAAAAGTCCCATTAAATTGAGAGTTAACTAGCACCTGCGAGTGCGTAGTACCAACTTATACCTACGTAGGTAACGCGCATAAATTGTAAACAAGTGCAGATGTCGTTGCACTTTCTCACTTACGCAACACTGCATAAGGCTCATATTAGAATGAGCGACTCGCGGTGTTCTGGTAAAATCTGTCTCCAGCGTTTTTGACAATACCAATGAAATATAAAGAAAATATAACTAGAAAAAATTCCACGCGGACCAGGCAGCAGACGGGACTCGAACCCGCACCCTTCGCAATCCGGGCGAATGCACTGACCAATTATGCTACCGCGGCCCTCACGGACCGCGTCGAAATTCTTTCTAGCTATTCTTAAGCTGCAAGGCAGCGCCATCTCTTCGCATTATAGGTAAACCCACAATGTCAAATGAATACTTTTACAAGTATTAAACATTTGAAAGAAGAAATAGCAATTATAGTTATAATTTTTATTATTTTTAAAGCATGTAACTGCTTGATGTTTAAAGCAGTTACATGCTTTAAAAATAATAAAAATTATAACCAATGAAATATATTTGAAAATAAAACTGTTTCCACTCTTAATGATATTTATATTTTTGTATTGTATCTTATGGATACATATACGATAGCGATTGAAATGAATAAAATTCGTTTTTAAACTGTGAAATTAACACTTATTTCCAGAGATACATTAATAATTAATCTTAATACCAAAAAAATGCTGGTTTATATTTGGATTTGGGTGTTATTTAATTTAATTTTGTTTATTTATTATTATTTTTTCCTCAGGTATTGGGTACATTCGACAGTGTAGCCCGCACGGTGAAGGCGACGCTAACGGAATCTTTAGTCGCCATTTTGTCGCCTAAACGTCGCCTCGATATACTGCGAGACTGTATTCACGCTAAACAGCAGGGGAGACCTTATGTCATGGCTTTCTGTGGGGTGAGTTAACATAGTATATTAAAACAATAGCCTCGCTGACTTTACGTTCAAATCTTTTAAACTACTCTATGGATAAAACTAGTTTTTACGGGTTAATGCACGAAACTTTATTTATTATTGACGTTTCGCAGCCTTTTCAGGTCTGCATCGTCAGAATAATGATTTTTTATATAAAATTGTCGAGCTACCTTCGAAAGACTTATATTGATATAGTATAGGGACTCGGGTTAAAGAACATATCGCAGATATGAAACATAGGCGCGAAAATAAATCTGCAGTGTGTGAACATGTATTAGGGGGACCAAACCACTACATTAGATTTGATAGACCACAGATCCTTGCAGCTGAGCGGCGGTTCGTTCCTCGAATGATGCGCGAGGCTATTGAGATTAAAAAATATCCAAATTTCAATAGGGAAGATGGTTGGTATATACCACCAGCTTGGGAACCTATTATACAGGAGATAAAATCCCAACCCCGAGCACACACTGCAAGACCATCAGATACTATTAGTTCTTTTTGTTTGCATAATTTAATATAAGAAGGAGATAGAAAGCCTCTCTTGAGTTTGTTTCGCCGGTTCTTCTCAGGAAGGTCTCCCAATTTTGGAACCGGTGGTAGTTTACGGTAGTTAGGGTCAAATAAATAAATTCAAAATTACAAACAAGAATTTTAAATAAAATACTTTATTAAGTAAATTAAATAATAAATTCATACATAGACAATAAAATTTTAAAAATCTTCCAATGAAATAACCGAACGCTCAATATAAGTCTTTCGAAGGTAGCTCGACAATTTTATATAAAAAATCATTATTCTGACGATGCAGACCTGAAAAGGCTGCGAAACGTCAATAAATAAATAAAGTTTCGTGCATTAACCCGTAAAAACTAGTTTTATTTAATGAGTGATGTGCGTGAAAACCTAAGAAACAAATACCCTATGGATTTTATAAGTATTCTATGTGTCAATCTAACACCCCATTGGGTAAGAATATAGGATGCTCTTTATCTCTGTATCACCATTTGTAACCATATTCAGCAAATAAAAATGATAAGGGAGCTCGATGGCTCAAGTGGTTAGCGCGTTCGGCTGCGATCGTTGAAGTAAAGCAACTTTCGCAGTGGTCGGTCATTGGATGGGTGACCAAAAATTTACTATCTCGAGCTCCTCCGTGCTTCGGAAGGCACGTTAAGCCGTTGGTCCCGGCTGCATCTGCAGTCGTTAGCACCCACCAATCCGCACTGGGCCCGCGTGGTAGGTCATGGCCCAATCTCCCTATTCCATCCATAGGGAAGGCCTGTGCCCCAGCAGTGGGGACATTAATAAGCTGATGATGAAAAATGATAATGATTATGATTACACAGGTGAACGGCGTGGGTAAATCCACTAACCTCGCCAAGATCTGTTTCTGGTTGATCGAGAACGATATGTCGGTATTAATCGCCGCGTGCGACACCTTCCGAGCCGGCGCCGTCGAACAGTTGAGGACACATTGTCGCCATCTTAATGCGTTGCATCCGCCCAATAAGCACGGGGGGAGGAATATGGTGCAACTGTACGAGAAGGGATATGGTAAGATAATTTAATACACGTGTTCGTATTACTATTGTGATGTTGTTTCCTCTAAATACAGGTATAGAGACGAAGAAGGACGCAAATACAGACACAAAAACAGACACGAAAGCAGATACAAAGACAGACAAAGAGACATATACAAAAACTAACACAAACGCGTAAACAAAACAGACAAGACTTCGAATTACTACTTTAACGCTTTCTTTGCACACAAGCAAACACACAGTCAGATACATATATAACAGACTTAAACATACATAGATATAGACCCAAAACAGATATAAAGATAGATAAAAACACACGATATGTCGGTATTAATCGCCGCGTGCGACACATTAGAGCCGGCGCCGTCGAACAGTTGCGGACACGTTGTCGCCATCTTAATGCGTTGCATCCGCCCAATAAGCACGGGGGGAGGAATATGGTGCAACTGTACGAGAAGGGATATGGTAAGATAATTGAATACACGTGTTCGTATTACTATTGTGTTGTTGTTTGCTCTAAATACAGGTATAGAAACGGGGAAGGACGCAAATACAAAGACAGACAAAGAGACAGATACAAAAACTAACAAACGCATAGACAAAGCAGACACGAATTCGTATTACTACTTTAAGGTTTTATTGGAACACAAGCGAACACACAGTCAGATACATAAACAGACACAAACATACACAGATATAGACCCAAAACAGATATAAAGATAGATAAAAACACACGATATGTCGGAATTAATCGCCGCGTGCGACACATTAGAGCCGGCGCCGTCGAACAGTTGCGGACACATTGTCGCCATCTTAATGCGTTGCATCCGCCCAATAAGCACGGGGGGAGGAATATGGTGCAACTGTACGAGAAGGGATATGGTAAGATAATTTAATACACGTGTTCGTATTACTATTGTGATGTTGTTTCCTCTAAATACAGGTATAGAGACTAAGAAGGACGCAAATACAGACACAAAAACAGACACGAAAGCAGATACAAAGACAGACAAAGAGACATATACAAAAACTAACACAAACGCGTAAACAAAACAGACAAGACTTCGAATTACTACTTTAACGCTTTCTTTGCACACAAGCAAACACACAGTCAGATACATAAACAGACACAAACATACATAGATATAGACGGCGCCGTCGAACAATATTCAATAAGTGCCGTGCCCAATAAGCACGGGGAAAGGAATATGGTGCAACTGTACGAGAAGGGATACGGTGAGATAATATATTACACGTGTTCGTATTACTATTGTGATGTTTCCTCTAAATACAAGCAAACACACAGTCAGATACATAAACAGACATAAACATACATAGATATAGACCCAAAACAGATATAAAGATAGATAAAAACACACGATATGTCGGAATTAATCGCCGCGTGCGACACATTAGAGCCGGCGCCGTCGAACAGTTGCGGAAACATTGTCGCCATCTTAATGAGTTGCATCCGCCCAATAAACACGGGGGGAGGAATATGGTGCAACTGTACGAGAAGGGATACGGTAAGATAATATATTACTAGTGTTCGTATTACTATTGTGATGTTTTCTCTTAATACAGGTATAGAGACGGAGAAAGACATAAATACAGACACGAAAGCAGATACAAAGATACGTGTAGATGCACTGATTTATTGAAGTTATACTTCTTTAGGCGCGTTATGAAAAAATGATGAGAGTGAAATTTTAAGATGCGCGCGCATCACTGTAACACAAAATTTTAACATAATGAAGTTGGTCGCTTTAGCGACCAACTTCATGCGTTACTTTTGTGTTTACTGCACATTAAGAAAATCTACCAACAAAATAGAAATAGAATCTCTATTTAGTGGGTGCTAACGACTGCATTGTGAAGGCCTATCAAAAGTATTTATTAATCTGGAACAACGGAACCAAAGCGCGATTCAGGAGACTACAGCGCCATCTCTTGACCATTGGTGTAGTAGAACCAAAAACCACATCTTTATTTTTTGTAATAAAGTAACAGTTATAGGTATTCATATTTATAATATTTATCCACATGTTTCTAGTTTGTATATTCGGAATACGTGTTTGAGTTTCATACAAGTGCAAATCATATTATGTTCTAATAAATTATATTCACTAGCGATTTTAATTGAATATTTTGATTATTTATTTATTTTTTCAAATTAAAACTGAACTTTATTGACTTAGTCCTTTTCCAGACTTTTTATTAATTTATTGTAATTAATTATTTGCATGCAATTAAAAACTAATTTTAAACGATGCCAAAGAAGGATAACTTCTCACGCGCCTACATAAGTACACGCACCCATTTTTTATTTATGTCGTTACGCATCCTTTTCAGGCTGCGTCGTCAGAATAGGGTATTTGACAAGTTTTAGAAAACGATCTCACGGTAATTACTAATGTTTATAGAGTCCATAAAAAGATATAATGGATATTCATCATTATGTTGTGTATTTCGGTAAAAAAAACTAAATCATAAACTATATTTTCATGTTGCCGCGAAAACGTTTCTCTGGTCAATACCTCGTCTTACTAGTATGTGACGTCACATGACTGTCATTAAAACGTCAAACCATACAATGTAATGTCACTTTAACCGGAAGTTTACTTGCGTGTGGCGTCATTTTAGGCTCCGCCAATCCCAAGCGTTTTGGGTCACGTGACAATAGATAAGAAAACTATTATCTTTTAACTATGGTAACAATTGGCACTTTATTTTTAACACTGCCAAATACCATAATATGATTTTATTTAGTTTATAGCTATTAACGGGATTGTTACCATGTACCTTATTTTTTATGAGTCTCCGTTCCGCGATCTGATACTGTGAGTATTGTGTGCCGGGAACAGGTGCGAGTGAATAGTGAGAATGTGACCAGTGATAGGAATATCGAGCGCAGTAAAAGACAACGTCAGAGGGTAGACCGATATGTCTGCCAATAACATCTACCCGCAATTACTTCAGTTACTCCGTGATCATGGCGCTTGCAACATTCATTTGCATTGCATTTTTTACCACGTACGACAAAACTGTGGAACATGTTGTCGCCAGCAGTATTTCCGGACCGATACGACTCAAAAACCTTCAAAAAAAGAGCGTACTTCTTCCTTAAAGGCCGGCATCGCATTTGTGATACTCCTGGTGTTGCAAGTGTCCATGGGCGACGGTGATCATTAACCATCAGGTGAGACGTATGCTCGTATGCCCCCTATAACATAAATAAAAACTGCCGAAATATCGGAGACTCTAAAAAAACAAGGTACATGGTAACAATCCCGTTAATAGCTATAATTATAGTGACCATGAAAGTTTATTTACTTTGTTGAGCTACGTTCGAAAGACTTTTTGAAGTTATACTTCTTTAGGCGCGTTATGAAAAAATGATGAGAGTGTCGCTTTAGCGACCAACTTCATGCTGTTACTTTTGTGTTTACCGCACATTAAGAAAATCTACCAACAAAATAGAAATAGAATCTCTATTTAGTGAGTGCTAACGACTGCATTGTGAAGGCCTATCAAAAGTATTTATTAATCTGGAACAACGGAACCAAAGCGCGATTCAGGAGACTACAGCGCCATCTCTTGACCATTGGTGTAGTAGAACCAAAAACCACATCTTTATTTTTTGTAACAAAGTAACAGTTATAGGTATTCATATTTATAATATTTATCCACATGTTTCTAGTTTGTATATTCGGAATACGTGTTTGAGTTTCATACAAGTGCAAATCACATATGTTCTAATAAATTATATTCAGTAGCGATTTTAATTGAATATTTTGATTATTTATTTATTTTTTCAAATTAAAACTGAACTTTATTGACTGTGTCCTTTTCCAGACTTTTTATTAATTTATTGTAATTAATTATTTGCATGCAATTAAAAACTAATTTTAAACGATGCCAAAGAAGGATAACTTCTCACGCGCCTACATAAGTACACGCACCCATTTTTTTTGTCCTGTTGAATGTATTGTTTTTCGTCCGTTAAGGCAAAGACGCAGCGGGCATAGCGATGGAAGCGATCCGTTTCGCGTCCGACTCCAAGACGGATGTGGTGCTTATCGACACTGCTGGACGGATGCAGGATAACGAACCGCTGATGAGGGCGCTCGCTAAACTAATTAAGGTAAATCATCATTATAAAAGATGAGGAGGAGAAGCTCGATGGCGCAAATGGTTAGCGCGTTCCGCTGCGATCGTTGAATTTAAGCAACTTTCGCATTTGTCGGTCATTGGATGGGTGACCGAAAATTTACTATCTCGAGTTCCTCCGTGCTTCGGAAGGCACGTTAAGCCGTTGGTCCCGGCAGTCGTTAGCACCCACCAATCCGCACTGGGCGCGCGTGGTGGGTCATGGCCCAATCTCCCTATTCCATCCATAGGGAAGGCCTGTGCCCCAGCAGTGGGGACATTAATAGGCTGATGATGATGATGATCATCATCATCATAAAAATGAAATCAGTACCCCTAGCACGAACCAATATCGAATTCGTATCGTTTGCGAGTCCGAAATGTCATTGTCTAATGTGTACTGATTTTTAGTTCCCGTTACGTCAAAAGTGGCACTGCTGTTCAAGTTTCAATACAAAGGAGACCCGGCACTTTTCATAGAAAAAATGCGAAACTTGTATACAGTTGAATTTGATCTCAAAATAAAGCCAAAATTATTTGCTACATAAAACTACTTTTGCCTTATTTTTAGTGAATCGTGGAAAGAAGTTATATAATGATTAATATTTTTTGATATAGAAATCCTTTTGATGACAAACCTACGTATTTGACATTGAGAGCTAGCTGCTGATGACAAATATTGCCAGACTACGTTACCCAATTATGAAACACAGATAAAAAAATTAAAAAAGTATACAACTTTGGCACAAAATGCCGGGTGTCCTTTGACTTTGAAATTTCGGTTTGCAAACTATTCGAATCCGATAATAGTTCGTGCTAGGGGTACGGTTCGTTAGAGTTAATGCGAAATAATCGCTGTTTCCTCGTGATCGATCATGCTACGTAGTTTTTCAAAGCAACATGACATGACATGACGAGGGTACACAGTTATTCATGTACTTTTACTTACATTTCTTTGTGCTTTATGATCTACGTTGTATTAGTTGAGTCCTGCGCAGTATGGTAAATATCAGTCAAGACACTAAAAGATTCTCTGCATCATCATTAGCCTATTAATGTCCACACTGCTGGGGCACAGGTCTTCCCTATGGATGGAATAGGGAGATTGGGCCATGACTAGGGTTACCATCAGTCCAGATTTGTCCGGACATGTCCGGACTTCGTCCGGCTTTTTAAATTAGATGGAATATGAGTAAAACTACTTATTTAGTTATATCAAATAAGTCTTATACTCTTTATTAAGTGCTCTTTAATTTAAAACGAAATAATATCTTTTAAAATCAACAACAAGGCCCCCCTCGCGATGTGAGCGTCTGCTACCACGCGTATAATATTACTGTAACTAAGTGGGTGATGTTTGCATTTTGTGACTTAAATGTTGGGACTTTTAACGAAATTTCCAGCTTTTTGTCAGGACTTTTCAAATAGTAACCCTAGCCATGACCCACCACGTGGGCCCAGTGTGGATTAGCGACTGCTAACGACTGCAGATGCAGCCGGGACCAACGGCTTAACGTGCATTCCGAAGCACGGAGGAACTCGAGATAGAACATTTTTGGCCACCCATCCAATGATCGACCACTGCGAAAGTTGCTTAACTTCAACGATCGCAGCCGAACGCACTAACCACTCGCGCCATTGAGCTCCTCATTATGGTAAATATCTCATCACAATAACACACTTTCAACTTATTAGAAAAGCTAACGAACACAAACTGCGTATTGCATTAAAATATCTTAAGGTTTGCTTGCAAGTCTAGTGTGTTTACAATACAATGTGAAGAGATGGCGCTGCCTTGCAGCCTGAGAAATACTAGACGAAATTCGACACGGCCATCAAGGTCGTGGTAGCTAATTGGTCAGTGCATCCGCCCGGATAGCGGAAGGCGCGGGTTCGAGTCCCCTCTGCGGCCAAGATTGCGTGGAATTTAAACTCGTAAAAATTTCTTTAGATTTCATCATCGAGCAGTTTAAAAAAATCTGATATATTTACTAATTTTGCATATCTGGGATAAAAAGCATTGTATGTGTCAAAAAGACTTTATAAAATCGATAGTGAGTTATAGGATGATTTGCATCATCATTCAAAAGAGATGAGAGTGGAAATAGAATGCAGTGTGATTGAAATAAGAGTAAAGTGATATTGAGATAAAAAGGGAATGATTTGAGATTGAAAATATATAGATATTAGAATAAAAACGTCTAGAATAATTATGATAATGCAATGAGTTAAGAACAAGCTCAAAATACTACCTTTCCAATTTCCATTCAAACGAATGGCGGCTCTGAAGTTAGCATAAGTGGCGACGTATTAAATTACACTTTAGATAATTTAGGTACTGAGACCTGCGTATATGACGCTAACTTCACAGGCGCCATACGACGAAATAATCAGATAAAATAAAACTAACCGTTTCCAGGTTAACGAACCCGACATGGTTCTATTCGTTGGCGAGGCATTAGTAGGCAACGAGGCGGTCGACCAACTGGTGAAATTCAACCAGGCTTTAGCCGACCATAGTGCATCCTCCAACCCCCGCGTCATAGACGGCATAGTGCTCACCAAGTTCGACACCATAGACGACAAAGTGGGCGCAGCTATATCTATGACCTACATCACCGGACAGCCCATAGTTTTCGTCGGCACCGGCCAGACTTATACCGATCTTAAAGCATTGAATGTCAACGCGGTGGTGCACGCACTCATGAAATAAAATGCTCTTTTCTCATTGCGAAAAAAAATATATCCCCGTAATATTGTTTTGTGTGTAACGATTCTTGATTTATGATTCCGACTTACCGATAAAGATAAATTGTACTATGTGTGCCAATAACCCATCGATTCTACAATATAAGTTTAGTGTCACAATTAGCAAAGTCATCGGAATGTACGTTTAACTTGACAAAGTCATCAAAACATCATGTCGCATATAACAAAGTCATTTAAATATCATGCCACACTTAACAAAGTCATCTAAACAACACACCACACTTAAAAAAAGTCACCGAAACATGAAACAATTCGTCAAAACATCATGTCTCAATTAACAGTCATCAAATATCATGACAAAGTTAACAAAGTGTTCCAAATATCATGCCACACTTAATAAAGTCATCCAAACATCACAACTCACTTAACAAAGTCACCAAAATATGATATCATTTGTCAAAACATCATGTCACTATTATAAAGCATCAAAATATCATGCCACAGTTGACAAAGTCATCAAAATATCATGCTACACTTAAGAAAGTCATCAAAACATCATGATACATTTAACAAAGTCATTTAAATATCATGCCACACTTAACAAAGTCATCTAAACAACACACCACACTTAAAAAAAGTCACCGAAACATGAAACAATTCGTCAAAACATCATGTCTCAATTAACAGTCATCAAATATCATGCCAAAGTTAACAAAGTGTTCCAAATATCATGCCACACTTAATAAAGTCATCCAAACATCACAACTCACTTAACAAAGTCACCAAAATATGATATCATTTGTCAAAACATCATGTCACTATTATAAAGCATCAAAATATCATGCCACAGTTGACAAAGTCATCAAAATATCATGCTACACTTAAGAAAGTCATCAAAACATCATGATACATTTAACAAAGTCATCAAAATATCACGTCACACTTAACAAAGTCATCAATATATCATGCTCCACTTAGCAATTTCTCCAAAATATCGTGTCACAAATAAAATAATCATCAAAATGTCACACAATTTCACACATCATTTTCCACATGGCAAAAATCATCAAAGATCAAATTCACTCATTAAAAAAACCACTCAGAATTGTTTTGTTAAACTCACTAAAAATTAATTTATCAAAAAGTTTGGAAGATTCACACTCATAACATTGAAATAATGGCCAAGTGAAGAGCCGGTATGAGATACAATCACAAATTCTTCAAATGTATTACAGAAAACGGGTTTAACAATAGTTTGATCAATGTCGTACGTTACGACTAAAGCAAGATTCTGAATCAAGAATAGTTGCGAATTATATTAAAATAATTATTATTCAAATGTTACTAAAGTAAGTTTGAAACTAATGTATTTACCTCCTTAAAGAAGCCTTGTAATCGACGAAAATAATATTTAATTAAACCAATTAAGTAAGACAAATTATTTGCAATGAATTAGTTTGAAACAGACTTAATAAGTTATGTATGTATGATTTATCAATGTTACTAAATGAATAAATAGTTTGTTTATATTATAGAAAAACTTGTTTTATAATGTTTAATTTATCGTAATTATGAAAATAGGTCAATGATTTTCTTTATTATACTTTAATGTTTTGTATTCCGAAGAAATGATTCCATATTTATGTATAAGGCCACGCGAAGTGATATGTATGTACCATCTTTATTTTATTTTGTTTAAATAAATGTTTATTTTTATATAATTGCTGGGTTTCTTTGTTTCAATCTATATATATAAAACTCAAAGGTGACTGTCTGACATAGTGATCTATCAACGCACAGCCCAAACCACTGGACGGCTGAAATTTGGCATGCAGGTAGATGTTATGACGTAGGCATCCGCTAAGAAAGGATTTTGATCAATTCTACCCCCAAGGGGACAAAATAGGGAATGAAAGTTTGTATGACACTTTGTCAATTTTAAACCGATCGGGCTGAGACTTTTCATGCAGGTATAAGAAGAATCATAGATGAATGTCATTGTGTATAATACAAGGCTGAGAACAAAAACTGTAGTCTACACTTCAGCTCTACACCGAAGCGAAGCGAGGGCGGGCCGCTAGTTCGGACATAAAACTTTGCTCACTTGCTTTATTTTGTGTAATTAATCGTGTGTTTTATCTCCTTTACATAATTTGACTTTCCACCCAATTTGTATACTAATATAGGGTGCCCTCAATAAGAGCACAGTGCACTTTTTAAATTGAGTGTACTTAATGTTTTTTCATGCAAGTGGCTACTCTAAAATTTGACCTATGTTTATTATGACGATTAAATGTGGAGCGTTCTACAACAGAACAACGCGTTAAAACCATGAAAACTTATAACAAAAATTTGTAAAGTTAAGCTGACACCGCTCGAATTTTACGAAAGATATCATCTTCTCCGATGAAGCGCATTTCCATCGGAATGGCTTCGTGAATACACAAAATTGTCGAATTTGGGGCTCAGAAAGTTCTCATCCAATCTATGAGCAACAAATACATCCACAATGAGCGGACGAGGCCGAAATTGCAGTGACTGAATGGCATTCGTTACTGGTACTATCGCGGAATTTTGCGCTCTGTCAATTGGCGAACAAAATGCTTTGAACGGTTTTCTACAGTAGTTTTTACTACGCCCCCTTCGCCTTCGCGTCGGACGCGCCAATCCGGGCCGCCGCACAAAAGTAAGACAGAGAGCATTTCATTGATTGAATAATGAATTGAATTGCATTTGTTTTAGTTGCAATTTGTCATCCGCATCGTGATCGCGACAGCGCTATACGAAAAAGTAAGACAGCGATAATTACATGTCTATGAATGAATTTTTACTACGCCGCTACCGCAAGCGATTATGGCATTATGGGTGACAGAGCGGGTCTTTCCGCGAGTGTACGTAATAACGAAGTTATTGGTTTTTTATATATAGCCAGGTAGGCAAATGACTACCTTATCTGATGTTAAGTGGTGATAAAGTCCAAACGCGAAGATAGCTGCAATATAGACTGCCACACCAACCATCCTCACCTTGCCGGTCTGCAAAAATGCTTCTTCACACCTCTCCTAAAGTACCCCAGATTGTAGGAAGGAGGGAACACGTGCGCGGGTAAAGAATTCCACTTGCGAATAGTAGGACAAAGAAATGAGTCACCAAATTGCTTTGTTCATGTAGGAATAGTGGCCACAGTAAGTTGGTGACAATGTAGGGCAGCGCGCGTGGTCCTCAGAAGAAGTCCTCTTGTGGCCTCAACTGGACTGCAAGGATTTGGATCACATGTGGGATCAGAATGTGAGCTTCCGTTGCCCGCAAATGGAATATTTTCTTTCCAATAATGAAAGCGGTAAAAGTTACACAAAAAAACTCCGCGACAGCATAATTATGTCTATCTTTTAAGGGTGACCCACTGTAACCTTTTTCTTCAAATTAATGCGGATGAAACCGCAGGGCACCACTTGTACAAAATATTACTACTTATATCATCATCAGCCTATTAATGTCCCCACTGCTGGGGGCCTGGCCTTCCCTATGGATGGATTAGGGAGATTCGGCCATGACCCACCACGCGGGCGCAGTGCGGGTTGGTGAGTGCTAATGACTGCAGATGCAGCCGGGACCAACGGCTTTACGTGCCTTCCGAAGAACGGAGGAGCTCGAGATAGTAAATTTTTGGTCACCCATCCAATGACCGACCACTGCGAAAGTTGCTCAACTTCAACGACCGCAGCCGAACGGGCTAACCACTGGCGCCATCGAGCTCCTCACTACTTATATGTTATGTATAAAATAGTTATTTATTATTATTAGTTTTACTAACTATATATATAAGATATTATAAAAGAAATAATTTAAATTTACTCTTCATCATTTAGTTTCGTAATATTTTTTTCACCGCATACAAAGTTGCAGCACATACTTACCTGCCTCATAATAACTCGCACTGGCCTTTCAATTGACCAACATCCTAATTAATTAGAACACCAGAATTTTCGTGTTCAAATATGAAAAAAATAACATATTGTGTGAATGTTACCGTGAGTAAGAGCTGATTTTTGGGTCGCGGTTGTAAAACTGACATAAATAGGTCAATATAATAATAATGGGGTGCTGTGAATCTTTGGAAAGTTCATTAGTGAGGTTCAAGTTGAAATCTTGTTGCTGCATTGCGTCTGTCAAATTGGGACTCAACATAGTTGCGTATTTCAATGTTTTGGTGTCGGTAAGTTTAATATAATTATACAATCATTCATCATCAACCTATTTTGGTTTCTACTTCTGGTGAACAAGATTTTTTGACGTGACAACGTCTTAAATTAGGTTGCGGCTGGGAGTCACTTATGAAAAAGTGTAACGCTCGGTAACGTTACGATGAGTTTAAGTTTACATGTACAATGTTTTAGTAAACAAAATATATTTCTATAGTTAAAATTTGTGCAATTCTTATTTTCATTCAATTCCTTGTTCCTATTGTGCAATTTAATTATATTCATATCAATAAATATTCTACCGAGAAAAAGACGTTGTCACGTAAAATCTTCGCCCGTAAAACCGACTTTACAGGCAACCATTTTTTTTGAGTGGAATAGGAACATAGCCAAAGGCAATGGTGACGCGAGCCCAGTAAATTTTGGTGAGTTCTAACGACTGCAATCAACCCGGGTACTATTGCGGTATTACCTTGATAGTTTGAAAAATGAAAAATATTTATTTTGTAACCAAATTATTAGACTTGCAACGAATATTCGGTATTCTGCCTATTCGGATGCTTTTATTATATTCGGCTGAATACCGAATATCTAGGTACATATTATTCGGCCGAATACCGAATACTTAAATAATATATTTTGTCATAGAGAAATAATTGGTTAAATGAAAAATTAAAATCTTTTGATTACGTATATATTCATATTTTCATTTCTGTTATATAATCATTTAAGTATGATTTTATTTATTTTTTAAGCATTTAACTGCTAGATGTTTAAAAGTAAAGATTTCTTTAGATTTTTTTCTAGTAAACTTTTCTTTAGATCATTTAAGTAGTCATTGGTACATAACACAGGTACATAATCATCTTTTGAACTGGAAAAATGGAGGATACTTTGTAAGTATTTGAATTATTGTGGAAATCAAAATTTAGAAGGGTAAGGTTCTCATTTCTTTTATAATCATTTATTAAGTAGTCATTGGTACATAAAACAGGTAAAAAAATTAATTATTTTCTGTATGAAAGAAGTTAACAGTTTTTAATTCATTCAGTCATGTGATGAATGGTTACTTAATAGCAATAATTTAAAGTTTACGCGCCGTTTTTGGCCATATCTCAAAAGTTGTTTTTGTCATTTAGCCGCATTTTAGCTTGAGGACGGCAGATTAGAAAAAAACAAAGGGGCGCGAAACAATCGCGTCTGTACAAGTTTTTGGCGCTAAAATCCAGCCGAATACTTTTGCCTAATATTCGGCTATTCGGCCAGGGCCCTTGCCGACTATTCGGTATTCAGTATACTGCCGAATATACTATTCGTTGCAAGTCTACAAATTACATTAACTTAAAAGTTATTGAAGCACTCTTTTAGGTAAACATATACCTGTGCTAGAATTCCTCGCTCTTTCATATCATATATCACAATTTTTTTTCAAAAAAAATATCTCGCTAAATATAAATAGCAGTGAATCAGGTGAATTTCACATTTATCAATAAAATTTTTTTCACTGACACCAATTAGCCTAGCCCCAAAGTAAGCATGTAAGGCTTGTGTTATGGAATACTAGGGTAACGGATATGGTGTATTACATATATAAGTATATTTATATAGTAATATATATTAAACATCCATGACTGGAGTACAAATGCTCGTATTCAGCACACAAAGATCTGCCCCCACCGGGTACCGCACCCGGGACCTTTCCAGTGCCGACTCGACACCATGAAACCCGGCGTACAAACCACTCGGCCACGGAGGTCGTCAAATCAATAAAAATCAAATCATTAACTTGCAGGCAGTGTCTCTGCTGTCAGAGGGGCGGTTTTCGCCTATAGCTAAAGAAGTACAAAACCTGGTGGTGAGTGAAGGATCAGCATTGCACCAGCTCGTCAATATCGCGAATATTTTCTTCAATTTTCTACTGGTGATTGCTGTGAATAAAGTAAGCGAATTTTGTATTGTATTCCATGTATGTAAGTATGGACAACAGTACCTACTCCTAGCACGAACCAATATCGATTTCAAATAGTTTGCGAGTCCGAAATGTCATTGTCAAATATGTACCGAATTTAAGTTCTCGTTACGTCCTCTGTGGCGCTGCTGTTCAAGTTTCCAAACAAAATTTGACAATGACATTTCGGACTCGCAAACTATTCGAATTCGATAATGGTGCTAGGGCAACAGCACGCAAAGAGGGCTACCGTTTTTGGCTTCTCACAAGATGGTGCCATTGTTGAGCGAGGTCTGCAGTGTGGCTGTTAATGATCGTGAAAAAAAATATAATATTTAAAAATCATATTCAATACGATAGAACCGTAGCGTAAACAAATCGGCCAAATGCCACAGTTGCGCAGTTCCGTTTTGTTCAGAAAAAAAGAGGAGATAATTTTTCGAAACATAAAACTGTCTCAAATCCCTTACATTCATTGACCCGTAATGGCAGAACTACACTTATCTGTCATGTTGTGTGTAACGCATCAGAGAGCTATCTGTTGCATAGATTTAGTATGATTAGAGCGGGAACGCTGTCAACTCATCGCGACATACAAGTACAGTTTTAACCGTACTAAATGTATGAAACCGATCACGTCACAATCACAACACAACGTGATAGGTATAATGCGATTCAAATAAGAATAGGAAAGCCAATGACTTCTATCTGTCAAATGACGCTTCAAAAGTACAGTTTGCAAAAAAAACTTGGAACCCCTTTTTAGCACTCCGCTAATTCAAGAATAAAAACCAGACATTTGTAAATAAACAATTACAAATATTGATAATTAATATCGGTTGATATTTTTTTTTTCACTTAATGAGCTTTGGCAATGAATGGTTGATAACCTAAATCGTCAACCAAATGTCACTTTAAGTTGCGTTCAGAAACTCGATTTCAAACTTTCGTTTACTTAAAGGATGCATGTTTGTATGTGACCTAGTAATAGTGCGTGATTATTCATAACTACTCCGGCGGTAATGCAGGGATGAGCGGAATAGAAGAGCTAGATTCTGATTATAACTTTTTCTCACAGTCTTAATAAATAAATATTATTAAAAATCGGTGGTTCTTTTTTCTCAATCTTAGTAAATAAATGTTATTAAAAACTCTGATGCTTTTCTCACTAAATCTTAGTATATAAGTTTTATTAAATAAAAACGTCTTTTTTTTTTGCTCACTCTACCTATTTGATTCGAACTGACAGCTAAGACATCACAATGTGGCGCCCAGTCGGTCCTATTCTTAGTTGAATCGCATTATAAATATATTTCTGCCTTAACTCATATTTGCTATAATAAATCTGAGTTATTACCACATATTCACATAATTATTTTAATTAGAACTAAACCCTTTGTAATTCAGCTACAAGCAAAGGCATTTAACATTTCGGAGACCTCACACTACACAAACGCCTTTAGCGACGGAATCATACACGATAGGCCTCGTAACACGTTAGATTTACGACATAGTGGCAAAATTAAGAAAACGCATTTTCTTAAGATTGAAATAAGTCGGACTTTTAATTGAAGATCTGTTCACGCTTCGCCATTGAAAGAAAAACAATTTTCGTAGCCCCTGTGTGTTTCAAACGGCACATCAAGCCGTTGGTCCTTGCATCTGCAGTCTTAGTATAAGTCGCGGCACGTAACTCTAGCACTGACCGTTATTACGCAGAAGTAAAAATTAAGATGTGTTGGGGGGAAACGAGGTGCGCGGGCGTGCCTTGCGCCGATTGGCTCTCCAGTCGTACCCATGCGCAGCTATCCCTGACGCGTTTTGTTCAGCGCTAGAGTTACGTGCCGCAAATTGTAAGTGCCTACCCCAACGATATTAAGATAGATACACCACGAGCGCTCAAAATGTGTCCCAACCAAGAAGTGCTTGAACTCCACTCAAGCACTTCTTGGTTCACAGTCACGCGTGGACCGTTACCAAGTCAAGTTGCCACAGAGCTCTCAGAGCGAGGGAGAAAATAATGTACGAAAAGTGTGTTTTTTTCGACAGGATCTAGTCAATGTTTGTTAATTTAACGCATTTGAAGTAAATTTTGATCTAATACTTACTATAAACTGATTTAATATAAAATATTTGTGACATTCAAATGCATGGTCGGTTATACATCGCCATATAGCCGTCTCTTTTCCTCGCGGTCCGTGCCTACTGTATTGCTAACAGCGCGTAGAGTTAAAGAACTAAGCTCTTCCTCTTAAAGCAATATGTCGTAAAATTTTACGAGCTTGCATTTCGAACTGTCAGAAGTCCTCGACGCATGCGTATCATTTAAGACCTTATGTATTAAATGTTACTTTCAATATTTAAATAATGCCTTATATTGATTTTGACTACGCGATCATCTTACGGAGCTCCGTGGATCGTTCAATGTACCTTTTGGACAGGTTTTGGGCACGATTTTGTTCGTGTTGGTGTATCTAGGGTATTTAATATCGTTGGCCTACCCACTCTTTTTTTCTCTGCTCCGTGGTACCCAGTTGAGCTCGCGTGGTGGTTTTCGCGTAGTCGTTTTTTCTCTGCTCCGTGGTACTCAGTTGAACTCGCGTGGTGACTTACAGCCAACTTACTGCCATTTCTCCTTTAAGGATTTACATCCATATTCTTAGTCGCGTCCTCAAACGTTCCTCGACTCCAACTCATTCGAGGGCTCCTTAAGGAGTTCCTCCAAATAACCTCGAAAATGACATTCTAGTAGGTATCTTGAACAAACTTGAGAATTCCTCCTCTGAGATTTCAAACAAAGGTATAAAGCATAAAAGCATAGACATATTATATGTGTAAAGTAAAATATCACACAACAAACATAGGTAAATACCTACCTGAAATAATCCTGTCACGTAAAACTTCAAAGCCACCAGTAATTGTATTAAAGGCGGTACAGTAGTCCTCTGTCAATACAATTTAGTGTAATGCTTAGCAGAGGAAATATTACTTGTATGAATGTATCTCTCTAAACCGAAATCTTCTTTTTAACGAATCATTATCGTAATCCTCAAAAGGATTTGCGGCGTCACGTAAATACCGTCACGCCGTATCATATGGTTCATCATCGTATACGTAATCCATAAAATCCACCAATTCGTCAATAATCTCAAAATTCTAAATCTCAAAAAACAACTTGAAATCACCTTAAACACCACTCGAGGAAGGCTTAAGGTACGTCGAGAGCTACCTTGAGTTTGACTGTTTATTCCTCGACTCAACCTCCACTCGAGTGAGGAATATCTCAAGTGAAGGATATTTTTGTTGTCTAAGCATACGAATTTCCTCGAATGAGGTTGAGTCGTGTGGAAAAAATCTCGAGGAAACGACTAAGAATATGGGTGTTAGTGTTTGGTACCTAAAATAATACTTGATAACGAACTTAAATTGTGCACTCGTATCCATTCCCCGTTAAGTGCACTGCAACGGATTAATCAATCCCCAGTAGTCACGTGTTCGACACGTCCGGGGACGTGTGGGTTTTTTTTTTATTTTTCGCCACTCGTCATGCAGGTTACAAATCTGGGGGTGACGAGCAGAAATGTCCGCAGGTTTAGATAATGAAAATGTTCACAGAATGTGTCATCATCAGCCTATTAATATCCCCACTGCTGGGGCACAGGCCTTCCCTATGGATTGAATAGGGAGATTGGGCCATGACCCACCACGCGGGCCCAGTGCGGATTGGTGGGTGCTAACGACTGCAGATGCTGCCAGGACCAACGGCTTAACGTGCCTTCCGAAGCACGGGGGAACTCGAGATAGAAGATTTTTGGTCACCCATCCAATGACCGACCTCTGCGAAAGTTGCTTAACTTCAACACTACCACCCGCGCCATCGAGCTCCTCCACAGAATGTGTAGGTGGCCCATATTATCTATACTTATAATAAATCTGTAGAGAGGTCAATTCTGTACATGAAATATATTTTCAAAATAACTATCAGGGGGTGATTAGTGATCGATACTGATGCCAAAAATGCAACCAGTAAAAATTTTGTCTGTCTGTCTGTGTGTATGTTCCTTATAGAAACAAAAAGTAGGTACTCGACGGATTTTAACGAAACTTGGTACAATTATTCTTCATACTCCTGGGCGGCTTATAGTATACTTTTCATCACGCTACAATCAATAGCAGCAGAGTAGTGAAGGGAAATGTTGGGAAAACGGGAGAAGTTACTCCATTTTTTAAGCTTCCGTCGCGTGTGCAGCCTTAATGGTTAAAGTTACATAGAAATCATGTATGACGAAAATATTCTACATAAAATTGTCTAAAAAATATCCCGCAACAGCATATGTCTATCTTTTATGGTTGACTCACAATAACACGTGTAATTATATAAATAAAGTCATTGTTTATAGAACAAGCCTGAGAACAAAAACCATAGTTTACACTACAGCTCTACACCGAAGCGAAGCGAGGGCGGGTCACTAGTTATTTATAGTTTCGCTATAACAACAAATAACAAAAACAAATGGGTCAACATACAGTAAGATAAAAAGGCCATGGCAATGACTGTATTGCTAACTATAAATTTACGAAAGGTTCCGTACTTATCGTGTGCTACTTATACTTAAATCACGCTTGGTAATTTGTTTTTTACTTTTAAGTTAGCATCTTAACAGACGGTCGTGTCATTATTTTTTTTTACATTTTTTTTGAAGTGAAACTTCTTTGCGCACGCTTGACTTGGGGGGGTAAGCTGGTGAATGCGTTACTCGTTACGAAAAGTGTGTTCGGGTGAGGCGAACGGGAGTTGAGTGGGGGGTATAAGCAAGAGAAAGCAGTGCGCACGCACATTGTCTTTCTCTTTTTCTCTTATAGCTACATAACTAGTTAATGAAATATATTAATGTACATACATGTATATATTGTACACACATATATACATGTATGATATATAAATACATACATACCGATAGAGCTAAAGAAGTTTCACTTCAGTCGTGTGGTCATAAGCACACTGGTTTTTTTTTTCTTATCTGTTGCAGAAAATCCCGGTTTTGCTAAGAATATTCATATACTATTGCACAGCGTCCATTGCTGTGAAGCTAATTGTTTTAGGGCCCCTCATACAGGCATCAGAAGATGGAGGGCTCAAGATCATCATTGTCACAGTCCTTAGTATATGTAAGTCTGTCACGCATGTTTCAGAAATCAGAAATCAATATATCTTTATTCAAATTGGATGTATAGTACAACTCTTTTGAATCGTCCAAAAATACCCTACCACTCGTTATGTTTTTTTTATAATATCTTTAAATTTATTTATGGCTAACTCTTGGATTTTCTTTGGGACTTTATTGTATAAGCGAACACAAAGACCTTTAAATGAATTATTAATTTTGTGAAGCCTAGTAGCAGGTAAAGTTAGTTTATTTTTGTTTCTTGTATTAATTGTGTGAACATCACTGTTTTTAAGAAACAAATTAATATTTTTTCTTACAAGTAATAAATTTTCGTATATGTATTGTGATGCGACCGTCATTATTCCAAATTCTTTAAACTTATCTCTTAATGATTCTTTAACTTTGTTTTTTTTGACGACCTCCTTGGCCGAGTGGTTTATACGCCGGGTTTTATGGTGTCGCCGTCTGAAGAGGTCTCGGGTTCGAGTCCCGGTGGGGGCAGATGTTAGTGTGATGAATACGAGCATTTGTACTCCAGTCATGGATGTTTAATATGTATTTCTATATAAATATACTTATATATGTACAGTATATGTATTCTATCCGTTACCCTAGTATCCCATAACACAAGCCTTATAGTTAGCTTGGGGCTAGGCTAATTGGTGTGAGTGTTGGAAATATTTATTATTTATATTATTAACGTTATTAACACCATGATATATAATATTATTAATGTGAATATATATGAGGAACTGGCGAATAAAACGCTATCTATACATTTAATAAAATGGTAGGAAAGTCAAAACTGTACTATGATTTTTTTTTAAAGAATACTTGGGGTGTTGTCTGCAATCGCTACCGAAGCCAAAAATATAGTTAATAGAATTTTTGTCTGTGTGTATTAACGGGGCAAACTCAAAAAGTACTGCATGGATTAACATCGAATTTGGCAAGAATATTATTAAGAAGTCGGGTCAACATACAGGCTACATATTATCACGCTATCACCTACGGAGAACGAGCAGTAAAGCTTTATTTATAACTAACTCCACGCGTACGAAATCGCGGGCGGCCGCTAGTAAATAAATAAATAAATTGACGTTGAAAAGTATTGAGATACACTCTATTTAATGTTTCAGTATTCGAATGCTACATGATGCTGTTAGTAAGGAGCGTCATGGTAGAAATCAATGAAGAAATCGCCGAACAAAATGGGAAAGTACCAACTCAAATTGTGTTCACTCCCCATAGTAAAGATGGTAACGGACATGACAAGGACGCTTCTGTTGAAATTATAATACCAAGCCCCAAGCAGAAGGAAGACATCAAGAAAGAGGAACACGGAAGGTTGGAAACCGTACACGAGTTACCGAATGAAACTGCGACCGATGTGAAACAAGACGCTTCTTGATAAACATTAATGTTGTTTGATTTGTGTGATAAAAATGTAGGTAATTTTTTAAAGCAAACATTTTTTGTTTTATTTATTTTACAATAATATCATCTGGGCACAGGACCGCATCCGGAGATATTTGAGGAGCTCGATGGCGCAAGTGGTAAGTGCGTTCGGCTGCGATCGTTGAAGTTAAGAATCTTTCGCAGTGGTCGATCATTGGGTGGGTGACCAAAAATTTACTATCTTGAGCTCCTTTGTGCTATGGAAGGCATGTTAAGCCGTTGCTCCTGGCTGCATCGATAGAGCCCGCCAATCCGCACTGCGTGATAAGGGTTGTCCTCCCCTATCATTTTATTTTATGAACAAAATTTTATTTCTTTATAATGTGGCATTAAAAAATACTTACTACCCAATATTTCACCCTTCTACCACCAGCCCCTTTTTTTATGGCGGTACGAAGTCCGCTGGGTCAGCTAGAAATAAATAAATATTTCGAACAAACACCAATTAGCCTAGCCCCAAAGTACAAAGCACTGTAAGGCTTGTGTTATGGCATACTAGGGTAACGTATATAATACATATGGGTAATGATACACATATAAGTATATTTATATAGAAATACATATTAAACATCCATGACTGGTGTACAAATGCTCGAATTCATAACACAAACATCTGCCCCCACAGGGATTCGAACCCGGAACCTCTCGAGTAGGCGACGCCTTGTTACCTGGCGTTCAAACCACTCGGCCACGGAGGCTATACCATCTAACCAGTGCCGTCTTTGACCTATTGGAGGCCCTGGGCATCTTAGGATAATGGGGCCCCTATGACTTCCGTTTCATGATTAAACAGGAACTAGGGACTTTGTATTTGATCTGAGGGGCCCCCTATTGATCGCGGGGCCCTGGGCACTTGCCCAAAGTGCCCACTGGGAAAGACGGGTCTGCATCTAACTAGGTTGTTCAAAAATCGCCATTAAAATCATATCACGGCGTTAGATCCCTTTCCTGGTTACCATCATCACTGTATTAATGCTCCCACTGCTGGGGCTAGGTTTGCCAGATGCAGGCTTATCAATTCCGGGACATTTGCTCCCCCTCCCCCCTGAAAAAAAAGCATCAAATCTAACCCCCTAGAATTAAAACATCAATCAGGCCAGCGGTGTCATTCGTTATTAGTTTATTTTGTTACGAAACTAGCACATTATCGGAATCCGCGACAATAAGGTCTAATTACTGGTTACGGGACAAGACGCAAAATTCCAGGATAATCCCGGTTTTACCGGCCATCTGGCAAGCCTAGCTGGGGCGCAGTCTTTGCACAATTCTACTTAGGCCTAGCTTGCTTGGGTGCGGAACTGCGGTGAAGTCCCTCAACGGGGATGGTCCCTCATGGTTCCGCATTTAACAGCGTAGAGGGTATTTGCAGGGTTTTTTAGCGGATACTATGCCATAAGCGCTCTGTTTCGTACCCGTGTGACTTGCGAGAGGCTAGGAGCTCTATTTTTGAATCACTCGTCTTGCGTCGAACGCTCGATTTCTACTAAATTTCATTCGACATAATTAATTCCGTATTTTTGAATCGCTCGAGTGCAACGAATGGGTGAGACCACTCGCTGCATGGCGAACAGTGGAGGCGAATGATAGAATAATTGTCAAATTTTTTGTGCTATTAAACGACGATAATCTATCATTGTCATGCTTTATATGCGAGAATTTTTTGTTCGTTTTTCATTGCGTTAATTATCGGTTTTTATTTTTTCTGCGTGAAATGAGTATAATTTCATATTTCGTATTAAACAGGTAACATTGGTGACGAATGATTCAAAAATACGGAAAATCAGAATTTAGCGACTTGAAAGTCGAAGGTGACTTATGTCGCATTCGACGATGCTATGTCAGACGAGTGATTCAAAAATAGAGCTCTAGGTGTGAGGTCCGTTCGTTGGAGTGCCCCTTAAGGGCGCCAACGTCTGTAAATATAGGTTTTGCCTGCATAATAAAAAAAAGGCCTAGCTTACTTATTGGAATTATATACAAAGTTGATCCATGTTTTTATTTCCTGTCCGCCCAATATATTTATTGTGTTCTGCTTACGTACGATTAATTTAAATTATGTGTGTATGTAATGTCGTTTCTTATATTCATAATTCTCCTTCGTCCTTGATCGTTATCCCATTAACCCGACTGGGAACCGAATTCAGACGTAGCTCCATCAACAACTTTGCCAGCTCCGTAACCGTAACGAATCGTCAAAGTTTCTATGAAAACTATGCAGCGCCCCTACTGGATTTAAGAACAAACTGGCCCATCCATACAAAATTTTGTCGATCAATAGGATTATGGATCTGTCAAAATTCATGCTTAGGGTCTGTTCGTTATATGACTGGGAACGGAAGTATCCTTAGCACGAACCAGTATAAAATTCGAATAGTTAGCGAGTCCAAAACGTCATTGTCAAATGCAGGGCTTTTAACCGGTTTCGAAAATAACGGTAAACAAAGGTTAATACCGGTTTTTAGTAAAGGTTTCGTTGGGAGCGCATCCGAAATGAAAGCGGTACCTAAAACCTTAAAAAACCGAGCGACACATGCACGCGTCGGCATCGGTTGAAGTTTGTTTTGTTTGAACTAATCAAGTCACAACTTGTTAATACTCAGAGATTGATGCATTTATTGACACGTTTGCTTTTAGTGAGCCAAGTTATTCATTTTGTAGTTGTGTACTGATACTACACTACTTCACTCACTCGCTCTGTAGTTGGAAAGAAACTGACATAATATCATTATAAATTTGAATTGAAACGGCGAAGGCGATACCGTCAGTAAGAGCGAAATGAAACCCTTTAAAATCGCTTAATTGATTCAAAACCTATTTGATTTCGCTTTTTAGGAAAACCGGTTTTTTAAGGTTAAGGTGGAGCCAAACGCTCCTAATGTATTTGATACTGATTTAGGTTTGAAAATTAACCGGTAAACAAGACCTGGTCAAATGTGTACTGATTTTAAGTTCTCTTTACGTCCATTGTAGCGCTGCTGTTCGAGTTTCCATACAAAATTTGACATTAACATTTAGCACTCGCAAACTATTCGAATTCGATAATGATTCGTGCTAAGGGTACTGATTGCGGAGACTTCACCAACGGAGGTCATCGACAACATGTATGTAGATACCACCGCGTCACCATTTTTATTACATCACACAATCAACTCATTTATTAACCTTCTAATTAAACGAACATCCTTATTAAAACTATGAATTTTTACGTGCCAACAAACTATTTTTGTATCATTTTGTGTGAAAGCGGCCGTGTGAGACATTATATTCGACATTTGCCATAAGCGAGTAAGAGTGACAAATTTAATTATTTAAGCAATGGAAGGATATAATTATGCTAAAAATGTAGTCTTAACTTTCAAGTTGGCTTCGTGTTGTTGGCTCGCGCCTGTGAAAATAGGAATACTTGCCATAGCGTACGTCAACATTTTAATATCGGTGAGTTTTTTTTTACATACATACATTTAGGCCACTGCAGGGCGAGTTAAACATAAAAAGACGGCAGCATGATAGCCAAGCAAGACCCGATCCAAGGGCGGGGCGAGCCAGGCATTTGCCCACTTAGGGTCAGCCGTAAAGTACGTCACTAAAGGGCGGCAAACATTTTTGCCCAGAGCGGCAAACATTTTTGCCCGGAGCGGCAAAATTTCTAGATCGGGCCCTGCAGCCAAGGAATACATTTCGCGAAACATTTGCATGCCCAAGTCTATGAAGTTTAAGTTTGTTATAATACAAACATCCAGCTCACAAGAAATATGAAGATTAAAAAGCCCATCCCGGGACTCGCTGTCTCTTTACCAAATTTCATCTAAATCGGTGCAGCGGTAACAGAGAGATAGCCACACTTTCGCAGTTACCTTTAATATTAGAATGGATTGACTGGGTCTAAGATGTTGTTCGGAAATAAAAGTGACAGGTTGCCTGCAGCTTTAACATAATATTTCATAATGCGCCTGTCCGTTGGTGTGATTTTTTACAATATGCACTGGAAAAAATAGCATGTGGCGCATCCTATGTTTTTTTATCGCTCTGACTTGGACTGGAGGTTTTGTCTATAAACCCTGTTAACTTTGGAAGTAGGTACAGATATTAAGAATTTGACAACTATGTATATCGACTTTATTAAGAAGCGATAATAACTTATATTAAAAGTAATAATGCATCCCGTATTGTACAGCACCAATACATCAGATAAAAAAACTTTTCTTCTAAGTGTCGCCGCACACGGGCCACCGACCACAACCACAAAACGCCGACACACATAATCATAATCATAATCATAATCAAAATCATTTATTCAGTTTAGGCTGTTACAAGCACATATGAATGTCTAGAAGCTACGCCATCGGTTCGTAAATCTACGGCGGGAGACCTTGTACTGAGAAGAACCGGCAAGAAACTCAGCAAGGGCTGTTTTTTTCTCCCTGTTTTATTATTTACAGAGTCGTCAAATTGAAAAATGACTTCAGAGGTGATTCATGAAGTCACTTTTCATTACATAATTATTAAATATACATTAATTGTTTACCTGCATTTTGATTGCTGTGTCATACAGTATAAATACAAATAGTGTTATTTATATTCAGTGTGACTAAACATTAACTTCAATATTAAGGAAGTTAGGGCAGACTCATCTCCGCTGGCAGCACCCGTTCACGAGCATGACGCATGAACCAGCCATCGCTTCGCTCAACCATATTTTAGGGAACGTAACGACCCGCCTCACACGACACCGCCGAAGAGACTATTATGAGAGCATGACTACCCATAACTACCCATACTAACTACAACATATTTACTTAAACTAAGGTCATTTACCAGTAAGACACAACAAACAATTACAAAACAAAGCAAAGGAGAAATCACGACCACGCCGTTTTGTCAATCAAATATTCTTAAACAGTCTGGTAATCTTACTTAAGTTATTAACTTTATATACAGCTTTCAGTTTAATTATAGTATTGTCAACACATAATTCATAATTTAAATCATATAGAAATACCCGTTGGAATGGTTGGAACAGTTCATACCCAAGCATTTTTGTCTGTAATATAATCAGACACTTTATAATATGCTTTCTTAACTAGTAATTTTTTAATGGTCGATTTAAATTTAGTCATGCTTAACTCTTGAATATTGCTTGGAACTTTATTGTAAAAGCGAACACTAAGACCTCTAAACGAATTATTGATTTTGTGGAGCCTAGTAGCAGGTAAAGTTAAGTTATTTTTATTTCTAGTATTATATGTATGTATTTCACTATTTTTAGTAAACAAATTAATATTTTTTTTTACAAATACTAAGTTGTCATATATGTATTGTGATGCAACTGTCAATATACCTATTTCTTTAAACTTATCTCTTAATGAATCCTTAACTTTAAGATTATAAATTGATCGAATAGCCCTCTTCTGCAGCACAAATATAGTTTGAATGTCGGCGGCATTTCCCCACAGTAAAATACCGTAAGACATTACACTATGAAAATAACTAAAGTAGACTAATCTGGCAGTTTCTATATCCGTTAACTGCCGTATTTTCATTACAGCATATGCTGCAGAACTAAGTCTCTTCGACAATCCATCAATATGTGGGCCCCACTGCAGCTTAGAATCTAGTGTGATTCCTAAGAACACTGTGGTATCTACAGAGCTCATATGTCGATCCTTTATATTTACATTAGTTTTTACCTGTTTCACATTAGGTAATACAAATTTCAAACACTTAGTTTTCCCTTCATTTAGCATCAAATTATTAACATTGAACCAATGGACTACCTTCGAAATAGACCTGTTCACGTCATCAATTTGTGACTCCCTACGTTTAATTTTAAACAAAAGTGAAGTGTCATCCGCAAACAATACTATTTCGTGGTTATCCTTTACAAAATAGGGCAAGTCATTGATATAAATTAAAAATAAGAAAGGACCAAGGATTGAGCCCTGCGGAACTCCCATCTTAACCGACGAACCAGGAGATATATTTCTTGTAGTTTTCATACATTTTATATGGACTCGCCACACACGGTACGCCGGTTGCCGCCACATGCTACAAATCGTCGTTGCTCGCTGCTTGTGGCCCGCTCCGGCCACTTAATAAGTATTGTTTATTAATTAGTGAAAAATCTGTTTACAATTATAGTTGATCTCTCTGGTGGGCGTGGCTAATGGCAGTTACTCGCCGACTATACTAAAAGTGCAAGAGGTGATACTGGAGGACTTCGCGTCCAAGCCCATCCCTATTCTGTCCTACGCAACAGAGCTAGCATTCAACGTCATCTTACTGTGTGCCGTATACAGGGTAACTACACTTTATATTATAAATTAACATATTTAAAAGCTCTTGCTAGTTTTACCCACAGAAACTCTTTACCACCATAGGGACCCCTACTAAAAGTGGTGCAGCAGTTATGATTATGAACTATTTTGACGACCTCCGTGGCCGAATGGTTTATACGCTGGGTCACGGTAATATTATCTATACAGTATTGTGACTCGGCCCTGTCCTTGAAATAACTGTCGACGGGCCCGAGCGGGGTGTATCCACGCGGTAGGGCTGCAAATAAATGTTATTTTAAGTGTAATATTTAATAAAAAAAAATAAAGATTTAAGACAGAAAAATATTTACGCCTCGACTGAGACGTACGAAAAGCGTTATTATTAAATTTAATAGTATATTAAATACTCATTCGTATAAAAAGTTTAATTATTGAAGAGTTTAAGCAACCAAAAACAGCACAATATCGACTATTGCTCTTTGCCATATTAAATTATCTAGGTATCTACTTAATTCAATCAAATATTCACAATACAAACACACCGTTCGATCGGCGCATTCGCGACTGGATGCCCACCGGGAGCCGCGTGAACTCGAGTGGCGTAGGTACCTATGACACGCTTTCCGACCGTTTGTATGAAAATAGAATACTGTATAGATAATATTACCGTGGCCGGGTTTCATGGTGTATGTCGCCAACTCGAGAGGTTCCCGGGTTCGAATCCCAGTGGGAGGGCACTGTTTGTGTGCTGAATACAAGGTGTCCGTGATGCTAGCGTACCCACGATCAATATACGGTTTTTCGTTATGCCATTAAATACTGCGTAAATAGTGCCAAATTAGTGTAAAAATAAAAAAATAGTGCCTCTTTAATTTAAGAAATAAAGATCATTTTTACTGTGTACGCTATCATGCTTCATATATAAAAATAATGGGTGCGTGTACTTATGTAGGCGCGTGAGAAGTTATCCTTCTTTGGCATCGTTTAAAATTAGTTTTTAATTGCACGCAAATAATTAATTACAATAAATTAATAAAAAGTCTGGAAAAGGACACAGTCAATAAAGTTCAGTTTTAATTTGAAAAAATAAATAAATAATCAAAATATTCAATTAAAATCGCTACTGAATATAATTTATTAGAACATATGTGATTTGCACTTGTATGAAACTCAAACACGTATTCCGAATATACAAACTAGAAACATGTGGATAAATATTATAAATATGAATACCTATAACTGTTACTTTATTACAAAATAAAGATGTGGTTTTTGGTTCTACTACACCAATGGTCAAGAGATGGCGCTGTAGTCTCCTGAATCGCGCTTTGGTTCCGTTGTTTCAGATTAATAAATACTTTTGATATTATAAATATGAATACTTATAACTGTTACTTTATTACAAAAAATAAAGATGTGGTTTTTGGTTCTACTACACCAATGGTCAAGAGATGGCGCTGTAGTCTCCTGAATCGCGCTTTGGTTCCGTTGTTCCAGATTAATAAATACTTTTGATAGGCCTTCCCAATGCAGTCGTTAGCACCCACTAAATAGAGATTCTATTACTATTTGTTTGGTAGATTTTCTAAATGTGCGGTAAACACAAAAGTAAAAGCATGAAGTTGGACCAACTTCATGCTGTTAAAATTTTGTGTTACAGTGATGCGCGCGCATCTTAAAATTTCACTCTCATCATTTTTTCATAACGCGCCTAAAGAAGTATAACTTCAATAATTTAATTGCTTTTTTTATATTGTTTTACTGCGAATTAACATAAAATACTTTTACTGTTAGAGGCACTATTTGACACACTATTTATACATATAGAATTGATAACGAGAAAAGTTCATTTTCTATGAGAACTATTATGGGTACGCCAGGTCGACGCCAGCTAAGAATGTTTAGTTCAATATCGTTGGTCCTTTAATAGTATTGATTATGAAATTTTGTAAAGCCAGGGGCCCAATTCTCGCGGCGTAGATATTATATCGGCTTCGAGATAATATCGAAAGTAGGGATATCTATTGAAAATATCTACTGATGGTAAAAAATGCTATTCTCGTGGATTTTCGATATTCCAATGATATTATATCTATCGTAGATATTCTTTTACTGCCGAATGCGTTCCGTTTTTCTCGATTAAGTTAACATCATAGTCTATATAAATAAATAATAAATTAGAGCAGAATTTTACAAGCAACAAAATGATATTTTATGAATTCCATTCATATTAAATGTGTGTATACATTTTTTGAGTATAAGAAATCTCAACTTTACCTAAATTGTATGCGTATATAATTTCAACGTTATGTATAATGAAACGTCAATATTATTTAAAATTCTCCCTTTTCAGGGAAGGCAAAGGGAACAATGCCCATAAAGCCTAGTCTTTAGTTATATTAATCTTCTTTTTATTACATTCGAATGTCGGTGTGACGCATTCTAATGTTTCTTGGAGTGTTTGGCACGAAATTTATGGAGTCAACTTTTTCTCTAAGCTTCTGTGAGGTAGTCAACACTACAATAAAGTTCTCGCGTCCACTTGACCGGAATAGCGTATATTTTAAAGATTCCACTAATTCTTTAGTTGCGCAGACGGTTGTAACACCAAATCACACCAATTTTATTTCACAATATCCACTATGAACGAATTTTAGAATAATTAAAATAAGATACCAACCGCACTCGCAGAAATCCCGCCAAAACTCCGTATCGTCAATAAGAAAATGGTGTCGATTCTGGCATGATTCTCTAAACCTAAACGTAAATTTGACAACAGTGTATCCTTGTCATTCTCCATACAGAATGAAAAGGAGAAACTGATGTTAAATTTAGTTTTAAGTTTAGAGAATCGTGTCAGAATCGATACCAATGGTATCGATTCCGACATGATTCTCTAAACCTAAACTTAAATTTGACAACAGTGCATCCTTGTCATTCTCTATACAGAATGAAAAGGAAAGACTGTTGTCAAATTTAGTTTTAAGTTTAGAGAATCACGCCAGAATCGGCACCAATGTCATTCACAACTTTAAAGATTTCTAACGAAATTTTTGTTTAAACGTAATTTTTTTATGAAGTCCGCGTCCCTCATTTCAAATGGGCCCTCTTGCTCGCACAACGGCGGCGCCTTAGCACAGCAGCAGCAATCACGTAATTTATTAAATCATTGACGAAAACATGAATCAACTCATCCATCGTTAATATAAACTGGTGTCGATTCTGGCACGATTCTCTAAATCTAAACTTAAACTTGACAACAGTGTTTCCTTGTCATTCTCTATACAGAATGAAAAAGAGAGACTGATAATAAATTTAGTTTTAAGTTTAGAGAATCACGCCAGAATCGACACCATTGTTTACCTACTTCTTTATTTACTAATTATTTATGAAGGCAGTTAACAACATCTTGAGGTAACAATAACTGGCAAAGACACACGACAACACAATAAATAATAGGTAAAAAAAGTGGAAATAACAAGATTGACATGCCAAGATCCATAGATATTTATATATCGAAGGCTCTTTACCAGTCGATGTATGTCTACTGATCATCCGTAGATAAATATCTATTGCGACATGGTGAGAATAGGGCAAAAAGGTTTTCCTTCGATAAAAGTCAGATCATTCGATATATATCTAAGGTGATATAATATCTATGCCGCGAGAATTGGGCCCCTGGGCACTATTTGCGAACTATTTTTGTGTGTCAATTTCGTTGCTTAAATATATGCCGTTCTTGGGGTCGGCCATGGGTACGCTAGCTTGACGTCATGGTAGCGTACACAGTAAAAATGGTATTTATTTCTTAAATTAAAGAGGCACTATTTTTATTATTTTTACACTAATTTGGCACTATTTAATGGCATAACGAAAAACCGTATATTGATCGTGGGTACGCTAGCATCACGGACACGAATACGAGCATTTGTAATCCAGTCATGTATGTTTAATATGTATTTCTATATAAATATTCTTATATATGTACAATATAAGTACTCTATCCGTTACCCTAGTATCCTACATAACACAAGCCTTACAGTGTTTACCTTGGGGCTAGGCTAATTGGTGTGTGTTGGCAATATTTATTTATTTACCACTCTAGCTATCTTCACCTTGGCGGCCTGCACAAATGCTTCTAAACATTTTTGTTTGTTGTAGAAAGACCTGGAGTTGCTGCGAGTATTCACGTGGTACTGTGTATCGGCCATTATAGCGTCTGCTCTCCTGTACTCCATCGTCTTGGCTGTCATCGATGTGCTCACTGTAATCCTCATCGTCACGAGCATTAGTAAGGACGATCAATATATTATTTCTTTCTCTTGATGATCCAGGAGTTAGGTGATTAGTTCGTTCTGCGATCGTGGAAGTTAAGCATCTTTCGCTATGGCCGGTCATCGGATGGGTGACCATAAATTTAATAAGGAAGGCACGTTAAACCTTTGATCCCGGCTGCATCTGTGTGCCCATCTCCTATTCCATCCATAGGGAAGGCTTGTGGCCCCAGCAGTGAAGATGTTAATAGGCTGATGATGATGATGAGTTATTTACACTGCCTCTGCCACTAACCACCCAACCGTCATATATGCGAGAGTGCGGTAAATTTTTTTACCGCACGCTCCATTGTATGGGCTGTAATTAAACTGAGCAAATGTTAATATCGTTATCTAGGACAAGTTGATTTTTTTTACTAAAATCTAGCATTTAATGATTAAATAAAAATGTAATAAACTTATAATTTTTATTTTTTAAAGCATGTAACTGCTTGATGTTTAAATCTAAAGAAAATAAACTTCCTCTCATTGCAGTTTTCCAAATATACCTTCTTCTATTGGTCAGAAGTATAATGGTAGAATTAAAAGAGTTGACAGACCAAAACGGCGCACCGAAACAAGTACTTAGTACGATCAGCAAAGACGAAGATAATCAAGCTAAGAGTGAGGACGAGGCGAATATCGACATCCCTCTCACTCCCGAAGCGGTGCAGGAGGAGCACACGAGCTTAGAAAGGGACACAACATTGGCGACTGTCGAAGAACATCCTAACGAATTCACGGTCGAAGTTAGGTCTTGAGTTTTATCCACAGTAAGACAAAAGATACGAACTTGCAGAAGAAACTTAAAGCGCATTATACCAAATCGCGGACTAAAGTTATTCTTGGTTTAAGCCTAACGTTGTCTCCGTCTTCTATTTAACAAACAAAAGTGACAGCATCAGTTTTAGCCCAGCTTTAACTTTAGTCTGCGGTTTGCAAAAAGGCGGAAAGAGTTTTTAACTTTGTCGTAATTAAATTAAAGAACTTAATGTATTCTTCCTGTGAATAGGACAGGGAAAACGGTCGATTCACTCTATTCAAATGAGTCTAAATAGTATTTAAGAAATACAGTCGTTTAAAACTGAGTTGTCTTATTTATTTGTGTGTGTGTCGGCCATCGGCTGTGTAGCCATCTGCTATTTTTTCTCTTATTATTCGAGTTCTACTATACACCCACGCTTTATTTATGTTTTAAATCAATCCTGAATAGTTTCTATACAAAGTTATCTATATATTAGATGTGTAAATTATAAACCATTACTAAAGATGAAAAAAAAAACATCATCCGCTTACACACACGAGGAGTTAAACACCAATAGCTAGTTCCAGGACTACCTACTCGCGGTTCCGCATTTTACGTGAGACTAGGCTAGGTAGGTGTGAGGTCCGTTCGTTGGTGTGCTCCTTAAGAGCCCTTTCACATTTTTTGCAAAAAATCGTAATTTTTGAACGCCTCGTTTATTTATTTATTCTTTATTACCATAAAAACAGTAAATGGCGGACTTAATGCCATAGGCATTCTCTACCAGTCAACCAGTAAAGGTGTAGGAGATGAAATGTAATGGCGATAGAATATGAGCTACTTAGTGTGGATCATGAAAACTATCTACTATACCTAACTATTCTATAACAACAATAAATATAAAATACATATTATACCTACACATATACTGATACACATATATATTGATATATATATATATATATATATATATATATATATATATATATATATAAATAAATAAATACATAAATAAACATACATACACTAATATTAGTAAAAAAAAATATGATGATATATAGATGACTACAGATTAAGAGGAAAATTAGTTTGACAGATAGTGAGCACGCACTAGTTTTTTGAATTGTAGCTTATTACGTGCACTGCGAATATTCAGTGGCAAAGCATTCCAAAGACGTATAGCTGTGATGGCGAAAGATTTGGAAACGAACCCTGAATGGTGAAAAATAGTTTTAAGGGTAAGGTGCCTGCAAGAGCGAAGATCACGTGGTCTGGAGGGACCCAGAAACTGAAACCTAGATTTCAAGTATTCTGGGGCACGTTGATCGTATAGAACACTGAACACTGAAAAGCGTTTACCCCCTTAGAAATGATTTTGACTATTTCCAATAGAAGAAAACAGTAGATTTATTCTTCCTATTGTAAGTTAATGTGGAATATTTGCAAATACTATTTACCCTTTTTTTTCCTATTGTAAGTTAATGTAGAATATTTTTATACTGATCGTTCTACCGCAGCTAGTTTAAGGAAAAAACGATAATATGCACTGCAACTTCAAACGCCTGAATCTCTAAATAATGTTCAATAAATTAGATTAAATTAATTACTACGACATCAGAAATATGTTTTTGTTGCAATAAATTGTATTAGAATTTGGATTTTCTATCTCATTAATTATCAACGAGACATCTAACCTCCGTGAGTTTTCCCTAAAAATAATGCAGGTTTACCCCGTATTTTGATATTGAATTAAATAGAATTACTATCAAAAACTTTTATAAAACTAATCTACCATCATTGAACTTCTGAAATATGTATATATTTTTATAATTAGTTCATTAATAATAATTTTACAAGACTCGAAACATCACCCGTAAAATGCAATATATACTAGTGCAAATCTACCTACGCGCCGATCAGTACGGCAGCGACGCAATTTTGTAAAAGGGCTCTTAACGGCTTCTCCGTTTCGCACCCGTGAGACTTGCGAGAGGCTTGGTGTGAGGTCCGTTCGTTGGTGTGCCCCTTAAGGGCGCCAACGTCTGCAAATAGAGGTTTTGCCTGCGTATTAAAAAAAAGGAGAAGGAAAGGGACTAACAAATTATTTTAAACTAGCAATCTGCCCGGCTTCGCTGGGGTGTTATATACCTACTACCTAATAAGAAATTGAGAAGGGTCGAGGTTTCAATACAATATCAATATCCCGTTTACTGAATTTTCTGGTGGTACCTGTGGATTTTCCAAAATCATTTATACAAACCTTGTCGTGATAGTAACGAAAATGTCAGCAAATTGTTCTCCGATTTGGTGCAGCCTTTCCGTAAGTTTGGCATGTACGCACGTTTGGTATTTTTAATTAAAAATTAATCGCCGAAATAAACTTTTAACATCGGCTTTTCTTGTCTTCTTTACACTCACAGCCGAACTCAGAGACTTCAATCAAATTGAATGCTTATAAGTGATAAGGTATCTCAATCTACGACTATAGATGGCATTTTCTTTTACCAAACATAGAATAAAATTGACTTTGAGTTAGGCTGTTTATTGAAAGATGTGATGATAAATGAAACTCACATTATCACATAAGAATTTGTAATTACAAGAATAACAAATCCGCAATTGGACAATATAACATTTTCGAACAATAAATGCCATTTCTCATAAATCAGCATAATATTAAACAATTAATAAACAGACCAGTAGAAGAAGCCACCAATAAACTCACAAATATTTTTTATAAAGGAACCACATTCGGATTTCGGAGGTACTGGCTAAAATCTGGAAACATTTATCATTCTCTCTTTCTAAATTAAGTTGTTAAAACGAAAGCTACAATGTGATAACTTCCTAATTCAGTTTTTATTCCCACATAAAACATTCAATTATAGATTTTATCGTACTCATTACAAAGTGTGCGTTTTATTGTTTCATAATTTGGTTTTTTCAAAATTGTAGTAAGTACCTACCTATTTACCATTAAAGAGTTAGGACGGAAAAAAACACTAAATCTGGTCGCATATGTACGGTTTCCAGATCAGGAATTCCGATTCGGAGACCTGATCGCACGTCCTTATTTTTTCAGAATGGAAAAAACCAAACGTTCGGTTCGGAAACTACCTTATAAAAAAAACCGAATCGTCTGCGCTCGGCTCACGGGATTCCGAATCTGAATTCCTGACGTCAAGTATATTCAATAATGTCATTTAAAGCGACATATTGTATGTACCTATGAACAGAAGCTGTATTAATCAAATTTTGTGTCTTATCAGTACCCCTAGCACGAACCATTATCGAATTCGAATAGTTTGCAAACCGAAATGTCAATGTCAAATTTTGTATGGAAACTTGAACAGCAGCTCCACTTTGGACGTAACGGGAACTAAAAATCAGTACACTTTTGACAATGACATTTCGGGCTCGGACGTTACGAATTCGATTTTGGTTCGTGCTAGGGGTACAGATCATTGGGGTGCGTGAAAACATACGATATAATAATTGCATTATATAATGGTAAGGAAACTATTTACTTATATAAAAGTTAAACAGGGCTTTCCGCGGGTTTGTCACAAGGAGGGAAAGTATATTAAATATTGAAGATAGGGTATTTGCCTGAAAGAAGACATCATTTATTTTTAATAATAAGTAGAACTGCATACACTGTTTTGAAAAAAATCGCTTTTCAAAACCGGTAATCAAACTCGTGAAATATGAAAGAAAAAACACATGCATGTTAAGATAACCGTCGTAAGGGTAAATCAGGAGAATTAGTTTTTGCCTTAATTATATAGCATTTTAAATCTTCAATATTTAATATACTTTCCTTCCGTGTGACAAACCCGTGGAACGCCCTGTATTATCTTCTAAAGTAGGAATTTCAAAAGCACATGGCACGAAATAACATAAGCTACGTATAAGTAATTCAACAAAAAACAACTCAAAATAGCAAATTTAAATTTAAGCAACAAATGTTCGATAAACGTATTGATTCTTATAACAAGCAATAAGCGAAATTCGTAACAAATTATGTTACTTTTGTCATTGTAATTTTTTTCAAAAAATATTCTTAATAAGTTTTTTTGTAACGGAAATGGGATATAGATCCATAATCGATCTTTTGATATTCTTAATTAAACTGTACTAACGTTAAAATATTTTTTTATATATTACACATACCTAAGTACATAGTAGTAATAAATAAGTGACAAAAATTTGGTCAAAACTGCATGGGATTATGGGGTGAGATTTGTACTGTACAGTTGACACTAAAAGTACCTATTATCTATGCTATTCATCGGAATATTGACGACAAAAGTTGGAATAAAATCGTTTTGTTATGATTTTTTAAAGATAAAATATCATTTGTTAAGCTTAGTTTATATCAGGGCTTGTTTGCCGGTTAATTTTCAAACCTTAATCAGTGTCAAGTACATTAGGAGCGTTTTATTTAGGTTTGGCTCTACCTTAACCTTAAAAAACCGGTTTTCCTAAAGAGCGAAATCAAATAGGTTTTGAATCAATTTAGCTGTTTTAAAGGGTTTCATTTCGCTCTTTCTGACGGCATCGATAATAAATGAATAACTTGACTCACTAGACGCTAGCAAACGTGTCGATAAATGCACCAATCTCTCTGCATTAACAAGTTGTGACTTGATTATTTCAAACTAAACAAACTTCAAGCGATGTCGACGCGTGCATGTGTCGCTCTGGATTAAACCGGTTTATTAAGGTTTTATGTACCGCTTTCATTTCGGACGCGCTCCAAACGAAACCTTTACTAAAAACCGGTATTAACCTTTGTTTACCGGTATTTTCGAAACCGGTTTCAAGCCCTGGTTTATATACACTCAACCTTCGTCATCAACGCGCAGCCATAGTATATAATTCATGTCAACTTATGTTTTTACTGTAAAAATACAAGAGCCCGCCCACTCAGAGACGTAATGATTGTCAAAGAGACGCCTTGTTTTATTCTACTGCTTTCGTTAAAAAAGGTATATATATAATTTACATCAACCAATTTTAAACAAATATTTTCACTACTCTCAGTGAGTGAGTAAGGAACTAGGCTAGAATTATGTTCTCTGTACAGTATTACTGTATATTACTTAAAACTACTGATGAAATGACTACGATTTTTAACAATAAATCAATTGACCAGTTATAATCACTTTATAATAATCAAATTATTTAAGAATTTAATACCATAAAAAAAACTAAAATATAGTTACTGTAATGATAATGCTAGTTTGAGTTTTGAGATTCTGCATTTGCGGTTTTTTTTTCATTTTAAACCTTATGCTAATTACAATAAAAATTAATTGTATATAAATTGGAACACCACGAGTTAGCACCTTCTCACAAAAGTACTAAAAGTAAGTCTTTAATAAAACATTTTTTTTTGTATATTGCATATACAGAAAATTATAAAGGTAAGGGTTGTCACCTTTTTTGGAACAAATAAAGTACCTACCTACATATTTGGCAAAACAAAATAAAATACTTGGCATAAAAAAATATTCATTTATTTAAGTTCAAAATATATTTCTGATATTGACATATCTTAAATATTGTTTTAAAGAGTAAACGTGTATGAAACGCTTATAGCTTGTTTTAAATAAAAAGTTGAGTGGGTTTTGATACCATTTAATGGTACAAATAGAGTCCTTGAACTTAAACGTGTTTTTTTAAATTCTTTGGAGTACGGGTGGCAACCCTAGTCACACTATGAAATTGAAAGGTCAACGTAACAAAAAAACTTATAGTCAAAATGATTACAAATTATAATAACAAGTTTGTCCTTACTACCCTGTGAGTACCTTGGGAACATAATATCACAAAGACATAGGTATTTATTTCTTATTAATATTCATCTTACCGAAACTGCCAGATAGACCGCGACCTGAAAATATAAATATGATTGATTTAAAATTAACAAACATACAACTCATTTATTTATTTATTCAAGATACATTATATACATTACAGAAAAGTCCAAAACGCCGGCAAGTCATACATAAAAACATTAACATTCATAGAAGTATTCATTCAATTCAATAAAATTAAGAAAAACAGTAATGTCAAATCAATAAAACAATTAATAATGTCATTTCTAAAGTCAACTAAGAAACAATAATGTCAAATATACCAATTAATATATAATGTCATTATTACCATATTCATTATAAATAAATAAATTGTCAAATTCAGAAATAATCAATGAATCAATGAGCTATTTTCTTAAGAAACTCAATTTCAGCCGCCACTAGCTTTGTCAAACCATCAGCGAATAAGTCGATATTGTCACATTGAGCGAGCATGTCCCCGATATGCTTACCATATACATATATTTATGTGTTTCCAAAGAAAACAGCTGAGGTTCATGTGGTTTCTTTTGTGGGAACGGGTTGGGAAACAAGCATTTTTGTCCAGACCAGTCTCATGGTAAGCGGTCACCATAGCATTTAGACGCTAGCGATGCCAAAGGCGCCACAGCTCATGTGACATAAGATAACTAATGGAAGGAAGTGACCGTATTAATTTAATTTTATTGTATTACTAGCTGTCCCAGCGAACTTCGTACCACCATAAAAATAGGGGTTGCTGGTAGAAGGGTGACAATTTAGGGTTGTATGTATTTTTGTATGAAGTATTATAGAAAAATAAAAACAAATAATTTTGTCCTAACAAAAATAATGGTGGACCACCCTTAACATTTAGGGGAGTGAAACTTCGTCCGATTCTCAGACCTACTGAATATGCATATAAAAATTCATGAAAATCGGTCGAGCTGTTTCGAAGTAGTTCATTACGCACACCGTGACACGAGAATTTTATATATTAGATTAATGAAACTCTCCATTATATTACAGTTATAGAAATTGGTTAAATAATAAATAAAATAATATTGTAACATTGTTGTTTGCCAAACACCTTGTCCACGCTGAGCCTATTTTGGACATTGCCTTTTGAATTTCCCGGAATCCCGGGATTTTTTTCGATAAAAAAGTGCTTTCCAATAAAATAAACCAACCGATTACCGAAACCAAATACTTCAACATAAAATACTTATATCATGTCTACTCTTATATTTTGTCGTATTTATAATACGTCTTAAGTTTGGGAATAATTGTGTTTTTAGGTGTTTTTCCATGTTAACTTAAGTTGTTAAAATACTTTTATCAGCAAAATAAAAATATACGAATTTAAGATGAGTGTGTACGTTTACTATGGGCGAAATATTTTATTTTCTTATTCATATGTTTATTTATGTAGCTTTTAAATTAATTAACTAACGTTTCCCTGCATTTCCTATGTAAATAGTATTTAATCTTTTCTTTTGTCAAACGTGACCATAAAAAGTATCCTTTTTATGATTTGATTACATTTTATCTCACGCCAATGTGAATAGACTATAGCTATACTTAACTTATTGTTAATTAATAATATTAATGTAATGAAAGTTAACATCAACACGTGTTTTCAGTTTTTGATGTCATCTTTCAATTGACGACACTGCATGAAACAAAACAGGGAGAAAAAATTGCCCTTGCTGAGTTTCTTGCCGGTTCTTCTCAGTACAAGGTCTCCCGCCATAGATTTACGAACCGATGGCGTAGCGTTTGACTTTCACAAGAGCTTGTAACAGCCTAGACTGAATAAATGAGTTTGAGTTAGTAAAATACATGAACTTACCACGTCCGTGGCCGGCTGAAAGGCTCGGAAAGTTAGTTTCGGTGAGCTCGGGCGCCGGACGAATCGATTGCGAGTCTGTACGACACAGTATTTACAAATTAACAATAAAATATAAATCAAATCAGTATTATCTAAAAATTGTATCATAGAAACCGTATAATAATTGCTGATGATATCTTTCGACCTATCTATATCGTCATGCCAATAGGGTGGGGTAGGCAGAGAGAACAGTAACACCCTTAGCACGAACCAATATCGATTTCGTAACGTTTGCTAGTACGAAATGTCAATATCAAATGTGTACTGATTTTTAGTTCTCGGTACGCCCTTTGTGGCGCTGCTGTTCAAGTTTCCATACAAAATTTGACATTGACATTTCGCACTAGCAAACTATTCGATTTCGATAATGGTTCGTCCTAAGGGTTGAATTCGAATAGTTTGCGAGTGCGACTTGTCATTGTCAAATTTTGTATGGAAACGTGAACAGCAGCGCCACAGCGGACTGCCAATGCAGCCGGGACCAAGGGTGTAAAGTGCCTTCCGAAGTACAGTATAAAGTTTTTCCATTATTTCATTTGTATATTATTGATAAATTCAAAATTATTGACTTTGGTGTTAATACTGGAAAGATTCTCTAAACATGTTAAATTTAGTAGACTGATGTTAACACCAGTCCCTCCTTTTCATTCTGTATATGAAATGACAAGTATAGACTAAAATAAGGAAAATAGTTTCAACAAAAAAAGAAATACAATTGTAACATTTATTACTGAAAAAAATAATAATACTCACAATCAGTTTTCGGCATCCGAAGTGGAACGTGAACCCTCTTCTTTGGTGCTAGAATAAAAAAAAGTTTATTGAAATAACATTATTTGTACAAAATAACAGAGTTAAGGTACTGCCTGGCTAACTTGGGTTAAAGGAGATGGATTCAAAACGAAATTAAACAAAAAATCATAGCGGTGATTTTACTGTATCTGATTGATTGAGTTCGTCCATTAAAATCCACTAAAATTTCTACTAAAATCCAAGATGGCGGACATGACTTTTTGTATAAAATTAGTATTTGCAGGGGCGTGTTTACCCTGCCGTGGTAGAAGTTGGTATAGATAGAACCCACGGTTTTAATCGCCCACCTGCGTGACGGAATTTAGCCTTAACCTTGGGGTTTTAGCCGGTAGGAGGCCGGCATAAACCTCCGTCTCCCTTTCGGCGGGGGTATCCATGATGGATTTCCCCAAGTAAAAACAAAAGGGGCGTGTTTACCCTAGGGTAAAATGGGCCATGCCCCGGGCGGCAGAAGTTATATAAAGGCATTCGTCGTTCATTTGGTTACAATCTGAGGCTTATGGATACGTAATAAAGTCTATTTTTAATGATTGTTGTTGTACTCATAATAGAGCAGACGACACGGAGTAATGATAATGAAATTCTACTAAGCCCGTCATCGCGTCAGTTAGAATATCAAAAAATAATAGATATGTATATTTTTTGGTCAATCAAACAAAAAATTACGAAGATAGAGCGCGTTAAAGTTTGGGAGTAGGGCTAGTGACGTCATTGTACCGAAACGTGACGTCGTGCGACATTTCAAATCAATATATCTATATTTGCAATGTTTTGATTATAATCATTTTTTTGAAGTTATACTTCTTTAGCCGCGTTATGAAAAAATTGTGAGAGTGAAATTTTCATCACTGTAACACAAAATTTTAACATAATGAAGTTAGCCGCGGGCGCGTTATTTGTAATATTTTATTTTCCAAGTGACCGTGCGTGGGGCAGATGAAATGAAATGAAATGACATTTATTCAGTCTAGGCTGTTACAGGCACTTGTGAAGGTCAAGAACACAACGTGTTTTAGTTACTTACAAGTGCTAATTACATAAGGACTAATAACTTAAATTCAGTAGTGATTTTAATTGAATATTTTGATTATTTATTTAATTTTTCAAATTAAAACTGAACTTAATTGACTGTGTTAACTATCCTTTTCCAGTCCTCTTATTATTTTATTGTAATTATTAATTATTTGCATGCAATTAAAAAATATTTTAATGATGCTAAAGAAGTATAACTTCTCACGCGCGTACATAAGTTACACGCATCCATTTTTTTTTTGTTATTTCTGGTTATCTCAGATGGCCGTGTAACTTGGTCAGCCTATATCATACACTTTCATCTAATACCTCCAGAAGTTTGTCATAGATCCAAAGTTTTTCAACTACTAAATAGAATTCATTCAAACCTTGATGAGATGTTTGATGCAATTACTTTCTAAATGAGTACCTTGACTTTATTACAAGGATATTAATTTTTTTAATGCCTGATGAGAGCCGGGTGTTTCGGTAGATAATTTGTCAGAAATTTCATTTTATTGCCAATTATTTAGGATTTAAAGCTCATTATTTATGAAACTGTGACAGCAAGGGAACAGGCGATAGTCAAATTTTAAGGCTCGACCTTTTATGAGGTTATTATGAATTCAAATGGACTCCACCGTAATAAAAGGTTTTTCACATGAATTTCCATAAGGAATATATATGAGCCATTACTAATGTCACATTAAATATTTTATACACTACAGGCTATATAAGTTCTTCCTTATCAGGCCTATTAAGCGGAGCTTAAGCCGATTATAGACCGGTGATAAAAAAGTTATTTGAATAAAGTCATAAACAAAACATTATCAGAAGCTGTTTTCACCGTGTTTTTAATAGGCCTATTAAAGCTCCTCCCTACAGCCATAACAATTAAGCCCTTATATTTAATCTGTAGTATGCAAACAATCGTTTACATCTCAGAACTTCGCCTTCAGTTCATAAGGCAATATCGTCAATCTCAACCCGTATAATAAAATTCCGTTCTCCAAATGTTCCCCAGTGGGGAAGTTCCCTGACGTTCCCCTCGTGGGACTATGGGGAACGTTTGAGAAAGAAAACTTTATTTTTTTCAATTGTTCCTCTCTACTCCAAACGTGCTTTAAACGTTCTCTACTTGCAAAAAGAATATCGGTCCTAGGCACTTAGGTCCCTAGATACATAATGTACTATTACTCTGCGCAGAAGTGTGCGCTAACGAGAATATAAATAAACACGATCGTGTCGGCAGAAAGACAGTGTTGATATTTCACAGCCGCGATCGGACATTCATTGAAAGTGAATCCTAGAAAACGATGGATTCGCTTAACACGCCGGAATACCGTATAAAAATTACTAAAAAAAATTTAAAGATAACGAAAGAGCTTAAAGATTTACAGGCAGAAGATAAGTGCAATAAACAATCATGTCGGGATCCAAACTATATTATAAAACTTCAGCGAGATAAAGACAGACTTAAAGCGGAACTGAGATTCATGTGCCGGAAGCTAGCGACCCCAACTGATGAAATGATCGAAGCACTGAATACGGACTGAAATTATAAGGTGTTTATTTTAATTTTTCTCTTAAGCTTATGAAACTTTTATACCTGCATAAACTTTTAAAGTTTAGCCAAAGTTTTATCCATTAAAATTGATTTTTTTTTTGTATTCCAATAACTTATAATTAGTTTACTCATAAGCAATACGTTAAACTCAAAGTTTTTTGTTGCCGTTATCGAGAGCTTCTTTCTAGTTTCTTTAAAACACAAGTTATCGAAAAAAAAAATGGGTGCGTGTACTTATGTAGGCGCGTGAGAAGTTATCCTTCTTTGGCATCGTTTAAAATTATTTTTTAATTGCATGCAAATAATTAATTACAATAAATTAATAAAAAGTCTGGAAAAGGACACAGTCAATAAAGTTCAGTTTTAATTTGAAAAAATAAATAAATAATCAAAATATTCAATTAAAATCGCTACTGAATATAATTTATTAGAACATATGTGATTTGCACTTGTATGAAACTCAAACACGTATTCAGAATATACAAACTAGAAACATGTGGATAAATATTATAAATATGAATACCTATAACTGTTACTTTATTACAAATAATAAAGATGTGGTTTTTGGTTCTACTACACCAATGGTCAAGAGATGGCGCTGTAGTCTCCTGAATCGCGCTTTGGTTCCGTTGTTCCAGATTAATAAATACTTTTGATAGGCCTTCACAATGCAGTCGTTAGCACCCACTAAATAGAGATTCTATTTCTATTTTGTTGGTAGATTTTCTTATGTGCGGTAAACACAAAAGTAACGCATGAAGTTGGTCGCTAAAGCGACCAACTTCATTATGTTAAAATTTTGTGTTACAGTGATGCGCGCGCATCTTAAAATTTCACTCTCATCATTTTTTCATAACGCGCCTAAAGAAGTATAACTTCAAAAAGAAAACATAGGAGCATAGAATGAGTCAAATTATATTTTATGTATAAAAATCAATTCTTTAGTGATAAAAATCAATGAGGAATCAGTCGAGAACGTATGGAAAAAACATTGCGCGCCTCCCCTCATAGCCTAGTATCCCATAACACAAGCCTTACAGTGCTTACTTTGAGGCTAGACTAATTGGTGTGAGTGTTGGAATTATTTATTATTATTATGTATATATATATATATAGAGGAGCTCGATGGCGCAAGTGGTTAGCGCGTTCGGCTGCGATCGTTGAACTTAAGCAACTTTCGCAGTGGTCGGTCATTGGATGGGTGACCATAAATTACTATCTCGAGCTCCTCCGTGCTTCGGAAGGCACGTTAAGCCGTTGGTCCCGGCTGCATCTGCAGTGGTTAGCACCCACCAATCCGCACTGGGCCCGCGTGGTGGGTCATGGCCCAATCTCCCTATTCCATCCATAGGGAAGGCCTGTGCCCCAACAGTGGGGACATTAATAGGCTGATGATGATGATGATGATTATGTATATAAAACAAAACTGAAATTACGACACACTAATAAACAATAACACAATACATCGCCAAATCCTGCACACATGTATCGTTTTGTCGATGCATAATATGTAATGATGTAATAATAATATTAATAATAAAATTCCGCAAACAGACAAATTAATGAGGTCACGATGTATTAAGTTGGCATGTTATATTACGCCATCATAGTTTACTTTTAATTTACAGTATTATAATAAAAACATTCCTGTTCAACCTTGTTTCAATTACCATCTCCAATCTTAACTTCATCACCTTGTAATAATCACCACAGTTTTTATGCCCAATTTGTATGCCCAACTCGACAGAGGGGAAAGCTGTGTATGGCTACTCCCATCCTGGCCGCGTCGGTTGTGTTGCTCTATGGTCTGAAAGTATAAGATAGATTCATAATAATTAATATCTCACCTTCTACAGAGGAAGCCGTGTCATTGTGAGAATCGCTGATAGCCGACACGTTGCTCGATGGCGGACCGAACTGTGAACAATTAATAATATTACATACTAGTGGATGAGGAGTTCGATGGCGCAAGTGGTTAGGAGCGGATCGATCGTTGAAGTTAAGCAACTTTCGTAGTGGTCGGTCATTGGATGGGTGACCAAAAATCTCTATCTCGAGTTTCTCCGTGCTTTGGAAGGCACGTTAAGCCGTTGGCCCCGGCTGCATCTGCAGTCGTTAGCACCCACCAATCCGCACTGGGCCAATGTAGTGGGTCATGGCCCAAACTCCCTATTAAATCCATAGGGAAAGCCTGTACATTTACATGTTGTACATGACATTAATAAGGTGATGATAATGACTAGTGGGTGCCAGCCTCTTCGTCTGCGTCAAAAAATGTAACCCATACAAAAATTACACCCCTTTAAATCCATCTAGGATACAAACAAAACTATTATAATGTCCTTTCCCGGGACTCAAGCTATCTCTATGCAAAACTTCATCTAAATCGGTCCAGCGGTTTAAGCAAGAAAAAGTAACAGGCGGACACGCTTTCGCATTTATAACATTAGTATAACAACGACATTAAAACCTCATTTTCAACAATATCGTGGCCGAAAACTGTCCTAAGGTAAAGTATTGGATGATCTTTTTTTATTTTAAAAGTGTGTACCCTGACCGAATCCCTTACCCCGTGGAGCCCTGGAACTTTACTCACCGACAGAAACACAACACCGCCAAAAGGTAATCCCGTGGACACGGTAATGTTATCTATACAGTATTGTGACTCTCCCCTGTCCTTGAAATAACTGCCTACGGCTGAGCGCGGCGTACCCACGCGGTAGGGCTGCCCGCCTACAGTATTTTAATTTCATCTATTTTGAAAGGAGATTGCTCAAATTGGCCTAAATGCACAAAAAATATTGACATACACGGTAATTCTTGGCGTAATTTATAATTTAATTTACAGTTATTAGATTTCAACGGACACCTTTGTATAAAATATTTACTTTTAAAAGGACTTTTAATTTTACCGGTTTGGAAAACATACGAATCATTTTTAATGGCTATGGGTGTAGTAACATTCAGCCAAAGACTGATCGAAGTTGTTTATATAACATAAAAACAAATCTATTTTGTAAAGATCGATAAAATAAATCATTTTTTTTATTACACTGTGGTATTAATATCCACAACTATATTATCATTTTCACTAGATGCAAATGTGCTCAGACAATTATTATAGATGGTAGGCGACATCATTGCCATACATTTTTCGCCAAACACCTCCATAAACACATTATAATCTGTAAATATGTTAGACTTTAAGGTATCTATCTATCTATGGGCCTACGTTCCCTGACTATAAACTTATGCATTAACTTTAAAAACAGGCAACTATCTGTTAATCATCATCATCATCATCATCATATCAGCCGTACGACGCCCACTGCTGGACATAGGCCTCCCCCAAGGATCTCCACAACGATCGGTCCTGCGCTGCCCGCATCCAGCGTTTTCCCGCGACCTTCACCAGATCGTCGGTCCACCTTGTAGCGGGTCTTCCCACTGAGCGTCGTCCGGCACGCGGTCGCCATTCGAGAACCTTTCCGCCCCAACGGCCATCGGTTCTCCTCGCTATGTGTCCCGCCCACTGCCACTTCAGCTGGGCTATTCTTCGAGCTATGTCGGTGACTTTAGTTCTCCTACGGATCTCGTCATTTCTGACTCGATCACGCAGGGAAACACCAAGCATAGCTCTCTCCATTGCCCGCTGGGCGACCTTGAGCCGTCCTATGAGACCCATAGTAAACGACCACGCCTCACTGCCATAGGTCATCACTGGCAACACACACTGGTTAAAGACTTTCGTCTTAAGGCATTGAGGTATTTTGGACGCGAAGATGTTCCGCAGCTTCCCGAACGCTGCCCATCCGAGTTGGATTCGACGAGAGATCTCTTTCTCGAAGTTGGACTTACCTAACTGGATTGTGTGTCCTAGGTAAACGTAGTGGTCAACAACTTCAAGTGTAACGTTCCCAACATTAACTGGAGCGGGTGCAACATGGGCGTTGGACATGATTTTAGTCTTGTCCATGTTCATCTTAAGACCCACTCGCTGGGATGCGTCACTGAGATGCTCGAGCATGGTGTTCAGGTCTTCCAAGGTCTCCGCCATTAGGACTACGTCATCGGCAAATCGAAGGTGTGTCAGGTACTCGCCGTTGATGTTAATGCCGAGTCCTTTCCAGTCCAGAAGCTTAAGAATATCCTCCATCGCAGCAGTGAACAGTTTCGGAGATATCACGTCTCCCTGTCTCACCCCTCGCTGTAGTTGGATAGGATTAGAGCTCTGATTCTGTACTCGGACCGACATAGTGGCGTTTTGATATAGGTACTTTAACACTTCGATATACCTGTAGTCCACTTGGCACCTCTGGAGAGACTGCAGCACCGCCCAGGTCTCGATCGAATCGAAGGCCTTCTCATAGTCCACAAACGCTAAGCAAAGTGGCCGATTATACTCTTCGGTCTTCTGTATAATCTGCCGCAGCGTATGGATGTGGTCTATGGTACTAAAGCCTTTTCGGAAACCGGCTTGTTCGGGAGGCTGGAAGTCGTCGAGCCTGCGAGCGAGACGATTCGTAATGACCCTCGAAAACAGCTTGTAGATATGGCTCAGAAGCGAGATGGGTCTGTAGTTCTTCAGTAGGGTCTTATCACCCTTTTTGAAGAACAAAATCACCTCGCTTCTGCTCCATGCCTTCGGCGTTTTGCCCTGGTGGATGACGGAGTTGAAGAGTTTCTGGAGGACTTTAAGTACCGGCGTACCGCCCGCTCTCAGAAGCTCTGTTGTGATTCCGTCATCTCCCGCCGCCTTGTTGTTTTTAAGCTGTTTGAGGGCAATTCTAATCTCGTACAGGCTGACGTCCGGGATATCCTCGGTATAATGTCGGGTAAGCTTGGCTCTAGGATCTCGAGCTCTGCTTTCGCCTGGTGTTCTGCTGGAATATAACTGCCTATAGAAACTCTCAATCTCCCTCAGGATTTCAGGAGTCGATGAAATGATACTACCGTCCTCAGTTTTCAGCCTCGTCAGTTGACTTTGTCCAATAGACAGATCTCTAGCGAACACTTTGGAGCCTTTGTTCCGCTCTATGGCCTCTTTAATACGCTCGGTATTAAAGTGGCGAAGGTCGCTCGTCAACGACTTCGAGATCTGTCTATTAAGCTGTCTATAACGAAATGCATCCGCTGAGTCATGTAGTCTCATTTCATGTCTCCTATCCATGAGTTCGAGTGTGTATGCGGAGAGTTTCTTTAACTTGGTACGGCGGGTTTTAAAGTGTTTAGACCCTACCGTACGGACAGTATCCACCACCAGGTCGTTCAGATCGTTCACGTCTATGCTGTTCTCAAGGTACTCGAAGCGGTTCTGGAGCTCGAGCTGAAAGCGCTCGGGGTTTTGAATTTGGGCTGGCACCGGTCGGAGCGTTGATTTTATCAGTCGCGATCTTTCAAGCTTAACGTTGATATTCAATGTGCCTCTTACCAAGCGGTGATCGCTTCCTGTCTTAACAGCGTTGATCACTGAGACATCATTGAATATTTGCTTCTTCGTCGACATGATAAAATCAATCTCATTTTTGACCTTGCCGTCGGGACTTATCCAGGTCCATCTGCGGGTGACGGGCTTTCTGAAGAAGGAGTTCATCATATAGAGGTTCTCCCTCTCCATAAAGTCCGCCAGCATTCGGCCCCTGTCGTTCCGTTCCCCAACTCCAAATTGCCCCACTCTCAGCTCGTCGCCGCAACGTTTCCCCAACTTTGCATTGAAATCCCCCATCACAATCGTGTAGTGGGTTTTGTGGCTATGCATGACCCGAGAGATCTCCTCATACATTGCCTCCACTTCGTCATCGGCGTGTTTCGAGGTTGGAGCGTAGACTTGGATGACAGTCATCGAATATCGTGATGATATTCTGAGTACCAAGTACGCTACTCTACTCGAAACACTACCGATGGTCAGCACGTTGTTGACGAGGGACTTGTGGACGATAAACCCGACACCACCTACGGACTGTTGGTCGCCCTCCCGGAAGTACAGCAAGTTACCGGAGTCCAGAGTTATCGTGTCCTCTCCCTCTCTTCGGACTTCAGATAACCCGATGACGTCCCAGTGTAACTTGCTGATAGCTTCTTCCAGCTCTGTCATCTTGGCATCGGTCCTCAATGTGCGCGTATTGTAGGTTGCCAGGGCCAGTATTCGGTTGTTGTGGTAGCCGTGTCCTACCCGGGGATTCTTCGCACCCCCTGCCCCGCCGTTACCGTGGCCGCTACCGTAGCCAGGAATAGAGGGGCCGCCGGGGACTAGGGGCCGTTTCGTATTGTTTCGCATATGGGGGGGTTTTGCCATAATCGCCACGCTTGGCAGGCGGGTTGGCTATCTGTTAATGTACACGCCTTATATACCTGAATCTAATCCATAATTTCGGTACTTGGCTTGATTTCCCTAGTTTACAATATAACTTATTTGTTTTTTATTATTTTAATATGTTCAGTGTATATGGTTTATAGAAGTTCTCAGGGGTGTCCGTCAATAATATTCGTTTCTACAGTAATTTATATATAATTTCGAATCTAGGAAACAATTTTTCATGATTATTGGTCTTTAGGCCAAACATGTATGGAAGCTGAGCAATCTCCTTTGTGATTGTAAATATTTTATTTCATTTGTAAAAAATGTTTAAATGCATTAGGAAGTGTTACATAAAATACATGTTATATTAAGTGTAATATTTAATAAATATAAATATACATTTCAGACAGAAAAATTTTTACGCCTCGACCGAGACGTACGAAAAGCTTTATTATTAAATTTAATAGTATAATAAATACGCATTCGAATAAAAAGTTTAATTATTGAAGAGTTCAAGCAACCAAAACCAGCACAATATCGACTATTGCTCTTTGCCATATTAAATTATGTAGGTATCTACTTAATTCAATCAAATATTCACAATACAAACGTTTAAGCGCGGTTAACTGCTTAAAAAACAATTCACACCGTTCGGTCGTCGCTGCGGCGCATTCGCGACTGGATGCCCACCGGGTGCCGCGCGAACTCGAGTGGCGTGGGTATGACACTCTTTCCGACCGTTTGTATGAAGATAGAATACTGTATAGATAATATTACCGTGCCGTGGAGCCCTGGAACCTTACTCACCGATAGAAACACAACACCAACAAAAGGTTATGTTAATTTACTGTGGTCTTCTGTAAGGTGGAAGTTACTACTTGTCCCAGGCGGGTGCTCCAATTCGAGAGGCAAATCCGCTATGCCCTATCTCTTTTAAAATTAAAAATCCAATTGGAATTATGTAAAAAACTAAGCTTAAACGAATTCTTTCTTACTGATCCTAGATATTTATCCTAGTATCTCTGTGTGTGTGGATCATAAATAAATTAAGGATTAATTATAATATTAAAAAAAAAAAAAATTACCATACTTCCAGCAACAGACGGGCCGGCGCGTCCTCTCTTCTGCTCTTTGTACGTGAGAATACCCTGAAATAAATACAAAACGTTCGTATTATAAAGTGAGATACAGCAGTGTAGTGTAGTATAGCAGAATTAACTCTGCTGTATATACTACAACAGTGTATAGTACAGTATTGTTGAGAGTATATCATCAGAGAGGAATGTTCATGTACATGTGGAGTGTTAGTGCCTGAGCTTAGTGGATGTTAGAATGATAAAATTGTTACCGAAAATTACGTGTTTATTGCTTGTTCACAAATGTTCTTACAAAAACTATAAAAATGTTTTTATTGTAATGAGTGCATCCGTATAGGCGTCAAAATCTACACTAATTTATATTTTTGCTGTGCACCGCGGCTAATGACCTAAATTAGGCCAGGCGCCGTGACGGTGTCAATTATTGCAAATATGCAAAATATTTATGTTCGGTTATTGCACCGAACAGCAGTATAAACCGTTGTACAGAGGCGATAGGAGTAATACAACTGCGTGGAGTGCAGTACAGAAGTGTTGTATTTTTCAATGTTAAAAGGGTGCCAAACAAGCATATGGCCCGCCTGATGTTATGCCGCAATTATATTTGGTCGTATTCGGGTGCATTAAAATGAAGACATAATTCGAATTCGGGCACCCAAGAAATATTTACACTAGAATGAATACGGGCTGGAAGACGGTGTCGGGCAAACAAAAGGAAATCTACCCGAATACGAGCGTTCTCGAATCCGTTAATTTACACTTAGTCGTTTACCCGAATTCCATTGGCACTCGTATTCGGGATAGCGACCAAATGTAAACGCGCCATTAAGCGGTCATAGCCTACAGACGCTTGCGATATCAAAAATATCACTCGTACCGTTTTGCCTACCCTGACCCAATCCCGTGAAGCGTATGTAAAACAGCAGAGTATAGAGTAATATGTGAAATTTAATACAACAAAATGTAAGTAACACAACAGTATGGAGTGTTGCATATCAGTGTAAAGTGTAGTACAGCAATGTGTAGTGTAGAGTCTAGTAAAACAATGTGTACTTTCACATAGCAGATTAGTGCCGAATTTAATACAACAGTGTGTATGTAGTGTAAGTACAACAGAGTGCAGTATGATACAACAGTGTGTAGTGTACATAAGTGTCGTGTGTAATATAAGTGTAAAAAAATACACTTCCGGACATATCTGTAGGCCCACTTAGCGTGTTAAGTTTCGACGGTTCCTAGCTAAAAATAAATGTTACATTGAGTAAAAAGTTATTACCTAAAGTGCGATTCAAATAAGAATAGGAAAGCCAATGACCTCCATCTGTCAAATGTCTCTTGAAAAATATGGTTTGCAAAAAAATCTCGGAACACTTTTTTAGCACTCGGCTAATTCTAGAATAAAAACCAAACATTTTTAAACAAATAATAACAAATTTTGGCAATTAATATTGGTTGATATTTTTTTTCATTTATTGGGCTTTGGCTATGAATGGTTGATAACCTAAATCGTCAACCAAATGTCACTTTATTTTTCGTTCCGAAACTCGATTTGAAACTTTCGTTTACATATAGGATGCGTGTTCGTATGTGACTTGCATGATTATTCATAACTACTTCGGCGGTAATGCAGAGATGAGCGGAATCGAAGAGCTAGATTCTGATTAATGTTTTTTCTCACACAGTCTTAATAAAGAGATATTAATAAACATCGGTATTTTTTTTGCAATCTTAGTACATTAATTTTATTAAAATATCTGATGTAATTTCCCACTTAATCTTAGTTAATAAGTTTTATTAAATAAAAACTTTTTTGCTCACTCTACCTATTTGGTTTTAATTGACAGCTATGACGTCACAATATGGCGCCCAGTCGGTCCTATTCTTAGTTGAATCGCATTATATGCAGTTTTGAACATTATTACTCAACTACAAACATATATTTTAGCTACAGACCGTTGAAACTTATAACACTATGTGGGCCGATAGATATGTTTGTATAATAACAGAATATGGTGTCATATGCAATGTAAATGTAATTCAACTATCTGTAGTGCAGCATACGTATGTCGAGGTTAGTGTCGTGCGGTACAAACGAGTCTAGTATGTAGTGTAATACATCAGTGTAGAATGTAATATAACAGTGGTCAGTTTAGAATGTGTGAAAACGAATTAGAAGCTCAAAGGTAGTTAGCGCGTTCGGCTGCGGTCGTTGAAGTTAACCAACTTTTGCAGTGGTCGGTCATTGGATGGATAGACCAAAAATTTACTATTTCCAGCTCCTCCGTGCTTCGGGAGGTACGTTAAGACGTTCGTCCCAACTGCAGCTGCAGTCGTTAGCACCCCTAATCCGTCCTGGGTCATGGCTCAATCTCCCTATACCATCCATAGAGAAAGGCCTGTGCACCAGCAATGGGGACGCAAGATATACGCACGTCGAGGTCGGTGTCGTGCGGCACGTGCGCGCCGGGCCGCACGTCGAGCCCGGCCACGGGGCAGCACGAGTCTAGCACAGTGTATGTATTCAACAATCTGTAGAGCAGTATATACGCACGTCGAGGTCGGTGTCGTGCGGCACGTGCGCGCCGGGCCGCACGTCGAGCGCGGCCACGGGGCAGCACGAGTCTAGCACAGTGTATGTATTCAACAATCTGTAGAGCAGTATATACGCACGTCGAGGTCGGTGTCGTGCGGCACGCGCGCGCCGGGCCGCACGTCGAGCCCGGTCACGGGGCAGCACGAGTCTAGCACAGTGTATGTATTCAACAATCTGTAGAGCAGTATATACGCACGTCGAGGTCGGTGTCGTGCGGCACGTGCGCGCCGGGCCGCACGTCGAGCGCGGCCACGGGGCAGCACGAGTCTAGCACAGTGTATGTATTCAACAATCTGTAGAGCAGTATATACGCACGTCGAGGTCGGTGTCGTGCGGCACGCGCGCGGCGGGGGGCACGTCGAGCGCGGCCACGGGGCAGCACGAGTCTAGCACAGTGTATGTATTCAACAATCTGTAGAGCAGTATATACGCACGTCGAGGTCGGTGTCGTGCGGCACGTGCGCGCCGGGCCGCACGTCGAGCGCGGCCACGGGGCAGCACGAGTCTAGCACAGTGTATGTATTCAACAATCTGTAGAGCAGTATATACGCACGTCGAGGTCGGTGTCGTGCGGCACGTGCGCGCCGGGCCGCACGTCGAGCGCGGCCACGGGGCAGCACGAGTCTAGCACAGTGTATGTATTCAACAATCTGTAGAGCAGTATATACGCACGTCGAGGTCGGTGTCGTGCGGCACGTGCGCGCCGGGCCGCACGTCGAGCCCGGCCACGGGGCAGCACGAGTCTAGCACAGTGTACGCCCAACGTTTCACGCGCGAAGTGGTGCATTCGATCGCCTTGTCGCCCTCCTCGTGGATCTGACGACAATGACAATTATAATTATATCATCCTGTGGCATCCCTAGAAACCATACTGTGGAAATTCTTTAGGACAACCTTCTAAACGAATCAAAAAAATACTGTTTAAACCAACCAGGATTAGAGCACGCTAAATCACTTATAGAAGGTTACTCGAAAAACGGACTGTTGAGTTAATAGAACTTAGCAGGCCGAACATCGGTGCTATCGTAAGAGCCTTAACTGGACACTGCAAACTCAACAGACACCAATTTCATATGAAATTGAGTGACACTGATGTTTGCAGATACTGCAATCAGAAGCGTGAAACACCAAAACACCTTCTATGTGAATGTGGGCATCTCATGCACAAACGTGGCGAATCACAATAGATCTAATAGGTCGCAGTGACTACAGGCCCATTAGGACTGTATAGACCCAAAAAAATAAAAAAATAATAAGCCTCATTACATGAAGCGAGATGCTCTTAAGATTATGTGACCTAAACCCGCACTTAACGCACGCTTTTCCGTGACCTAAGTTGCCTATTTCTGCACTATGTGTAAATGAATTGACCAAGTTCACTCATGTAGAATTAGTACATTACGATACGCGTAACTTAACTTTACTATGCCAATCAAGGAATAAACGTTCATGGATACATTGAAATTCTATTTTGTTGTAATGATATTTGATTTTTTCCTTTTGAAATGTACTTTCGAAATGGTAATCTGAACCGGAATTGTCCCCCCCCGGAATTGTGTTGAACCCCCCCCGCCCCCCCTCTTGCCCGCGTCCGGGGCGGGTTTATGTCACACTTGCTATAAAATAGTATACGATACTTGTGGCCTAAGTTGTCTATTACTGCACGGCGTTTAGCTTCTTTAACTTCTCGCCGTGCAGTAATAGGCAACTTTGGTCACGCGTATCGTAATGTACTATTTGAGTACTATTAAATTGTATGATAAAAAGTCAATAAGCATATTTTAAAAGTGAATTTTCTTAAATTTAAATTATTTTATTGTTAAAGAATTACAATAATAATACATGGCGATAATGTAACATTAATCTTAATAGGACAGTCAGTTGATTTACGTAGAACTTTAATGTATAAGCGTTCAATGTACTTTTGTTAAGGACTGTGTAATGGCGACAAGTTGTGCATTAAATGAAATGTTAATATAATATATTTAGGTTTCATTTAAATAAATTCTTCCCCTGTAGTTATTTCAATAGTTGGTATGGTACACTAATGTTCTTTTTCAAACTCAAGCACAAAACTCATACACATTCACAAACTATAAATGCTGTATATAAAATAGTACAATTTATGGATTTTATTGCATATTCAGATAATTATAAGCATAATTCAAGTAGATGTGGAAGAGCAAAATTACCCGGCGTAAGCATTTTTTTATCAAAAGGTGTCTTTAATTACTATTCAAAAAATGTATCCAAAACATGATACTGAAATAAATTATTATTATGCTCCAGTAAAGTGAGATTAGTTAGTGTCCAAGCGGAAAGATCATTACAATTTGGTTTAAGTATCTCTTATCTATTAGACAAGTCCGTCTGTCTGTGGTGCTGTTTCAGCGGCCAAACCGTAAGAGAATATTTAAGTTATAAGTTAAGAATAGTCTGATAAGACTACAAACCGGATTTGAGTAACGTAGCACTTCCGGTTTTCGAGAAATCAGGTTTTGGTGAACATTTGGTTCACTGGTTTGCTAGTTATAGTCTTAATAATAAAAATATAATAAATATTTTCAACACCACACCAATTAGCCTAGCCCCAAAGTAAGCACTGCAGGCTTGTGTAATGGGATACTAAGGTAACATACAGAATACGTATACCGATACAAATGTAAATATATTTATATAGAAATACATATTTAATATCCATGACAAATGCTCGTATTCATCACACTAACAACTGCCCCTACCGGGATTCGAACCTCTCGAGTAGGCGGCAACTTGAAACCCAGCGACAAACCAGTGGGCCACGGAGGCAACAAAGCTTTAGGCCTACCGCTTACTGGAGCTTGCTTATTGTAACTGGTCGTAACTACACCGGTACAAGTTATCGAAAATCACACTAATCACATTAATATCATAAAGGCGAAAGTTTGTGTGTGTGAGTGTGCATGTTTGTTACTTCTTACGTCTAAACGGCTGGAGCGATTTTAATAACATTTGGTATGGAGTTAGCTGACACCCTCGATTAACACATAGGCTACGTTTTACTGCGGGATAATATCTATACTAATATTATAAAGCTGCAGAGTTTGTTTGTTTGTTTGAACGCGCTAATCTCTGGAACTACTGGTCCGATTTGGATGATTCTTTCAGTGTTGGGTAGTCCATTTATCGAGGATAGGCTATAGGCTATATTTTTTTTTCAAAATTAGGGATCCGTAATAAAATTGCTATTTTGTAACACAAGGTGTAAAATCGAAAACCTATTTTTGCGTGCGCTGCAAAAACTATTGACAATAGAACAAAATGATGTACTACGGGTTTGTAGATCCCATTAAGACCTACAAAAAAGTCCGCGAGAATATATATCTAGCTATCATGGTTTAATCACAATAACCGATTTTGTGTTCAAAATAATTATTAAATCGTCTGAAGAAAAAAAAAACTACGTTAAATATGTATCGTAATATTAATCTTTATCGAAATTAAGCATTATGTTATCAAGAGTATTTATGTAGAAGTAAAATACTTTTTATTTCATCTCAATCGGATATTTCGTTTAAAAGTTATCACGTGTGTAAGATGTTAAGAGTTGGTACCTATATATTTTATCTTGGTATTTCCACGGAAACGAGAAAAACGCGGGTGAAACCGCGGAGCACGGCTAGTCCCTAATAAACCGCGGGTAACACCACGGGGCACAGCTAGTATTTAGTAATTGAATAAACCAATGATAAGTGTATCCAACAGAGTTTGAATAAGGAATGAATTAAGCTAATAATAATTTCGCCGCAACGGTGCTCTGTTATCGTTTCAAGTCGAATTTGACACCATCTTTATGCGTTTCGTCCGCTCGGGACCACCGGCGTGCTCCGATAGCCCGATGATATCATGATACGAACTCGTTACGATTGCCAACACAAATGTATTTGCTTTTTAACGAAGATTCTCAATTCATCATTTTTTGAAGTGAAACTTTTTTACACACGCTTGACTTGGGGAGTAAGCTGGCGAATGCGCTAAGCGTTACAAAAAGTGTGTTCGGACGAGGCGAACGGGAGTTGAATGGTGGACATCAGCAAGAAAAAGCATTTCTGGAAAAGATTTTCTCGACATTAGCGTTATTTGTTGTTTTTTAGAGAAGAGGCGCTCGAATTTTAAAATTTAAAAACCCAGGACGCTTCTTAAAACCTTTTCAGTACGTCCCAGGACACTACAAGAACTAGGACATGTCCTGGGAGAACAGGACCGACACACACACACAGACAGATATATATATATACAGATGGAGCTAAAGAAGTTTCAGTTCAGTCCTGTGGTCATAGCACACTGGCTTTTTTATTATTGTTATTCGTGCATATCTCCGACGTTTGAACACTGATTTTGATGATTGTACTTTTGTTTGAAAGAGTTTGTTAGCGAGATGGATGGGATATTAATTTGGTGAAGATATGATAAATACTTTCGGAGATAGACAACGGAACTAGTCAAATACGAACAGTGCACATATCGTGGTTGGTTATTTAACGAAAAATGAAAGGGATATTGCAGACCAGACATTTATATTTAGTAAGTTGATGTAGATTTTGCTTATAAAAATCAGTTTTAACAAAAATGAAACCAGATTTCATAAAAAACAAAATCACAAAAAATTAGGAAATAATACATTTTTTTCATCATCATCATCAGCCTATTAATGTCCCCACTGGTAGGGCACATGCCTTCCCTATGGATGGAATAGGGAGATTGGGCCAGTGCGATTTGGCGGGTACTAACGACTGCAGATGTAGCCGGGACCAACGGCTTAACGTGCCATCCGAAGCACGGAGGAGCTCAAGATAGTAAATTTTTTGGTCACCCATCTAATGACCGACCACTGCGAAAGTTGCTTAACTTCAACGATTGCAGTCGAACGCGCTAACCACTTGCGCCATCGAGCTCCTCCAAAGCTTTTAATACTTACTAAAGTAGCTTTACAGTCAAATTAATATTTGACGTCGGTGCCATACCAACCAAAGTAGTAAATGGAAACTCAGATCTATCAGACATGCATGGCTTAAGTAAAGAAAATATATTTTTCATCCCACCACCTCGGAAAGTGTAATTTTGCGCTTCGAAATCTGGCTGGAAAATTCTATTTTATTCGCTTGAGCGGCAAAGTAGATTTGAATTTAGAACATCACATATAATGAGTACTCAATATAATTGTAAATTCAAAACGTCATTAAACCTATTTAATGTAACCTCTATGGTGCCAAATTTATGATTAGAACTTTTTAAATTGTGAAAAAATTTAAATTTGGAACCTTCTTGGTTTCTTTGTTTTATTTGCGTGCTTCGCGCCATTCTAGTTTTTCACGTTTTATTGCTTAAATATTTTGTCATTATAAATTGTTTTCTTTTTCATTTTGTCATTTCCTCGCTGAGGTGGGATGAAAAGTTACGTATTGCACTCGAGTGGAAAGATTTTTCACCTTGTGCTCGTTTGTTTCCCTCGCTGACGCTCAGGATTCTAATTTAGAATCACTCGCTGCGCTCGTGATTCAACTTTAGAATCCTTCGCTTGCTCGGTCATCCAAATCGAGCACGCGGTTAAAAAGGAACTTTCCACTCTTGTATAATAAATAACTAATATCCTAATTTTTAACGGTTTTGTTTTTATAAAGTCGGTTTCTTTTTCTTGTTCATGTTTTTTATTTATTTATTATTAGCTCACAAAACAATTATATTAAAAAAAAACAAAGCAATTACAATAATATAACTGTAACTCTAAATATGTGGGCATAACATGATAAAAAACAAACAACAAAAAAAAAACACTTAAATAAAAGTAAAAATTAACCGATTTTCCCTTTTTTAACGAAGTATTAATCGTTGGATTTCTTTCCGAAATTCAAGAAGCCGACTATAAAAAATGTCAAAGGAAGAATGATCCCTATGCAGGTTATCGTATTGACGACACATATTTGTGATTGGATTATAAAAGGACGTGTTTTTTTATATATACTTGCAGGGCCAATACCCTATGGGTGGGAAAACGCGATCCAAATCTAATATTAAAACTAAGCGTTGAGGTAAGAAACGGTGAGTCGAGGAGTGAGTGTACAATTATATATAGGTAAATTAATTGGTGATATTTGCTCCGGGATTCTAGGGAAGAAATTTTGAAATGTGAAAATGAAATCAATTTACCTCGCAACCCAATCCCGGAGTGTACTTGAAAGGGTCCTTCTTGAGTTGTGCGAGCGCCAGAGATTCCTTGGGGAACCCTTCGTTGCTGCGATTCTTGATGGCGTTGATAAGAGTAAAGAACAAAGTGTCCAACTTGTACACACGGAAGATGCCATCGTCTTCAGCTGCAGGGGTCAGAGAATGTGAAATATGTACACATGAATATAGGTGTGCACTTCTATATATATAAAACTCAAAGGTGACTGACTGACATAGTGATTTATCAACGCACAGCCCAAACCACTGGACGGATCGGGCTGAAATTTGGCATGCAGGTAGATGTTATGACGTAGGCATCCGCTAAGAAAGGATTTTGATCAATTATACCCCCAAGGGGATAAAATAGGGAATGAAAGTTTGTATGAAACTTATCAATTTTAAACCGATCGGGCTGAGACTTTGCATGCAAGTATAAGAAGAATCATAGAATGTCATTGTGTAAATATACAAGCCTGAGAACAAAAACTGTAGTCTACACTTCAGCTCTATTTCGAAGCGCAGCGAGGGCGGGCCGCTAGTAGATTATAAAACAAAAAGGGAAGATAGATACGGTACGCTCATACTAGCATCAAATAAAATATGATCCGACTCAACTACATATGTAACTCTCACACACGCTCAAGTCTGTATATAAACATTCAATCGAGCGAGCGAGACGGAACTGTACCCCTAGCACGAACCAATATCGAATTCGTATCGTCTGCGAGTTCGAAATGTCATTGTCAAATGTGTACTGATTTTTAGTTCTCGTTACGTACTTTGTGCCGCTGCTGTTCAAGTTTCCATACAAAATTTGACATTGACATTTCGGTTTGCAAACTATTCGAATTCGATAATGGTTCGTGCTAGAGGTACTGTACGCTTCAACGCAGCGCGAGCGAAAAGGCGAGTCCGCTTTCAGAGTCCGTACGGCGGAGCTTGTATTGTTGTCCATTTCTTGATAACAAAATGGCGATTACGTACAAAACATTTACGACAAAGTTAGTGCCGTATCTTCCCTTTTTGTTACAATCTAAGGGTGTGAAGAAGAAAAGGTCAAGAGGCCGATGCACGAATTTCTGACAGTACCGTAACGTATCGCCATCCATGTCAAAGGACAATGTTAAAATTGGCCTAAGAACCAACACCAATTTGGCATTTATGATAATTCTTAGTATATTTTTTGCGATTATTATCAGTATTTAGATTGTGACGGACACTTCCAGTTAAGTAAGCTAAATTAAAAAGTTAAAAAATAATCTGAGACAATAAATACCATTTTATGTGTTTAATCTATGGCAACGCTGCAAATAAAACACTCTTTCTTCCTAATAACGGCACTTCACTTGGCTATTCGTATTTGTTATTTTAAAACATGACATCATGTTGTCAAGTGAAGGGCCGACATAAAACTCGTTACTCTGTGGTTCTGGTGCATGCAGTTGCATTCGTAGTAATCTGTGGCATTCGTGCATTCCAAACCATATTGATTCCAAAGAGTAGTTTAATAAACCGGAAAGTGCATTCTCGTTTCGGATTACCTGTTCTGTGTGTTTATTTGCGATTGTTTTTCCTTTAACTATTTCAGCTATCTAATATGCCATCGATGTTACCAAAGAGCACTGATACACATTCACGCTGCATATTTACACAATATACCTACATGACATATACAAATAAATACAATAAACAATATGATACAACTATGTGAAAAATAGTCAGTAAATAAGAAGTAAAACTACAGTTTTTATTTTATTCATGATTCCTACCTAACCAAGTTTTTCCTAATAGTTATTCTTTAAAATCGCACCGAATAAAATGAATTAACTAGGTGTAATTATTAATTCACTTCATACTGACTTTATACTAAATTCATAGGTTGACCTATGTTTCATTGAATATTAAACATAACCTCAAAAAAAATTTAGTTTTCCTAATAATTGAAGTTCTCAGAAGTGTCCGTCAATAATCTTTGTTTTTACAGTCATTTATTTACGATTTTGAACCTAGAAAATAATATATCGTGATTGTTGGTTCTTAGGCGAACTATGTATGGAAGCTGAACAATGTCCTTTGTATTTTTTAAGCATTTAACTGCTAGAGGTTTGAATCTAAAGAAAATTTTACTGGAAAAAAATTTAATAGAAGGTAGGTAGTAGTAATGACCATTAGGTATATTATTATGCCGTCGCCCGAATAGCGAAGGGTGCGGGTTCGTCTGCTGCCTGGTCCGTGTGGATTTTTTTCTAGTAAAATTTTATTGACATAAAAATGCTAGTTTGTTCTAACGTCCGTCCAATAGGAGCGAAAACGTTACGGAGCTGTCAAAGATTCGTGCAGTACAGCAGTATTTTTTAATATTAAAATTGTGGCAAACAGACATTTGGTATGCCACATAGCTGTCAAATCTCCAACTTAACTTTGGCATTATAGTTTCAAGGTTCAGTTCCAGTTCACCCCTATCTACCTTAAGCAGACCTAGAACTTAAATCACGGACAGAAACATAATACCACTATAAAGTTGAGTTACCTTGCTGTGGTATTCTATAAGGTGGCGATTACTTCCTATAATTCGAGCAGGAAACCTACTACGCTTATCTTAAAGGCCTCATCTTTGCATCTGAACTTTAACATTAATTGGACACGTCACCGGTGTGCAAGGTTAAGGCGAATTCAGTTTTTTTTTCTTTTTTTTCCAGCGTTCTGTTCTACAAGTTTTGGCTGGAGTTGTGATTAACTTCTTCCTTCTAATTATCAGGGGGGAAATCCATTGACTCCTCCACCACGTGTCTGTTTGCAAGGCTGTTCTGTCCATCGATGAGGCTAAGGGGCGCCCTCCGCCAAAGCCTCTTGAAACAGTCGTCAATGCTAATAAGGCATGATGCCATATCATTAGGGTGTGATTTGAGGCGTGAACTATAACGTTTGACCACTTCTTCTATTTCTTGTTTAATATTTGGTACTCCCAAGTTTTTGTGTAATTGATTATTTGTTATGTACCACGGAGCATCAGCAATCATACGCAACGTTTTAGATTGAAACCGTTGTATTAAACTATTAAACTTATATTAAAAAATATAACATCAACAATAGGGCCCATATTAATAGATCGCTCTCAATTAGCGTTGTCAGGTGACCCGATAAAACCGGTCATGGTTAGGTTTTTTGATTGCGTGTCCGGCCAAAATAAACAATTATTGCAAGTGGTGTTGAACGTCAATCATATTCAATATTTATGAACTAGACAGATGCAGAATACAAACAGACAAGCAATGGAACACGATACTCCGCAGGCACCAGAACATGTGTAGTTTAAACAAGACAGTGCAACTACTGCACACACAGCACAATTTCATTTTTGCGATTTTGCATGGCCAGATTTAACTGGCCCAGCCCCTTAAAGATCCTGATAAATATTTTCATTACAATTTTTTTTCTTTTATTAAGTAAAAAATATACAAAAGCAAAATTGGATGGACTTTGGTGCCTGCTTGTATATTAAAATTAATCCACATTTCCCATGCACCATAATTTAGTAAGTTGATGTAGATTTTGCTTATAAAAATCTGTCTTAACAAAAATTAAACCAGATTTCATATATCGTACGCATATGTCTACCGATTTCATATATTATTTATAGTTTGCATGCAAATAAATTCTACAGGGTTCTTACAATAAGAATTTAGTTAACAGGGACAAAGTTTCTTGTAAGTTGAATGTAATTTTCTTAGTATGTACCTGCTCTTGTACACATTTGAAGGATGAAGTCGTGTACAGGCGCAATTTTATCTGGCATGGTGAACAGAGGAGGCATTGTCTTCATGTTCCTATCCTTCTGCTTCAGGTAGTCAATTAGGTTGGCCAGGATCTGAAAGTAATTGCTCTTCGGCTTTGTTTCATCTGGCATCTCCAGGCCCATCTCTTGACTGCCCAGCTTCACTTCGAACGCGTATCCTACTGGAATCTGGCCTGTGCATTTGGGAAAGTGTGCAAAAAAATAAGTTTGCCCTGTCAAAAATTTTTAGAAACTAGGACATTTTGTTGGAATGCAGGTAGTTCGAAATTTTTAACCAGTATAGTTAACAAGTTATATCACACAACGTTTTCCAAAACATATGAAAAAAGCAAGTAGTAATAAATAAAACCAAACAAATATGATAATATTTTATTTTTCCCTATAAAATTCTCAGTTTTATTCAGGGCTTGTAACCGGTTTCGAAAATACCGGTAAATAAAGGTTAATACCGGTTTTTAATAAAGGTTTCGTTCGGAGCGCGTCCGAAATGAAAGCGGTACTTAAAACCTTAATAAACTGGTTTAATCCAGAGCGACACGTGCACATGTCGGTATTGCTTGAAGTTTGTTTTGTTTGAACTAAACAACTTGTTAATGCTCAGAGATTGATGCATTTAGGCGGTTTGCAGACGGCGGGGCGGAGCGGGCCGGTCAAATTAGCAGCGAACGATAGCACCAAGTGAAGCCTATACTACAACCGCACACAGAGGGCAAAAAGACTGCGCCTTGGGTGCCCGGCGGGCACTGGCGGCGCGACAAGTCCGCGGCTGCCCGCCATGGATCATACAAACCAGTTTATATGCAGTAACGCAGACGGCGGTGCGGAGCGGCTAGCTCAGTCCGCGCCACGCGCTTTTTAGTGATGGACTGACTATTCACTAGAACGAACGTTCTGAACTGACTGCCTCTGCCTGTCGTGTGCTTTGTGTGCGCGGTGAGGGCAGCCGCAGACATCGACGGGCAGACGCGGTTTTTATTGCTTCGCGGACAAAAAGCCCGCCCCGTCGTCTGCAAAGCGCCTTATTGACACGTTTGCTAGAGTCTAGTGAGTCAAGTTATTCATTTTGTAGTTGTGTACTGACACACTACTTCACTTACTCGCTCTGTAGTTGGAAAGAAACTGACATAAAATCATTATAAATTTGAATTGAAATGGCGAAGGCGATGTCGTCAGTAAAGCCCACCATTCACTACACGCACCGCGAGCCGAACCCCGAGCCGTACCCATCCGTGGACAAATCCGTCATTGCCCACACACTACACGAGCGCCGAGTTGCAGTCCAGTCGCTTGTGTACTTTGGTGAGCCTCGCGCGTATCGTTCTTCCCTACCCTACCATGCCACCGGTGCTTTCCAAATGCACAAAAGTCGCTTTAGTAGTCGGTGCAATACTTTTAACAGAGAATAAAAAGAAAAAGAGCGTCTGAACAAAGGAATGGCTGAAACAACGAACAAAATATACTCATTTAAAATTTCGGCAATGCATTCAGTCCTGTAAACCATCTGTTTCTCTTTAAACAGCAGGATAAATTCTAGCCAAAACTCTTTATGATCGCCGAACGACATGTTATTATACTCGTTTACTCGTTCGTGATACAAACAATACAACTGCAGGCCAATTATGCTCGCTAATTGTGATATTGTTTTAATGTCAATTTCACATTACGCATTATGCTCTCCGAAAAATGCGATATCAAAATGACATCAACTTGACATCAAATTTAAAATGATATCAACTTAAATGCGTATTACGATCAACTTTTTGACATAAAACAGTATCGCATAAACGTCAAAAATGTGATACAGAATTAACAAGTTAGGAGGTAGTTTTTCTGTATCAAATTTCTTTATTTTTTAATAAAAAAGAGTAAAATGGCTCGTTTCGTGTTAGTAATGGACTATTTAGAACGTGCTTATGCCGTGGACATGCGTAGAAGAGATAAACCCCTTGTAGAAGAGATACAATTAGCTCTTTATGTTCGCTAATTGTGATACTGTTTTGATGTCAATTTCACATTACGTATTATGCTCTCCGAAAAATGCGATATCAAAATGGCATCAAATTAAGCGTATTATGATCAACTCTTTAAAATGATATTAACTTGATATCAACTTAAATGCGTATTATGTTCAACTTTTTCACTTAAAACACTATCGCTTAAACGTCAAAATAGTGATACAGACGTGATCCAGTATTAACAAGTTAAGAGGTGGTTCTGCGTGCACGCACTACAAATGACTGACAAGTTCGCCGACAAATCTGTGCAAGCACACACACGTACGGATTTGTACGGCGCGGCTGGGGTGCGGCGCGGCGCTCGCGTCTCTCGACGGCGAGCGCCGCGCCGAGCCGCGAGCCGCACTCACCAATACATTCACACGCGGATTTGTCCGCGGACTTGTCGCCAGCGACAAATCCGGCGGATTGGCGCGCCCGTGAATGTTAGGCTTAAGAGCGAAATGAAACCCTTTAAAAACCGCTAAATTGATTGAAAACCTATTTGATTTCGCTTTTTAGGAAAACCGTTTTTTTAAGGTTAAGGTAGAGCCAAACCTAAATAAAACGCTCCTAATGTACTTGATACTGATTTAGGTTTGAAAATTAACCGGTAAACAAGCCCTGGTTTTATTATTAATTTTATTGCAAGTATAAATGCAAAATGGTGAATAATAATTATTTCAATAAAGATGGCCTGAGAATTGCTCATTTCGTGATTTTTAACGAAATGGAACAAAATTTAAATTGTAAATAGAGGTTTAAACTTCACTTTAAATGAAAAGTTAAATGGCACATTCTTTGAATCAACTTTAGGTTCAAAATTAATTGAACTAATTGGATACCAGAGATACTTGATAAGTGGTCTTCCTGTACGCACTTATAAATTCCTTTGTATTAAGTTGCTTTTAATGGCTTACTGGTAAAAGACTGTGTCCTTGCTAAGATATTTTAATTATTAAGATAGTCTTAATAATTAAAATTACAGCTATTGCCAAAAAACGGAATCATTTATCCTTATCTTTTACTGGAAGTTGATTATTGAAACTTTTGTCTCTTTTGCTTTGACCAGTGCAGTCGTTGACTTATTGGAGGCCCAGGGCATATTAGGATAATGGGGCCCCTATGACTTCCGTTTGGTGATTTAACAGGAACTAGGGTCTTTGTATCTGATCTGAGGGGGCCCCCTATCGATCGCGGGGCCCTGGGCACTTGTCCAAAGTGCCCACTAGGAAACACGGGTCTAGCTTTCACCTTCAAAGCTAAAGAGGAAATGTAAATTACTCACCAGGATTTATTATTTCATGGTACTGATCCTTAATACCATCTATTAGATTAAATCTCAGGACAGTACTTTCCGCAATTAAGTATTCTCCACCAGCCTTGCAATAGAAATTCACGTCCATTAAATAAAAGTCCTCATTCACTATTTCTGTAGGCAGAAAAAAATAACATTTTTTTATCTATCATAGCAAAATGGATTGAAGTGATAAGACTCAAAGGAAAAATAAGTTATTGTTATATATTTACTAGAAAAAAAAACACGCAGACCAAGCTGTCCCGTCTGCTGCCTGGTCCGAATGTATTTTTTTTAGTAATATTTCCTTTAGATTTAAAAATAGAGCAGCTACATGCTTAAAAATGAAATTTTATAAGTTGTTATTCATATAACAAAAAAAATAACAACAGTAAAAATACAAAATTTTGATTAAAAGTGTCATAATGAGTTATGTAGTCACCTCCATTAAAACTCTTTAGTTTTACAATATTTTTTATGTCTTGGCGTTCAGTTTCCTCAGCATCCTTGAGCTCCTTTTCCTGCCTATCGATTTCAGCAAGAGAAACTCCAGTTGATGTGAATTTCATTTCAGGAATATTTCTCTTTTGCTTTTCTTTCTTAGCCATTTCCTCAAACTTTTTTCTGGCTGCTGGAGGTGCATCCTAAAGAAAACGCGCGAAAACATTTTGTAAACTGTTCAGAATCTAGGATTAAATTTCTTTTGTCTAGGAATCTGAAGATAACAAAAACAAATTAGGTACTCAATTGAGCTTAGCAACTGACTTATAAGTTTTTACACATTTGATTAGCAAAGTTGAATACTATTCATAGTTTATAGTGTTTGCAGCAGCAATTAATTGTTGATTTTGGTCGTGTCCTTACTTTTTATAAATTGTATGTATTTTGAAATTTATAGTTACCCTCCACAAGGGACCAGCGGCTTCTGCAACCTCAGCCATATTTCCATAGTTGATACCTTTTTTTCTCTGTTCTTCTTTATAATCAAGCATGTAAAAGTAAAATGCGTTTCTAGGTTGCTTTTTTGGCATCTTAATTTTTTTAAACTTTTCTATATATACCTAACCGGTATAAAATGTGAAAATTCAAGCACGCAGACCGCCGGCAAGAACCACAGACTATTTATTTAGACACATTTGACGTCTGTCAGTTTTATCTGCATAGTGAGGTGACCTGCTTAAAAACATGGTTTAAAGTGAATGAATCGATACGGACTTGAAACATATGTGAATAATTAAAAAATCAACAGGCGAATCCCTGTCCCATTCTTATTTTTCTTTCGTAAAAGGAGCAAAGTAAGACAAGTATTATTAACATAGTATTATTTATAAAGACATAATTTAAAAATAATGCCTTTATTTAGTTGTACTCTCAGAACTGTTATTAGTATCTTCATCACTGCTGTCAGCACTCAGAGATATTATTAATTCATTTTCAATAATATTGTCTATTCTCATATCTCGTTCAAAATCTTGCAAAAAATATTTTCTTTGTTTTCTCTACGACTTTTCTCCAGTCTTTTGTAGTGACTTCTTCACACGCAGTTTGTAGCAGAGTCATCTTTTTAGCAGTACTGAAGGGTGGTTCAGTATTGTTCCGCGCTGCATGACCCTTTATTTGTGCCCAAATAAGCTCGATGGCGTTATACTGGCAATGGTAGGGTGGCAATCGAATAACTTCGTGTCCATACTCTAGGGCTAGTTCATCGATTACATAGCGGAGCTTGGACGGCTTAGCTCCTTTTACCAGATTGAACAACTCAACTTTCAATAAAGTTAGACTTGCATCCACACCATTGCTTACCAGCCACAAGACAATTTCTTGCTTTTTATTTTCTTGAGTTGGTGGTTTATCAACTTGTACAGAATGATACGGTGCATTGTCAATTATAATTTTCGATGGGTTTTCTAAGCTGACTATCAACTTCTCCAACCACTCTTTAAAAACATCAAAGTTCATTTCCTCATGGTAATCACTTGTAGTTTTAGAGGCGAATGCGAGGAAGCAGTTTGGAATAAAACCTTGAGAAGCTGACACCGCGTGACATATAATAAGTCGGGCTTCTTTTCCCGATGGAACTTTTAAGTTGGAGGCAGCTGTAACATTGGTCCATGTCCGCGAAACCGTATGGTTCGCATTCAACCATGTTTCGTCAATAAACAAGACATTTTCACAATCTGCAATTTTATTTACCTGATGTAAGAATGTTATTCTCTTCAAAATAATATCGTAGCGTTCTAGCAGGATTTTCCGCTTGTCAGATTTTTGAAGTGAAAACTTCACTAGCGGCGTTGTACACTTTTTTGTATGGGTAAAATTGTTAAACTCGCGTCGTGACACATGGGCTCATCGCATCACAGGCTACGCTACTGTGATGTATGTGAAACGCAACTGCTAAAGTAAGTACAGTTAATTGATGAATTGTCGTTTGTTTGGGTATAATTACAAGGGAACATATTTTGAAATTAAAAATTTGCCTCATTTGTCAGTTAAAGTCGCATAAAGCGATGTCTTCCACATTATTTTTTGTATAAAAAATTTTAATCTTTCACAATTTTGAGGAATATACACTTGTTTTTATAAGATTTACGACAGACTAATTAATGTTTACCTCTTTAAAATCAACGTACAAAATGTAAGCTTCTTATGCTTCTCTCAAACGTTGAAGAATTTTATGGGGTTGTCATAATTGTTCATATTTTACAAGAAAGCATTGAAATGGTATAATTATTCCAACTATAATATTTTTTAAAACGTTGTTATGCTAACTTTTCGTGTTTTATCATGTTTTTACCTCATAAAAAAATGTTAAGATATAAAAATACTAATTATTCGTAGTCACATACATTGTTCATCGAGGGACAAAAAACTACTATAACTTAGTGCTAATAACTGTATTAGTATTAGTAATGGTTCAGAAATAAAGATTATTATTATTGGACGAATCAAAGTAATATTTTATTTCATCGTATTATAATAATAAGTCTGTATCTAGGACGACCAGGTGGCGGCTTCATTGCGAAGAAAATGCATTTTTATTACAGTAGATGTCGCTGGGTGTGCCTAGATGAGAAATTCTGGGAGATAAACTTTTTAATGTAATATAAATTGTCATGTTTGTGTACGGTAGCGCAATAAATAAATATTGTATTCTTCCACATAAATGATAGTACTTTTATACTGATAATTAAAGAAATTCGGGCAAAATTATTCCCTAACCATTCCAAAATATCAAAAATGCACAACGTTAACATTCAAGTTTTCACTTCTGCCGGCACACCCTGAGTCCAACCCGTCGTTTTTTTTTAATCTTAACGCTTCTATCAATAGCGCTTTCCGTGAAGGATATTCTTTTCTCGAGTAATATCCATAAATGTTGCGAATTGCAGCAGCATCAAAATTATCAACGCCAACAATTTTCTTGGCTCTCATTCTTTTTTTCGGTGTACGTAAAGTATAATCTTTTGAAACTGATGGTCCGTATTTCTCTTTCAGAATTTGAGTTACTGTCCTCTTCCCTATTGCCAATGCTTCGGCAACGCGTTCTCTCGGTTGTGCCAATGGTAAAAGAGGCCCATCATTAACTGATTCACGTTCAGAATAATTGTACCATTTCACCATAAGTTCGCGAGATTGACTGTTTAGCGTTTTCCCCCATTTCGACAAGGTAAGACTGTAATGTTGTTCTTGTTTACTAATTGATAAAAAAGACTGCGTCATGTAATGGCGACATGACATGGCGTCATCGATAGGCACTGGTGTTGCCAGCAACATCCCATCTAAATTGTACCTAACATCAATGATTTTTCTATTTAGATATTTTTATAGTTAGTTATGATAATATTTAATATAATTATGTTTTATTATAATCATAACGTGGTTGTTAATTTATGGTGATATGACTTCACAAGTAATCATTGCATTCAATTCAACTTATCAGCTTTCGATTTTTAGAGTACCATCCCTAGTGTTTAAAAAGAAAAAGGGTTAACTGATGCAAAATTGTAGCGACGTTCAGTTCTTTACATCAGAAGTTTAGAATGGTTTATTACTGAATGCAAATCGTAAAATTACTCGTATCGGTCATTATGACAATAAATATGTAATCGTAATTGAAAAAAGTTAAGCAATTGTACAGTTCTTATTTTATGCCCTTTGTTGTTGTTCTGGCCTGACTATACGTATCGACTGTAAAGTAATCTGTAGTATAGTCTGTTTCAAGCGAATTTAGACCAAAAGTAAACATACAGGTAGGTTTTTTTTGTATATAATTTTTACGACCTCAGGCAGGTAGGTTTTTTTCAGTATAATTTTTTACGGCCTTGGAAACAGGTAGGTAAGTCTGACCATAGACAGTTTAGTGTTGGTGATTCATAGAACCTTATCAAAATCAATTGCACAATTGAATGATCATATTTTTAAGAATTGACAAAAATCAAAGGCTTAATTTGTAACATTAATATTTTTTTATCATTATTACTCAAAATAAGTTTTGTTTACTAAATTTATCCTGGATGGATTTGTGAAAGCAAAAATGTGTGCGTGTACTAGTGTACACACGTAAGAAGTGAAACTTCTTTATGGCCTTATTTTTCGAAAAATGATCTACATGCAACTTTCCAGAAATTGGTTAAATAAAATTAAATTAGATAAAGTTTAAACAAAAGGATTTTATTATCATAGACATGAATACAAATTACTGCCTATGAAACTGTTATGATTACACGGCTCAGTAATCTAAGGCACATGTTCCACCTCCGACGATGAACGATAAGCGAGTAGAAACTAGAAACGAATTGGCAGTCCTGAGTTAAAATGCACGCGCACATCTTTTGACAGCCAAGCCAGCTTAACCGAGCGAGTAAAGCTGAGCGAGTATCGCTGAGCTAGTATCGCTGAGCGAGTATCGCTGAGCGAGAATCACTGAGCGAGAATCGCTGAGCGAGAATCACTGAGCGAGTATCGCTGGGCGAGTATAGCTGAGCGAGTATCGCTGAGCGAGTATCGCTGAGCGAGCACCGCTGAGCGAGTATCGCTGAGCGAGTATCGCTGAGCTAGTATCGCTGAGCGAGTATCGCTATGCGAGTTTGGCTTTATCTAGTCTTATCTTTAATAACTATTGTCACTCAGCTACAAACGAGTAGAGAGAGTTCTCGCCGGCAACAGTGTGATCATTCAGCTATCAACTATTAATATAAAAAAAGATGGCGCGTAACGGAAAAATGTGACGCGTAACCGAAAAATGTGACGGTAAATTTTTTTCCAACGCCGATAAAGAAGTTTCACTTCAAAAACCACAAAACTCTTTGACTTAGTAGGTACATTCATAACCTTAGGAGGTGGTCGCTCAAAGGCGGAGGCTGGAAGAGTGGACCGAGGAGCTAGGGTCACAACAGTTTGGGACCAGGACCCTGGAGGCGCTGCGAACAGTGCTCAGCCAATGGAGGTAGAGGAGGCATGGATCACTGACTTTCCGTCTGGTGCAGGTGGTGTCAGGCCACCGATGCGGAGGGAAGCGACCCCGTCGTGCCATCATTGTGGCGCTGTCGAGGACACGGCGCATCACGTCCTCGAGGACTGCTCGTCGTGGTCTCCGCAGCAATAGGACGGGATTTCTCGCTGCCCAGCGTCGTTAAAGCGATGCTGGACAGCGACAGATCCTGGACTGCGGTAGTCTCCTTCTGCGAGGAAGTCATCCTCCAGAAGGAGACAGTGGAGAGGGCTAGCTAGTGAAGCTAGCGGGCGGCGGACAGGGTGGTCCGTCACGCGCATTGCACAGTCTTACCCGTCGCGGAGGGATTTCTAGGTGCTCCCGGGCATCCCCCCGACCGCTAGGAAGAGAAGGAAGCCCTGACGGGGGTAACGTGGAGAGTCACTTGGATCCCACGAAACCCGTTCCGGCAGGCAAGGGAGCACTGTTGGGTTTTTAGTGGGTAGGGCCTCAGGGTGGGTGGGATGTGGGGGAGGATGTGTCCCACATAACCCCTTCTCTCACCCAGGGGCATTTTCCCAAAAAAAAAGGTACATTCATAACCTTAAACCTTGTATTTTTAAACTTTAAATATTATTCAATGAGTGCTCACATTAAAGTGATCTTTGCTAAAAGAAATGACTTTCAGACAGTAAAATTACAGGATTTAGCAAGTTTTAAACATGACTGTGTTCATGTGTAGGTATGTGAATTTCTCTAGACAATTTATACCACAACTTTTCTGCGAGTCTTTAACGATGTGTTTCTACATTCTCGTATAATACAATCATGATAATTTTTATATTTATCATGAAATCTATTAGAAATCATGGGTTTATAATATAAATTGAGATTCAGGTTATTTCCTACGTGCTTCCGAATATTTGTTTACGATTTTGTTGACTTCATAGCATAGATAATCTATAGACTAAAATAGCCGACAGCGTTTTTGTATGTCCATGAAAAATATATTTTAAAATTAAAGTTTTGTAGCTTTCTAGGTCAAAAAAAATATTCCGTTAACCGTCTGGGGAACATAACCTCCATCTTATAGAAGACCAGTATAATAACACTACTTTTCGCTGGTTTTGTGTTTTTGTCGGTAAGATAGGTTTCAGGGCTTCACGGGTTAGGAGATTGGGTTAGGGTAGGCAACAATACAATACCAACAAACAAATATTTTCTCTTTATAGTAATTAATATAGATAAGTACAAAAATGCATACTGATGTATTTTTTTATGAGTAATCACCTAATGCAAAGATTTCAATCGTTAGATATGCTCTGACACCGAAAAACTGTGGCCATATTTTGCAATGACATTATGATGATGGCCGTTTTAACACATTACAATAGTGAAGTGAAAGTCACTTTTTTATCGCAAAAATAAAGTAATGCTTTTAAATGCGAGTCTCATCTAGATATTTTTTTTCGGTAAATAATACATTGCAAATTTAGAAAACTAAATATAAAACAAAGTCGTGTTAGTTAGAACATTTATAACTCAAGAATGGCTGGACCGATTTTGATAAAATTATGTTTTTTTGGAATCCTCTCGGCCCCGAATAGCAGAATAACTATTTAAGTATAGGAAAAATCACGAAAAAGAGTAATGTAAAAAATCGATTGTCATTATATAAATTAGGTTTGGTATTCCGCCTTCTTCCACAATTGACAGCTCACGTCACAAAAGCACAAAGCTTATTTGTACCTTCTGTAAATCTGTTACTACAATATAGATAGAAACGATCGCTTTAGAGAGTGATATGGTAATTTAACGAAAATACTGTAATCATAAGACAAGTTACTATACTAGGCGATATTTTGGTAAGGAAACGATGAATATAACTTCAACACTATACTACATCAATTATATAATATAAATATCAATATCGCAGTTTTCATTTCATTATAACATGAACTTTACTCCATTTGGTATAATTTTCTAACTAGGAACTATTCCTACTTTCCCAAGAAGTCGTAGGGTACTGAGAGATTAAGGGATGTCTGTGTTTGGAGAATAGTTATTAGGCAAATACATGGTAACCCTGGCAAACAATAAAACCCCGTTTTAAATTTTGCTGATACACTATTAAAGTAAAAGTTATTGAAATGTTATTTTCACTTTAAATGTATATTATTCTTTTAAACTATTTACTTTTTGTACTTGTTTTTTATAGTATATATGAATAGTAAATATGAATTAATATAACCGCATTAATCGACTTTTGGGCGGTACGAAGTTCGCCGGGTCAGCTAGTTAGATATTATTATGAAATCTTTCAAACAAGTATTTTTTACCGGAAGCCGTAAATACAATTATGGATAATATATTAACTAAATATACATAATATAATACAGTTTTGTAAAATTTTAATGCTATGCCCTAAGATTACCGATTTGATAAATTTTAGCACTGACTGCTCGTCACTAAAATGAGAATGAAAAACAGCGCTATATAAGTTAAGCTTAGCCCACCGCTAAGCTTAACTTATATCCGAGCACTGTATAGCAGACATGTCGCATGTGTGTAGAGACAAGCTGATATTGCCCCGACCGCCGTGCGCCCTAGATTGTCCCTGCAGCAGGGATGTCAGTAGCCCGCTTTATGCTGAATAATGCCAAGTTAAACGGTATTGTCTTTGTTTCACATACACCATGGCATAGCATTCTTTAAAAATTGTGATGAATATTCAATTGAATATTTAAATTGCTTGTGGCTGTGGCATGCTTGCACCTCACTAGAACAAGTAAAGACAGCTTTAATGACGTTTGATTTTTGTCTTTCGTTTGCTATCGGTCTGTATTTTGCGACGATGAATTGTTTTGCGTGATATAATGTTTATAGTTTAAATTGTGTTTTTAACCACACACTAATATAAATTTTGGTAATTTGAATGGAATAGAGCAAAATAAATAAAACAAGACTTTCAATACCGTGATTTATGTGAAGTTAATCGGAGAATATTGAGTTCTGATATTCAAGCACTCGAAGTTCATTGGTATGTTTATAGCTTTATCAAATTGAACTTTTAGATTTTGTGTAGCTTGATGTCATTACAATATAGCTCTTAAACAATTTTCATTGATAATTTATTAGTTTTACTTGTTTTCTGTCAGCAACAAGTAACGGTACGTAGTCTCCACTGTCTTGTATATTGCATAGAGTAGATGTGATTTAAATCATCAATATCCGGCTATCCAATGATCTTGACACGTTGTTACTGGGTGGTTGTAAATATCCAGTCCAGTGAATGTTATTTTAAATAGCGACTGGCATTATTCATAGCCTAACTTGGTTGTAGTCCACTATTATACATTTCACCTCAATTACAAATCAGTATTTCTATCTGAAGAGATGGCGCAACTGGATAGCAGGTTTACGATCATTGAAGTGATACAACTTTCGCAGTGTTCAGTCATTGGGTGGGTGACCAAATATTTACTATCTCAAGCTCTTCTGTGCTTCAAAAGGCGCATTAAGTTAAAACATGTTTTTAATACTTTTACAGAACTAGACATTGTGCCTCCTTTTCAGGAGGCATTGGCAAGAATATTTTTTTTTTCTTGACAAGCTAAGCTAAACTTTGAATCACTTTTATTAAAAGTTGATTTTCAATCAAAAGTTCAATAACACAGCAAAGTTTAATCAGAGAGTGAGCCCTCATTTTATTATATGCACTTGGTAAAGATTCTGTTCAGATTCTGTATGAAAACAAAAACAAAACAACTATACCATGTTGAAGGTGCTTTGCATTTCATATAACAAAAGTGTGTCAATTATTTTAGATTAAGATAGTTATCTTATCATACGCTCCTCTGTTTACTGAACTCTCGAGAGAGTCATTTCAGTTATGCACTGCCATTGTTACATCAGTTTACTAGAAAATTTCACTAAACATACATACATATATACATATTCTGCCTTAATCCAAAACGCAGTCTAAAGTTAGTCATGATTTAAACCTTATCCTGTCTCTGTCATCTTTTTAGCAAAAGTGACAGCATCAGTTTAAAACCAGGTTTAACTTTAGTCAATGTTTTATAATAAGGCAGCAAATGTTTACTGTAATTTTCTAGTATGAAACAACCCTATTATTATGAAACATTGATTAAAGTTGAGCCTTGGAGCTAATTGTCATGCTTAAATCTTCTTCAAATTTAATGAGAAGAGTCAGTGTGACATAATTAATATTAAATGAAAGAGATCAAGGAAGGGGAAAACCTCCTTGTCTAAATACATACCTTTGTTTTCAATAAAGAAGGCGGAGAATACAATATTAGGTTTAATCTAGTAACTAACTTTATGCCTCCGATTTGTATGAAGGGGGATTGTTTTTAAATTACTTTTGTAATATGAATAAATCATAAAAAAAAGTTAAAAATTAAAAAATGCCACCTTACAAACCTTACTTTTATTTGATGTTTTTTTGCCCCTAATGCCGTATGTCCACTGCGGCTGTCATCGAGACGTGAGCGAGAACGAGATAACCGCTCCGAAAAATAGCGACACATACATTAAATAATCTCCTTCTCGTTGACGTTCCAGTGACAGCGGCGGTCGAAAAACGGCCTACCTAGGGGACGAGAGAATAGGGATCATGAGTAACGTTTTTTACTTCGTTCATCAGGTAGATTATCTTAAAGTATTGAACACGTAATTTTTCTTTTTTCATATAATCAAAACATTACAGAGATATCTTGATTTGAATGTCGCATGAATGACGTCACGCGTTGCTAGGTATGATTTTTTACTTAGACGTTACGTCACGAGCCCCCATTCCCGAACTTTGACGTAGTAATTAATTTGATCTAACTTATTGAACATTATTGACAGATTGAGGCGTTTGAAGTTGTGCATATTATCGTTTTTTCGGTAAACTAGCCGCCGTAGAACGATCAGTACAATAAAAGGAAAACAGTATTTGCAAATATATTTTACGTAAACTTACATAGGAAAAATATATCTACTGTTTACTTCTATTGGAAATAGGCAAAATCTTTTAATGGGGTAAACGAGGCGCTCAAAAATTATGACTTTTTGCAAAAAACTTCGGGAAAAACGATATAGCGCGAATTTTCGGGACGCATTGTGTACAGTGGACGAACGAATTAAAACGAATGATAATAAGATTAAGTTCTTTTAAAGTTGTTTTACTAAAGACAAACCGACAAAAAATCAGGCGCTTTGTGCGTCCTAGTCGGGTTTCTTCCCTGAAATGGATGGTAACCCTTGGTGCGAGTCCATTTGCTACCTACGCTCTCGGTAGGTATTAGGTATAACTAATTTTTTTAAGCGGTTAATGATGATCATTTGTCCAGGTATGTAATAGATACTATAAAAAAGTATCTAAAATACAAAGTACAAGATACTAGGTAGTCAAGTATGTATGTATTTGGATAACAGGTACAAGATACCTTTATGTATGTATGAAAGTATTTGTTATACTAGATATAAAGTACGTAGTTACCAAATACTTTTTAAGATAAAGATACTTTTTTGGAGGAAACCATATTTTGTTGGTTTTAAGATTTTTTTAAGTTGGCAAATTGTACCTATAACAATGCAATACATATTTGTTTTTCACGCACATCACTCATTAAATAAAACTAGTTTTAACGGGCTAATGCACGAACTTTATTTAGGATTTATTGACGTTTCGCAGAAGTTCGCAGCCTTTTCAGGTCTGCATAGTCAGAATAATGATTTTTTATTTACTTTGTCGAGCTACCTTCGAAAGACTTTTATTCAGCGTTCGGATATTTCATTGGAAGATTTTTAATTTGTCAATGTATGAATTCATTAGTTAATTAGAAGTTATTAGAGAACCGGCGCCGGCGAAACAAACTCAGAGAGGCTTCTCAGAAAGGTCTCCCAATTTTGGAACCGGTGGTAATTTACGGTAGTTAGGGTGAAATAAATAAACTCTAAATTACAAAAAAGAATTTTAAATAAAGTGCTTTATTAACTAAATTATTTTGTATCTTGTATCTGTATCTTAGATACTTTTATCTTAAATAAGTCACATCGCTGCATTTGTTTACCATCATTAATTCTGATATTTGTTTCAGGTAACCATCGAGGGAGTAGCGGGCGATATTAGAACAATAATGATAATGACACGGCCATGACGAAACACTATTCTAATGGTCACATGACATTCAATGACTATTTTATGATGTACTTGGCGAAATGGAAGCGTGCTGCAGTTGTATTGATGCTAGTATGGATCGGAGTTACTTACCTGGTTATATCACCGCTCAGGTAAAACATTTGAACTAGTATGCTAATTAAATATGTATGAAGGTCATCCTACTATAACACCAATTTTGACACCACTGTCGACGTTTTAACAATTGAACGAGTCGCCAATTTGCCTCCGGCATATTTTAAAACAGCGAGCGTTTTTAAACGGACGACGCCGTATGTAAAATGTGGATTCATACCAGGGCTTGTAACCGGTTTCAAAAATACCGGTAAATAAAGGTTAATACCGGTTTTTAGTAAAAGTTTCGTTCGGAGCGCGTCCGAAATGAAAGCGGTAGCTAAAACCTTAATAAACCGGTTCAATCCAGAGCGACACGTGCACGCGTCGGTATCGCTTGAAGTTTGTTTTGTTTGAACTAATCAAGTCAGAACTTGTTAATGCTCAGAGATTGATGCATTAATTGACACGTTTGCTAGCGTCTAGTGAGTCAAGTTATTCATTTTGTAGTTGTGTACTGACACACTACTTCACTCACTCGCTCTGTAGTTGGAAAGAAACTGACATAAAATCATTATAAATTTGAATTGAAACGGCGAAGGCGATGCTGTCAGTAAGAGCGAAATGAATCCCTTTAAAAACCGCTAAATTGATTCAAAACCTAGTTGATTTCGCTTTTTGGGAAAACCGGTTTTTTAAGGTTAAGGTAGAGCCAAACCTATATAAAACGCTCATAATGTACTTGATACTGATTTAGGTTTGAAAATTAACCGGTAAACAAGCCCTGATTCATACAAATTGCCTGCGACATGTATATAGGTAATGCAGCATTTATTAAACCTTAGTTAAATAATATATGAGGTAGCAATCAATACTTTGATTCGATATCTGTTCCTTGGCGAGGCATTCGGGGATGTTCTTAATCAAGTCATTAAATATTAAAGTGCGTGCTTACTCTGTTAGGCTTAGAGGCCTTATATATGTAGGGCTGCCATCCGTCCGGGTTTCCCCGGATTTGTCCTAGTTTACGGGGCGTCCGGGGAGCGTCCGGGCGGGGTTTTATTTGTAGTCCGGGTTTAAAAATTTACGGCAACGCATAAGTGGCCCTTGGTGCTGCAAGTGTCCATGGGCAGCAGTGACCACTTATTATGAGGTAGACTGCTACTAGCTCTTTTGACTAGATCAACATAAAAAAGTTGATTTGTGATATTTTTAACTATTTTTTATTGGTCTGTCCGGGTTCTGGGCTCCAAAATCCGGGGTTATCACGCGTTTTATCCTGGTTGCCACATTTTAGAGATGGCAGCCCTATATATATGCCATCCATTAATGTAAATGTACGGGATGTCATACGTATTTCCGGAAACATCTAATGTTGTGTATATTAAATTATGCTCCTTCCTTTGAGCTGAGGCATTAGCAGCGATATGGTAATCGTGGAGTCGCGTCGCCTTGACATTAAAGGAAATATTTTTCAAGATAAAAATATAAATAAACTAGCGGCCCACCCTCGCTTCGCTTCGGTGTAGAGCTGAATTGTAGACTATAGTTTTTGTTCTCATGCTTTCACATGACATTCATCTATGATTCTTCTTATATCTGCATGCAAAGTCTCAACCCGATCGGTTTAAAATTGACAAAGTTTCATACAAACTTTCATTCCCTATTTTATCCCCTTGGGGGTAGAATTGATCAAAATCCTTTTTTAGCGGATGCCTACGTCATAACATCTACCTGCATGCCAAATTTCAGTCCGATCCGTCCAGTGGTTTGGGCTGTGCGTTGATAGATCACTATGTCAGTCAGTCACCTTTGAGTTTCATTTAAATAGATATTTCCAACACTCATACCAATTATCCTAGCCCCAAAGTAAGCACTGTAGGCTTGTGTTATGGGATACTAGGGTAACGGATAGAATACATATATTGTACGTATATAAGTATATTTATATAGAAATACATATTAAACATCCATTGCTGAAGTACAAATGCTCGTATTTATCACACAAACATCTGCCCCCACCGGTATTTGACCCGGGATCTCTCGAGTCGGCGACGATTTTTTTCAATGTCGTATTATTTAATATTTAGATTCTCGTTTAGTAAAACACAATAACGGATAATATATAGACAAGTTATACGCCAACATTATTGTGTTCTAAAATGACACAAGTAGTTCCCGTACCCTTGGCAACAGCCGCCAATAGAGCGCACTAAAGTAGTCTCTTTTACTCTCATGCAATCCCTAGTCAACTATGTCAGTAACTGTCGAAATAAGTAAACACTAAATATATTTAAATTAATTTCTTTAAAACTGTACTTACGAAAAAAATGACACGTTTCCTTGTCTCTAGTAGTTCCCATGTAATTTGTGTACGATCTGAAACACACATAGGGCTTTCTGTGTGGAAAAACGTAAAAAAAAAACACGTTGTAGCTAAGTGTAACCGCGGCGAGAGAGTGTGCTCGACTGAATGCAAATCGGGCAATTACCTGACTTTCGTATTGCCAAATTAGAAGTGTGTATGACGTATATATTACTATAAGACGTTATGGGTAAAACATCATCTCTTTTTAAAAGAATCATGAATGTCAAGCTATTACGTACGAAGCAGCGATTGCAACGTATTAAGACAGCTCGTATATCTTGATCGGTTATTTTTAGGTAAGTTGTGTGTAAAAGAGTACGCGTACAACATATTGAGATGATTGATGCCCCTCGGCTTGAGCGTCGGTAGATACAATCAGCCACAAAAGTGTGCGAACATTAAAAATGTAACAGCAAAGCAATAGAAACTATAAAAGAAACCAAGGTATTTTACAACAAGTTTGTAGATTGATATAATATGGATGATGACGAGTCAGTTAGATTATTAAAAAAATAATGGACACTTTTTTTTCTTTTTTCAATCGCCCAAATAATAACGATGGTAAAGCGCGTCAAAATTTGGGAGTGGGTCGTGACATCACTTCTAAGTAAAAATTGTGCCTAGACGGGATGTCATGCGACATTGCCAATCAATATATCTCTGTAATGTTTAGCTTGCGTGAGTAAAGAAAAAATATAGATCCAATACTTTTTGATAATTTGCCTGATGGACGAAGAAAAAAAGTTAACCATCGTCCTTAATCAAATGAATTGATCTTTAGTTGTCAATATTCCAAGTTAAATAAACTTCTTCAAATTATGGCAATTCGAACGAGGAAGACCCAGAGTCGCGTCGATATAGTTTTTTTTCCTGCATTACCAGCGGTTGTAATAGAATGCGATGAAAGATATTTTAATGCGTTACTATCAGACATTGGTTTGTTATTAATGCCCAGCCTTATTGCTAATTAACTACGCCGAACATAAACTAAGTGAAATTGTTGTATCGTGTCTTTATTGAGCAGCCAATCAAAACTTGTTTATGTATTTCATAAATGTGAACATTAAGCTTACTGTGAGCGACTGTACTTCCTACATTGTTACAGTACAGTCATTTGCTCAATTAGATTTTGAGCAAATCAAATGTAAATGGATTATAGTCACTAGGTATATAACAAATAATAATGCCGGAAACATTTCAACTAGTGTCGGTCCTTTCATATAAGCCGAAAAGCTCTGCTCTGCGAAAATCATAAATACACTGCTGGTGCATTGAAATTGATATGGGCCGCTTGACGGTAAGCGGCCGTAGTATGAAATGAAATGAAAAGTCATTTATTCAGTCTAGGTTGTTACAAGCAATTGTGAAGGTCAAGAAGCTACGCCATCGGTTCGCAAAACTACGGCGGGAGACCTTGTACTGATAAGAACCGGCAAGGGCTGCTTTTTTCTCCCTGTATTGATATATTCAGGGTCGTCAAGTTGAAAAATGACTTTAGAGATACTTCTGAAGTCACCTTCCATTACATCATTTAGGATATAGATATATAGTTACAATAAATTTTATATTTTGTATATAGGAAGCGGCATTAGATGGGTACCATATTACTGTTACAAAAAACTGAATAATACCCATCAAATAACAAATTACAAGAAACACTATGTCCATGCTTTACGAATACGATCATTTAGATAATCATTAACTTTATAATAGCCCTTATTCATAAAAGTATTCTTGATCTGAGATTTAACTTTGGTTAGTGGAAGCTCAATCAGATCTTGGGGAACTTTGTTAAACAATGCAATACTACATCCCAGAAATGAACCTCTCGATTTTTGGAGTCTGAAACATGGAACGGCAACCTTGTTCTTAAATCTCGTGTTAAAGTTATGGGTTTGACTTTTTTTTTGCAAATGCGTCATAGTTTTTTTCTTCTTAGCCTATAGACGCTTGCGATATAAAAAAATATTGCTAGCAACGTTGCCTACCCTGACCCAATCCCCTACCCCGTGGAGCCCTGGAACCTTACTCACCGACAGTAACACAACACTACCAAAAGGTAGTGTTGTGTTACTGTGGTATTCTGTTAGAATGAGGTTACTTCCCCAGAGGGCGCTCCAATTCGAGCGTAAATCCCCAATGCCTCTATACCTCTCTTTAAAAATGTAATATAACACCAAATAAAATTAAGTATCTTATACTAACTGTCAATTTGTTAGGCTCGCCAAGTCATGAAAGTAAAATAACTTAAAAGTAAAGTAAAGTAGTAAAACTTATTTGTAACTCGTTTTAGGCACAACATTTTTAATTCTTTTTGTTTTGTTTATATTAATTATGATATCAAAAACTGTTTCTTTTTTCTCTCTTGTTTATTAGACTATGTGAGATAAATAATAGTGGAACTTAACTTAATGTTATATTTTTTATGTAAAAATTAATGCTGTTATTTCCTTAAAAATAAATAACTAAATAAGTAAGAAATAATAATTTTTGAAGCTTCGTCACCATAGAACACATAGACCGTTTGTACGGGAACCGATGACGCCGGTTCGCTCCCACTACATTTCCATCTAATAGATTATAGCCAATCAAGCGACGCGAAATCAAACAATCGAACCAATCAGCTCTCTCATCCGAGAGCAACGATGCAATCAGAACCAACATTTTGGTCAAGTTATGAGCGTTTGCTCACATATAACCGCCTAAGGAACCAAATGGCGTTACTAACTTCTTTCCGTGTTTGCCACTGTAGATTATAGCCAATCAAGCGACGCGAAATCAAACAATCGAACCAATCAGCTCTCTCATCCGAGAGCAACGATGCAATCAGAACCAACATTTTGGTCAAGTTATGAGCGTTTGCTCACATATAACCGCCTAAGGAACCAAATGGCGTTACTAACTTCTTTCCGTGATTGCCACTGATTCACGCCTTTCCATTGGTGATTGCCTCTTGGAGGTTTACCGATGAACCGACATACACAACGTTGTTTTATAATATTTATTTGTTTTAGATGCAACGGTGGTTCAGATGAGGTTTTAGAATTTCAAGATAGATTAAGGAGAGTATCGTCACAGTTGGAAACGCTAAGGCAGCAGCACAGCAATCTCATTGCGCAGATAAGAAGGTCGTCAGGGTGAGTCATCCATGTACCTATTTCAGATGTAAAAATGCCGCAGGGTTGCCAGCAATGATAGATTAATACCACCAACCTACCGACGACCTCTGTGGTCGAGTGGTTTGTACGCCGGGTTTCATGGTGTCGCCGACTCGACATGTCCCGGGTTCGAATCCCGGTGGGGGCAGATGTTTGTGTGATGAATACGAGCATTTGTACTCCAGTCATGGATGTTTAATATGTATTTCTAGATAAATATACTTATATATGTACAGTATATGTATTCAATCCGTTACCCTAGTATCCCATACCACAAGCCTTACAATGCTTACTTTGGGGCTAATTGGTGTGAGTATTGGAAATATTTATTTATTTATTTATAATAGCTGAACACGGAAACGTTATTTAATTTTTAAGAGTTTCTTGAAATGACGTAAACTGTAAATACAATTTTAAAAGAAGTAAGGTATACTTAGTAATATATTCCAAAAAATACACTTAAAAATGGCGCCTAAAAATCATAGTCAGCGTCACTAAGGATGATGTAAGGATTTATCGATCCCACACTTTAAAAGTGTGGCGCCACCGTATTCAGTTTCCAAATTAACCAGTTTGTGCTTTTGCAGTCGGTAGCACCAACAATCCGCAATAGATATGATTCATGGTCCGTTCTCCCTATTGAAATCCAATCAAATCAAATAATTTTAATTTATTGCATTCCATCCGTTTGGGTAAGGCCTTCCTTATGTTGGGAAAATACGTGACGCATACCGCTCCCCTGGATGAGAGAGATGACGTGGTTTTGTGTGACTCTTCCTCCCCACAAATCCCGCCCACCCGCTCAACCTGCCCTTGGGCTCGCGTCGCGGCAGCGGCTGCTCGGGATTAGGTCCCTTCGGAGAGGCTACCTACTAGAAACCCAACAGTGCTACCTTATTTATTTATTTATATATTCTGTACACACAAAAAATAATATAGATCCGGAGACTCCACGTTATTCCCGGGAGTGATTCCTTCTTCTTGCGGTGATCCATAGGAAAGGCCCGTGCCGCAGCAATGCTATTAATGTCCCCACTGCTGGAGCACAGGCCTTCCCAATGGATGGAATAGGGAGATTGGGCCAAGCCATGACCCACCACGCGGGCAGGTGGTTGGTGGGTGCTAACGACTGCAGATGCAGCCGGGACCAACGGCTTATAACGTGCCTTAAGAAGCACGGAGGAGCTCGAGATAGTAAATTTTTGGTCACCCATCCAATGACCGACCACTGCGAAAGTTGCTTAATTTCAACGATCGCAGCCGTACGCGCTAACCACTTGCTCCATCGAGCTCCTCTCATTTAGAGACTAAATTCCTCACTTCTGAATCTGGAATTAATTAATCAGTGATGATGATTTTGCCAACCCTACCGGTTTGAAATTTAGAAATATAAACATTGTAACGAATATAACTCCATCTGTTTTAAGATTATTGTTTAGGTATGATTTCAAACTAACGCTTCATGGGAACCAGTACGTTGCCAAACTAAACGTATTGTTCTCAATGCATTTACGTACCTTTACGCAATATCGTATTATCATTGCTGATAGCTGAAATAGTGTATTGATTTTACAAACCGTGAAAGCAGTTTTGCAACGGTTTCAGCGATTAATTAATGGAATGAATTATGCATTTCTTATATGCTGGAGTCTGGACTTAGGTCAAAATTAACATAGAATATACAGTAAATAATAAAGCTCTAATTTTGTCTATTGATTTATGAATCATTTAGAGAAAAGGATACACTGATAGCCGAAACGACTTGACCTAGAATGATGAAATTTGGACAGTAGGTTCCTATTATTGCCTAGACAAGTTAAGCAATTTTCGCAATGGCTTTTGACAGTATGGAAAATAAAATACCAATTGTTGGCATCTATATTAAGAATACTAGCAGTACTAGATTTTACTTCTCTGAGAGAACAAATAATTCATAACTTTCCTAAAAAACTTTAAATAAAAAAAAATTGTTCTATGGTCACGTGACCGACAACGCCTGGGAAAGGCGAAGACTAAAATGACGTCACACGCTAGTAAACTTCCGGTCAAAGCGGCATTACACACAGTCGTGTGAATGTTTTCGCGGCAACTTGAAAATTGAATTTTAGATTTCGTTTTTTTTTGCTGAAATAATCTCCCTATTCCATCCATAGGGTTAGCCTGTGCCCCAGCAGTAGGGACATTAATAGGCTGGTGATGAGGATAAATCTTGATCTACTGATGAACACTAAGATGTGAAGCTGCAGAAGTTTCCTTCTGTTGTTAAATAATGAACTTATCGAAAAAGTTTTGTTTTGTTTAATAAAACAAACCCATTTCTTCGCATTTCATACCTGTATCCACCAAGAAAGAAGTCATATACTAGTTTTAAACAAAACTTGTTGAATACCTGTGGCTGTTTAAAACATTATTTCGTTTCCACTGCATAGACAATGCAACATACTATCTTACAAGTATAAATCATTTATTCACTTCACATATTATGTTTATCCAACAAGTTCGATGCAAGTAGTGTATACTACATATATGATACATGTATTTAGTGTGAACAAAAAATGAAGACATTGTATAAAATTAGTTAAATACATCTACATATTATACCTTGGCGTAAACGAGGGGTTAGTCAGATAACAACAACACATCATGTTGTTACAAAGTTTCATATGTTTTTATTAAATTGTGAACTCAATAGCAAGCTCTAAAAAGGTCAAAGTAGGGACTTTGTCACATGTCACTTTGTTTCATAACCGCTTAATTTCTTTAAGGGTGAAGAAATTTAGCGGTTATGGAAATCTTGATGACCTATAGCGGTGCTTCTCCCTGCTTCTCCCTGCTTCGCTTAAAATGTCGATTTGCCGTGGGTATATACTGTAATAACGTCGTTTAATTTTACCTGGTCACTGTTTAACGACGCAGTTTGACGAGGAAGTTATATTAATAGACCCGTTCGCCTGCCGTCGGCATACTAGTACGTTTTCAGGTCGAACAAGTTTGATGTGAGATCCCCTTGTGATGTTTAGGACATAGGTACTTGTAATTTTGAATTTGGACTGATTCTTAACAACCACTGGTCGACCAATTATAAATCTAAACAATCTGTAGTATTTAAATCTTAAGAAAAATTTTCTATAAAAATTCCACGTGTCCCAGGCAACAGACGGGAATCGAATCAGCACCGTCCGCTATCCGGGCGGATGCACTGATTTAAAGATTAGAAGCCTTTAGATTTAAAGATCTAGCAGTTAAATGCTTAAAAAATATAACTATACTTGCTATTTCTTCCTTCAAATGTTTAATACTTGTTAAGGTATTCATTGGACATTGTGGGTTACCTACAATGCGAAGAAATGTCGCTGCCTTACAGCCTCAGAAATGCTAGAGGAAATTGGGCACGGACAATTAGGGCCGCGGTAGGTAGATGCTGCAGGTTCGAGTCCCACTGCTGCTTGGTCCGTGTAGATTCTTTTCTTGTAATTTTTTTTTAGATTTAAACATGTAGCAGTTAAATGCTTAAAAAATATCATTATTGTCGAATAGAACAATTCATAAATTAATGAAACTGTTTTAATTGTAAATTATTATATTCATATTTTTATGTATTTAACTGATAGAAGTTTAAATCAAAGAGCAATTGTATTAGAAAAAAATCTCTCATCTCATCCGATGTTATGAAATGAAATGAAATGAAAATGAAATGAAAAGTCATTTATTCAGTCTAGGCTGTTACAAGCACTTGTGAAAGTCAAGAAGCTACGCCATCGGTTCGCAAAACTACGGCGGGAGACCTTGTACTGAGAAGAACCGGCAAGATTGCATTGTAGGTTATCATTTTAGACCTAATTAATTCCATTTCTCGATAGGTATTTCAACAAATATGAGTTTTCAGGTTAAATGGTAACCTGAGGGACATAGACACGGGGTCCTTGTTCCTGGACACGGGACACGGCCCCACCGAGGACTACGAGAATCTCAGACGCAGGGTATACTCCAACACTAAGGAGCTGTGGTATTACATCAGCCATGAGCTGAGCAAAGTCATGTATGAGGACAATAAAGTGGAGAAGATACAAGCGGTTTTAGACCAAATAGCTGAGAGAAAAAGGTTGGTTTCTCTTTTTATATCGTACTGAATATCAATATTATCTGAAGCATTCCCACAAATTAAGTGGTTCCTAAACTAAGTGTTCTCTTAAAATATACCACCATCTTTCTACTTTCCTTTTTGAAGTTAAGAAGGAGTTAAAAAATATGTCCAATAACGAGTGGTAGGGGAAAATAAAGGACAATGGCGAAATATTTGTTGAAGTAAATCTTTAGCGTCTATAGATGCCATTATCAGAAATGTTAATAATCTCAAAAGATTTATTAAACAATTGAGGAGGGTTGTCTAAGTCTGGAATTAAAAACTTAATAAAGGGAAACACAATTGACTATTTTTTTAAATTTTTATTGTGGCCTGACATCATGGAAAATAGTTCAATAGTACAACTTAAAAAAATGGCTCAAAAACCATGTTAGTGATGAAATCAATTTTAAATATGCTGTTTGCATGTTCTGCATCGCTTTACAATTATCTATCAAAAATACATATTGGGAAACATTATCTTTCAATATTATACTGAAACCATAATAAATAATCTCCACAATACAAAAAGAATATGCCGCCAATTTTAACGCTTCACTTTAGTCACTGTCATGCTTGTCTTTGAATTGTTGTTGTTATCATTATCGTTGCTTGTGCATGCGTAATGCAAAGATTCAAATCAGCATATTGTGTATTTATCTGTGATTTGTTTTTTTATGTAACTTTGACTGCATTTGGACCTTCGAAATCTTTCACTGCGACTGTTGTGTAGTGCTTGCCTAACACTTCCGAAACTGATATTTTGGACGACTTATTGCTGAGGATTTTGGACAAGTGCCCTTAGCACGAACCAAAATCGAATTCGTAACGTTTGCGAGTCCGAAATGTCATTGTCAAATCTGTACTCATTTTTAGTTCTCGTTATGTACTTTGTGCCGCTGCTGTTCAAGTTTCCATACAAAATTTGGCATTGACATTTCGGTTTGCCAACTATTCGAATTCGATAATGGTTCGTGCTAGGGGTACTGATTCTGTCCCATATTGTGGATTGTTTTTATTTCATTGTATCTACTATCTATGATATTGTGATCAAAGAAGATGTGGAATAAAAAATATATAAAAAAGTGTTTCATATTCATATAATTAATATCCCATTAGTACCTACGCTATTAGAAATCCTTTTTATGCGTTATTATTGCTGTGGGCATTTTCAAATTGTTAAGTATCTACTTCTTACAGCACAGACATTGTATTCGAACTCAATAACCCTTGTCTGATAAATATTATTACCTACCTAAGTATTTTGACGCGGTCCGTCAGTACAGCTACGCCCGCTGATCATACATTATAAAAAACATATTTTTTCCGTCACTAATCTACGGGACCGGTATACTTCTATAGTTTCGTTCCACGTATTTTTTATTTTGATATAACCACACCCCTGAAAATACTTTTATAATTCGTTTTTGTATTACTTGGTATGACATAAACTCCATAACTTCAAAGTAGAATATCTATAAATCCAGACTTCCAATAATAAAAGAAATAAGACGAATCAAATCGAGAATCTAAACTCTATAATATAACATGCAATTCATTTTTAGAAACAAAAAAAAATTTCAACAAAAAATGTATGGGAGTACGCCGTTGTCCTTTTTGGAAGGTTCAAAAGAGTTGTACTACTTATACATCCAATTTGAATATGGATAATTATATTGATTTTTGATTACTGAAATGACAACTTTTTATTGGACGGTTAACCGCTTCGTTACGTACGCGTTAGGGCGCCAGTCTGTCTGGCTGCCCTTGGCCGCGGCCTCAAATAGTGGGCAACTCATGTGTGTCGTCCGTTATACAAGCCAATCGCGCTTTTCATTGTTTTGAAAAATCCGCCTAAGTTCAATCTTGGTCCAATTCTAATTGCAACTTAATTTTAAACGAATTCTGTATCGCGCTAATTTTCACTAGCCAGCTGAAACATACTGTATCTCTTTTGACTGAATTGTGCTGGAGTACGGTCCAATAGTGATAATACGTTTACATTTCAAGTAACTGTCAAATCTTTAGCGCGATACGAAATGTCGTAAAAAGTTGCGGTTCGTACACGGTTCATTGCGTTTCAGTCGTTTGACATTTAGCGCGATTGGCCCCCTGGCCACACAGCTGCGTTGTAGCAGGACCTTAGTTACGTCTCCTCCTCCTCTATGCAGGCTGCGCACAGAGTTTTGTCCGATACACCTATGTTAAAAAGATGTGTATCTACACTCATGTCGAAATATTCGAATTACGAATTTAGACTTATTTTTATAAAGACTCACTATATAAACGCACATACATAAATTAAAAATAAAACTCATCATAGTACTGCTACCTATATCATATTAATTAAGATAGGCTATGATTTAGACTGAATATGGAAAAAGGCGCACGCATGCGCAGTTCGTCGCGTCCCATACAATTTTCTGCCAATCCTGTTTCGTTTTCGAGATTTCAGGAAAGTTTTGCAAAATATCTTTGTTACTTAGTTAATATGTTTAATTTTAATTGTTCATATGAGTGAAGATAAACTATTGTATGCAACTGCATATAATTTAGATATTAAAAGACTCGAGTCAACCTATTTTAATTCTCCTTCTTATATGAGAGTCGCAAAAACTACTATTATTTAAGCGTCCATGTCCTGTGAGGATGCTCACGATTTGTTTCAAAATTAGGCTCAGTCACTTGCATAACGTACTTGCTAGCCATGGGTCTACCTATCGACGACCTCCGTGGTCGAGTGGTTTGTACGCCGGGTTTCATGGTGTCGCCGACTCGAGAGGTCCCAGGTTCGAATCCCGGTGGGGGCAGATGTTTGTGTGATGAATACGAGCATTTGTACTCCAGTCATGGATGTTTAATATGTATTTCTATATAAATATACTTATATATGTACAGTATATGTATTCTATCCGTTACCCTAGCATCCCATAACACAAGCCTTACAGTGCTTACTTTGGGGCTAGGGCTAATTGGTGTGAGTGTTGGACATATTTATTTATTTACCTTGGGTATGGCTTCTCTGTCACGCCTGCAGTCTACAAGTCCAGCCCAATATTTATTATGTTGATATAGGTATTCGCTTCCTTATCCAAGCTCGTAGCTGTCGGTATGGGATAGGTGCGATTGGTTCCGGGACAAACAGTCTCCCGCATCGTTGCTCCCTCACCCACAATGTCCTTTTATCTAAGTGTGGTGTGTGGTGCTATCATGGTCACTTATAACAAAATACTACCTTATCTGTCCGATTAATAATATTACTATATATCGGACAGGGTGTTATGGTTATGCTTTTATTTTTTAAGCATTTAATTGCTAGATGTTTTAATCTAAAGAAAAGTTTACTAGAAGAAAATCCATGTGCCTTGCAGCCTAAGGCTAGAGATATTTCGACGCGGCCGTCAGGGCCGCGGTAGCATAATGGTCAGTGCATTCGCCCGGATTGCGAAGGGTGCGGGTTCGAGTCCCGTCTGCTGCCTGGTCCGCGTGGATTTTCTTCCAGTAAACTTTTCTTTAGGGTGTTATGGGTTAAAAACTGTATACATACAAAATATGTAATAGGCATATTTTATATGCCCCATCTGTGGGAAAATTAATAGCCTTATGTTATGACTTCCATTATTGAGACAGGCAGTATACCAACATAACCCATTCCAGGTCCCTATTATCGGACCAGGAGAAGCTCCCGGAGCTCGATGGCTACCACGAGTGGCGCCAAATGGAAGCAGCCAACGTCAGCGATCTTATACAACGCAGACTGCGGCATCTACAGAACCCGCCCGACTGCAGGGAGGCGAGGAAGCTCATCTGCAACCTTAATAAGGTAAGAATAGAACAGCATATAGAGGAACTTGTTCTGTGATCGTGGAAGTGAAGCAACTTCCGCAATGGTCGGTCATAGGATGGGTGACCAAAAATTTATTATCTCGAGCTCCTCCGTGCTTCGGTAGGCATGTTAAACCAAAAACACATTACATAGCAGTAAACGCTTGGAAATACATTATTCATCTACAACCTTTACAAGGTAGGTAATCACTGATATATTTTTTTTTATTACTTTTGAGGTAGAGTATTTTGTTATTCTATTGGAGCCAGCTTTGTGTCTTTTACCTCATGTTTTCTTTACCTTCACATTGCTATTATCATTTGATATTTGTACATTAGACAGCAGTATATTTAATATATAAAATTTTCGTGTCACGGTGTGCGTAATTGAACTACTCCGAAACGGCTCGACCGTGAAATTTTATATGCATATTCAGTAGGTCTGAGAATCGGACAACATATATTTTTCATCCCCTAAATGTTAAGGGTGGTCCACCATTAAATTTTTTTTGGTCATTTTTACAAAAATACATACAACCCTAAATTTTCACCCTTCTACCACCAACCCCTATTTTTTTTATGGCGGTATGAAGTTCACTGGGGTAGCTAGTATCTTTATAATGCTGTATAGGGAATGAAAAGGAGAGACTGTTGTCTGTCTGTTGTGCGTATGTAGGGTTTTCATGCCTAAATTAATAATTTTGAAATAGGTATTTGACTGTATTAAAAATAAAGTGCCAATTGTTAGCGTCTGTGTTTAGATGGAATATTAGTAGGGGTTTTTACTATTTTTACAAAAAAAATATTCATAATTTTACTAAAAACCCTCGAAAAAGATAATAGTTTTCTTAACTATTTTCACATGACCCAAAATGCTAGGGATTGGCGGAGCCTAAAATGACGTCACACGCAAGTAAACTTCGGGTTAAAGTGACATTACATTGTATCGTTTGACGTTTTAATAACATTTGTGTGACGTCACACATTAGTAAGACGCCGTATTGTCCAGAGAAACGTTTTCGCGGCAACTTGAAAATGGAGTTTTTGATTTGGTTATTTGGACTGAAATACACAACAGAATGATGAATATCTTCTTTTTACGGACTCCATAAACATTAGTCAATAACATGAGATCGTTGCCTAAAACTTGTCAAATACCCTATTGAGATACTTTGATGCAGAGTACATATACGTTAAAAATTCTAGTGAAAATTAAAATTGAAGTACGGCTCATGGGGTAGGAAATTTAATTATGAATTAGTTACAATTCGCAGTTGAAGCTTGTAATTTAATATATGGAATGGACCGATAATTCATTTTTTATCGCTACAATCGTCATGATGTTTAGTTCCGTTGGGTTTGATGTGACCAATAGAAATAACCTCATTGTGTGTTTTATACAATACAAAAGTACTGGTATGCACTTCCGCCACGGTTTTAAATGTTTGTTTAGTATTAAACATACATGCCAATGGCCTTATCTCAAATCCATATTTTAAAAGCGTCGCTTAGAATGTTATCACAATCGTTTAATACGGGAACGGGAACATTTGCATATGACAACTTATGTCTATAAGTATTGACAACTTAAAGAAATTCGTATGATTGGTAAAGGGTCAAATCATTTCTAACAATAAGCTTCAAACTCTTATCACTTAAGATTAAAGTGCAAAATTGATTGACCACGTTTGATCTCGTGTTGTCTAGGACACGTGCGATTTGACCGTTTATAATGCGATTCAACTAAGAATAGGACCGACTGGGCGCCATATTGTGCCATCATAGATGTCAATTCAAACCAAATCGGTAGAGTGAGCAAAAAAAGTTTTTATTTAATAAACTTATTTACTAAGATGAAGTGAGAAAAAACATCAATTTATTTAATAAAATTTATTTACTAAGATTGAGAAAAAGAACAACCGATTTTAATAATATTTATTTATTATGACTGTGTGAGAAAAAATATTAATCAGAATCTAGCTAGTCAATTCCGCTCATCTCTGCATTACCGCCGGAGTAGTTATGAATAATCATGCACTATTACTAGGTCACATATGAAAATGCATCCTTTATGTAAACGAAAGTTTTAAATCGAGTTTATGAACGCAACTTAAAGTACCATTTGGTTGACGATTTAGGTTATCAACCAGTCATAGCCAAAGCTCAATAAATGAAAAAAAATATCAAACAATATTAATTATCAATATTTGTTATTGTTTGTTTACAAATGGTTGGTTTTTATTCTAGAATTAGCAGAGTGCTAATAACGGTTTCCAAGTTTTTTTTGCAAACCGTGCTTTTCAGGCGACATTTGACAGATGGAGGTCAATGGCTTTCCTATTAGTATTTGAATCGCATTATACCAATCATACGGATTTGCACTTTAATTTGTCAGCACTTACTAGACTTAAGTTGAAATTTCATATGAAAATGTTCTCGTCCACATATTAAACGATTGCGATATCATTCTAAGCGACGTTTGAAAATATGGATTTGAGATAAGGCCATTGACATGTTTGTATATGGCCATGACTTCTTGGCTTTTCAAAACAATACCCATATCTAATATATAAAATTCTCGTGTCGCGGTGATTGTGGTTAAACTCCTCCGAAACGGCTTTCCCGATCCTCATGAAATTTTGTGTGCATATTGGGTATTTTTCATCCCCCTAAATGTTAAGGGTAATCCACCCCTAAATTATTTTTTTCCATTTTAGATATTTTTTTTTAAATTTTTTTATGATACAAAAATACATATATCCCTAACTTTTCAACTTTCTACCACCAACCCTTTTTTTTACCGGTACGAAGTTCGCTGGGTCAGCTAGTTACTAATATAAATATATGATGAGCGATAAATCATCGTGTATTTAATACTGTGAGCCAAAGTCTCATTGGATAAATCGATGAATGATGGGAGAGTAGCCACCTAGAACCAGCAGACTACAGATATTGTAATCCACGAAGACCCGCCCCACTTCCGCCAATATTTGAGTGTTATCGGTACACACTAATTATCTATGAGTGCACGCGCACGCTATAATAAATAGACTAATCAGGAGAGAGCGTCACGGTCAAAGGAAAAGATGCTCTACTTCAATTTTATATTTTTATAATTTTTAGGTGTGGATATTTTATGCGATTATTAGTAAATATACGATATTAAATAAAACTAGTTTTTACGGGTTAATGTACGAAACTTTATTTATTTATGACGTTTTGTAGCCTTTACAGGCTTCGTAGTCAGAATAAAATTATTTAATTTGTCGTGCTACCTTCAAATTAACTAATTTTATTCTGACGACGAAGCCTGTAAAGGCTACGAAACGTCATAAATAAATAAAGTTTCGTGCATTAACCCGTAAAACTAGTTTTATTTAATGAGTGATGTGCGTGAAAACCTAAGAAACAAATAAATATATGATATATTATTTTAAACTTTCATGGTCACTAACACTATAATGGTTTTTTTGTTATTAGCGGGATTGATACCATGTACCTTATTTGTTACGAGTCCATGATATTTCGGCACTTTGTAAGCGCCATGATCACGGAGTAACTCAGTGTAACATTATAATATTACCATTTTTTATAATAGACAGTTATTATGGACATAAATGAAATTACGTGAAAATGTGTTATTGAACTATATTGAGAAATTGAAATGGTCAATCACTCGTTTCAGTAATATCTGATTCAGTCTGATATTTCACTGGCATTTATAATAAAACTGAAAACAAGATCACAGTGTCTCATGTATTCGTCTTCTATTTTTTGCACGTGCTGATAAGTGTTGAACCAGACATCTTTATTTACTCGATCAAAAGCTCCATTTAAAATGACCATAATTGAAGTGTAATTTTGATTTTACAGTGGATATATTACGTGCACATATTTTTTTATATATTATTTTTATAAATTCAAATTTTGATTGATATTACGGCTAGCAACGTCGTTTTTTACAATACCCTAAATGTTTTCGATTGGGTTTAAATCTGGACGATAAGGAGGCAGTCTAAGCACTGTGAATTCATGTTTTTGCTCTAATTCGTCAATTTTGTACTTGCGGAAGTTTTCTTTGTTTTTTAGTGTAAGGTCATAAAGTTCCGGTTTTTAAAGCTTGGTTCGAAATGGATTTTTTTGCATTCAGCCAAGTCTGTATATCTAATTTATTTTGGTATTTTTTCTGAACTAGCGTTGTAATAAGCTGCATTATCCAAGACTACCACGGCATCATTTGGGAGATTTGGCATTAGTTTCTCCTTTAGCCACTTTTTTACTGTGTTCATGTTATCGTGGTAGGCTCCAGATTTGACTTCTGCTCTGTATGTCAACATCGCATTTGGTACAAAACCCTCTGCACTTCCGCCATGTACTATAATTATGCGCATTCCTTTTGTTAAATTTTGTTTTATTGCCGTTTTAGAACCTTTTTCGGCCAAGATTTTTTTTGCACATGGTTGGTATGAGTATATGATTCATCACATGTACACTAGAGCTCTACCTGCATTACGCAAAGACTTAACTTGTTTTAAATATTTTATTTTAATTCGATAAGCACCTTCCTGTTTTTCTCAGTTCTTCTCCATTTATAACCAAGTTTACGTAACAATGTTCTTAGCGTTGTTAGACATCCATCAAATTGTATACGGTCTTTCAAAACAATATTAAGTCGTGGTGATGTTGGAAATTGACGATGTTCTATATGATAGTTTTAATTATTTCTTCAGACTACGCCAATATCAAAATCGTCTAAATTAATTTTTCGTGGTCTTACGCTTCTCTTCTTCATAGATGATGTAAAAATAGAAGCACTTCTGCCGACATAATTCGAATGCGACGTATTCGTTTCATTTTCAAACTCAATATCCGCTTGTAGTCAGCTCTGTTGTACGCTCCGTACTTGGGACTATAGGAACTATCGCATCTGTCTCCATAGTTATATTCAATTCCATAGCAGGTACTGTAGTTTGCTTCATTGTATTAGTATATTCCTTT